CTTATCTTCATCTTTCACCTCATTACCTTTCTACTTGATGTAGTGATATGAGGTGTGGCAACTCGGACCATTAAGCAGTAATGCCTGGTCCTATGTTGATAATGACTGATTGACTCCTGATTTCAACTTTACTGACGTAGTGACACCAAGACACGTGATCTATGCAATGGTGGTCGAATACCTAAACTCTCCTCATTAAATTATGGCTGATGTTTGTCAATGTTTCAGGTGAGGGAGTCAGTTATTGCAGTTTTAATATTGGTTAAGATTGTTGAGAATGTGGAAATACTTATTTTATGTGTCGTATTGGTCATAGTAAGAATGCATCTAAATGATCTCCAGGATGCTTCGAAAGGAAATGACCTAGTCGCTAAAATCGTTAACTGTTGATTGAAGTTTTGAGGAATCTTTTTGCAGGATGTAGCAGAAATAAGTAACTTAAGAACAAAGGAGAAACGGTTGAAAATCGATAGCAGTAACGTGCATCCACTTAATCCTCACTTTGCTTTAAGTCAATAATATTTTTTGGTTGTGCTCACTCATACACTCGTATCCCTTTATTCAGTTTTATGTTTACAATTGTAGTGAGTTCTATGGTGGCGTTATTTTGTCAAGTTCAAAATAGTTTGCTGATTGTATAAAAGTTATTAGTAGAAAACACAAGGTAGAAAAAGGTTGGCAATAATTGTTTAACTATTTTATTTTGCGCATACAAAGTTTTACTTATGATAACATCCAACTTTTTGTACTCAGAAAGTGTTTTCTAAAGATTTTTATTTTGTTTCCTAATCAATATCACAGACCATGTTCACTAAGCCTTGTCTGGGAATCCGTCATGTCATGGTTGCAGTTCATACGATATTTCATGAATTCGTGCTTAGTGATTGATCTACATTACATAATCATAACATTTATTGGTACAATCCAGACGGATAACTGCTACCTAGATATATGGTAGTCGGGCTTGCATATCAACGATCCGACAAGCTATACTGATGGAATAGTTGTTCTCTTGAGGTCCTACTATGCTTGAAAGGTCTGTTGAATAGTTGTAAGACGAATAGCAGTTACCATTACAGTGTAAATTACTACATTATGATGGGTGTTTGAGGGCAAAGTCGTACTGCTGCTGCTTCCCTTGAATGGCCAACAGTGCCTCGCTGATGCTGGCTTCCCAACGGAATGGGGGGGGGTAGGTGAGGTCGGGCACAAAAATAACACACCACTCTGCCCCCATGGTATTCCGGAACCGGCGGTATGTGTTTCTTCTATCCGGCATTAGAATAACCAAACCTCACAACAACATCCTACCAAAGGCTGTGTGTGGCAGGCCTCAAACAGATGTCCTATGGGCTGTACGCTCACACAAATTTTTTTCTCTTTCAAGTAGCTTAAGGAGAGATAGTCTTCCACGGTGTTGGAAACCAGGAAGTGTCAAGCGCCCTCACAAGTCTGTCAGCGCTCAAGTTCCACCCCCTCATCCTCACTTTCTAATCTCCCTTCATTTCTCTCAGTTAATAATTCTACATCGTCTTTAATTTCTTCTAGCTTTGCTGCCTTCGACAACGATCTGAGTCCACAAAATAGCGTCACTGATCTCTTTAAACTACACTCCATATTTCAAATTGGAGCCTTCAATGCCCGAACCCTGTCAAATTGAATAACAAGCTTCGTTGGCCAAAAATCTGGGAACTGGGGTCATGAATGTGTGCTGTTTGTGAGACACGCATACAGGACCCAAGTGCGGTTATTCACCTAACCTCTCCGGCCATTATAGTGAGTCCGCAGAATCCACCCTTCGAGTTTTTTTGAAATTCGACGGCTAGTTCTTGCGGTCTTGGAGGCGTAGGCATAACACTAAGCATTAGGTCAGAAAGCTCATTAATAGACTGGATCCCAGTTGACAGTCGCCTAGGTGCTGAACGGCATAGTGAGAACTAAAAGCAATGGTGAAACTCGCCGTTGTCTCTTTGTAGTCTCTGCTTACGCACCCACTAACTTTAGTTTGAATGGAGTGAAGGACGAGTTCTACTGAAAACTGTTTAGTTTCCTTCTAGAAACCAAACATTCAGACATGGTGGTTGTTTCAGGTGATTTAAATGCACAAGCGAGTAGGTTGAGTCAAGTAGAAAGGCACTTAGGTGGCACTTTCGGAGTCCCGGCTGAACGAATAGATAACGGTGATCGCCTACTACAACTGTGCTCAGGTAACCGTTTATTTCTAGCTAACACAAACTTCAGATCTGAAGAAAGACATTGTCTTACGTGGTGTACATGGAGCCCAACTCAAATGGAAGCAGATAAACCATATTGCTATCAGCCATCAGTGGAAGACTGCCGCTCCTTCTGGTACACGTATTTGAATAGCGACTACGTGTTGGTTCAAGCGCGTATATGTCTGTGTCTCCCAACACCTACAAAAGTTGGGGAAGTGGTAGGTAACTTGGAACGAGGAAGGGCAGCAGGACCAGACGCGATAGTTCCTGAGTTATATAAAGACGGTGGCAGAGTGTATTTAACCAAGTTAACTGAAGTATTAACTAGTGTATGAGGGTCAAATATAATCTCTGATTGGTCTCAATCACTGGTCACCCCAATTTTCAAGAAAGACGCGAAGTCCTCTTGTGATAACTACCAAGAAATCATCCTGACGAACACTGTCTAAGATTCTAGGTTCTATAATCATTAGATGCCTGAGTGGAGCTCGGGAATAGAAAGCCCCCTAAAAAACCAGGCAGGCTTCAGATTTAGCTGTGGGTGTATCCACTAGATATTAAGGTTTTGGAACGCTGGCACGCTCACTGACACCCGACAATAGCTGTATTTCTCGACCTTCTACTCCATCGATCGAGAAGTCTTATGCCAGTGTCTGATTGGAAAAGGGTACCGAGTAAGTACATCACCCTATTAAACAGTTTTCACTCGAACACCTCTGGGTGTATTACGGCCTATAGTGAGATATCGAGTGAGTTGTGTACGTCGAGTAGTGTCTGTTAAGGATGCCCACTCTCTCCTTTCCTATTCGATTTTATCATAGATGCTCTTATGGAGGCCTCCCTCTCGTCATCTGACCACACAGGGATTGATCTGATCACAAGAGAATTTTCGGTAGACGTAGAATACGCAGATGACACGGTCGTGTCAGGTGAAGATACTGAGTCTTGTGGACACCTTGAGTGGCAATTTAAGAATGTTTGGGATGGGTTTCTTCCTACCCGAGTGCAAATTGTTGCTCCAGGACTGGCCTTCAACGGTCTCTCGACTAATAGTAGAGAGTAAATAGCTTGACTGCGTTGTACACCTCACTTATCTGGGAAGCCGGATCAGTCCTGGTGCATTGGTCCAGTGGCCGACGAAATCTCTGCACGGATACAAAAGGCTCAACTGGCCTTTGCCAGCTTATGCGTTGTGTGGCGCCCCCGCAATATCCACCTGTCTATTGTCGAGTGTACTGTGCTGCAACCCGCTCTGTTCTAGCGTGTTTGTGAAACATAGGCATTAAAGGTAGCAGACATGAGGCTTCAGGTGTTTGACCTCTGTTGCCTTCGTAGCCATTGGTCGTGTTTCTTTGAGTCACCACGTGAGTAATGCAGAAGTCAGACGTACAGTTTTAGGGAGAGAGTTAGGACAGTTGATGTGGTTGTGAACGTTTATCTACTGAGATGGCTGGCTGGGACATAAGTTACGTATGCCTAACCACCGTCTGCCTCGTCGCGCAATGTTAACTGAAGAAGGTTCAGTCTGGAAAAAGGCTCATTTCTCCTAGACTTAGACTTGGTATCAATGCATGAAGTCCTTGATTGTTGATTTTCAGCCATGTAGGGTGATGAAGACTAGACGTTTGGGATCCGTAGGACAAGAGAAGCAGTGGTTGGAGACTCTAGGTGATATGGCTCAGAACAGATATCAGTAGCGCAGATGTATGCACACATTGTCCTTATCTTATCCGTTATACTTAATCTCATCATTTCCTCATTTCTCCTTCCTCTCTTTTAGTACTTTCTACTTCTTCTGACGGATTTTTTTCTCTCATCTTCGATTTTATCTCCTTGTTACTGATATGAGGTGTGGCAACCTGGACCGTCCTCTGTTGATTTTATTGTTGTTTGTTTGTGCAGTTACTTCACAGTTTAACACGAGTTCATCTTCAGGACTTCCCAAAACTTATTGGCACTAAGTTGGTTGTTTACTTTCTGACTGTATTTTGTAAACAAGGCTTCACCAAGCTCTGTTAACTGAATCAAAACCACCAGACAGTGGCTAAAATAGATAACCCTTATGCATAATCTAGAGGAGCGTTTTGTTGATTTTAATATTAATACTAACAGTTTAAAAGTAATTCAGCAAGTTTCTACCTCATGGTTTATGATTTAAATGGACATTGGTATTCTTCATATCATGATAGTTGACTTAATAATCTGATTACTTGAGTTGCAAATATTCGACGTAGACATAAAAATACTAGTCAGTAGACCAATGCTTTAAATCATACTTCACGTAAGAAGTTTTGAATAGGCATGTAGTTTCCTGAGATTTCACATAGTAGGTGTGGTTCAAAGCCTAATGTATCAACCTGCATATAATTTCATATTTCATCACCCTTTAATTCGAGCCATGAGTTCATAGGATTAGACTGGATGATTGACAGTATAGTAGTAATGCTGGCTCGCTCTCCTCTTTTTGACCATTACTTAATGCCTTTGAAGTTACAATGGAAACTAAAATAAAACAGCTACGTAAAACATTCACCAGTTGCATTCATTGTCTTCGATTTATTTTTGTTGCTCGCCCATTTTCTTTGTGTATTTGAAATTCTCCCCAGTACCCTTTCCAAGCCTAGAAAGTTGTTTGGAAACATTGTTGCGGCGGATTGTATATAACTATTCAGATTTTAACTTTTCATAAATTTGGTTTTGCTATAAATCTAATTCAAACCATTCACAGGATAAGCAATTTTGTCTTATTCCTACTGAATTGTTTTTCCCAACTTTTCCTGATAGCTGAATCCTCTAAACCAGTCGTTATTGTTCGTCCTAGTTTCTCCAATACACCCCACCATACAAAAGCTAACAATACTCAGTTGGATTTAGATGGCAGTTCTGAACCAGCCTATTTGACTCAGTGTAAACTAAAGTCAAACAGTGATAACGGTCCACATAATTTTACACAACGTTCTTCCACTGTTTTACCGGTTCCATGGACAGATGCCGCCAAAGCTGCTTTTCACCAATTTTTTAAAAGCCAAACAGAACTTAGTTCATCAGCATCCCTCATCAATGAAAAAATGTTCTCAACATATCCAACTGTTAATCAGCCTAATTGTTTATCCTCAGGACCAGCGGTGATTCAGCCTCCAAAGTAAGTATGCTGTTGTTGTTTCACTCAATACGGTCACCAGGAAACTGAGTTCCAATCCAATTAAACTTTCTTTATGTTATCCTGTGACTGGTTTAACGTATTTTCATGTCACGGCTTTATATTAGCCAAATGCAAAGCCATCTTAATAGAATTATGGTGAACGAATAGATAGGTTAAAAGCACATAATCTTAGTGATTCACTTCCATTCTGTGTTCATCAAGAGCACAGAATATGAGTAAAAATATGAGAAAATATCGAAGTGGTCTTGTTGAAGAACGAGAGTAAGCTAGGTAGTCTTTTAAGATACTGTGAGACCCTAACCCTACACGGTTGATGGTGTTTTAGACCTCATAAATAATTGCAGTCAAAAATCTGTTGTTGAACATTTGTGTTTATTTAGCTGGATGATTGAATTGGTAAGCGATGGACTAGAACAAAACAAGTAAGTCGACAAAGTTGTGAACGATAACCGACTGAAATGGCTTAAACATCGGTTGCGTATGTCGAGCCACAACTTATCTCAACATATAATGTTAGTCGAAGTAGGATTGGGCTAAAATAATGACTGAGATTCCGGAGAGAAGTCAAAAAGTTCATCCTTCGTTCATCTAATTGAAACACGTATGAAAATATTGAAGTACTTGTTAATCCGTAATTCATTATTTATATATTAGTGGATTAGTATCCCTTGCTTTTACATTCTACGTAAACCACACTAATTAGGTTCTGAATTAAATTTCAAACCGTAATCCAATAACTAGAAGTCACAATTTCGAACTACTGAAAACAATCAAAGGATATGAGATGCTTCATAAAAACTTGTGAATAGTTGTTCAAGGTATGCGAGTGATTGACACTTTTTAAAGAAACGTTTACTTATTCATGACTCTACTGTTTCTAGTCAGTTATTGCTCAATTAGACTATCACATTTGTGCTCTAAATCTTTCGAGTTTAGGAAAACACTTCAGTCTTAACTAAAAACATCATAAATGTAACCGAATAAACGCATACGCGATTCTTGTTGTAGGTTTTGAGTATCAATTATTATTATGATTGACCTTTTAAGCTGTGGTAGTGTGAGAACCTATAACTTCATTCAGAGGAGTTAAGTACGTATTTATCTCAATGATACCCAGTTAACTTCTTATCATACACATTGATGCAATAATGTGATAGTTGTGTACTGTTTTCTGTTTATTATTGTAATTGATTCTCTGTTAAATCTTTTTTTTAAAAGTGAAATTATTGCATCTACTGTGCAACAGATAGTTCAACTTGATGCCACTTTATCAGCTCTTCTTATTCCACCTGGATTGTGTGCTCAAGCAATGGTTCTGTTTGAACCACTTCAAACAGATCCCGAACTTGGCAGAGAGTGGAATGAGTCTGAAGCATTATTTCTACGTTGGTGGGGTACAGTAAAAAGGCTTCGTGAAAGATTATTTGTACTTTTTGAAAGTGTTATACTTTCAGACTTAGATTTTTGTAATGCAGCACATGTTGAACAAGGTATGTGGAAGTCTGTATTTTACACTGTATTGGAGTCACTTCGTTCATGGATTGAAAATCCACAGTCTACTCAGTAAGTTGGTTGATGATATGTATTGTTAATAGGGCTTAACTGATAATATTTTGTCAAAAATTGTTCATAATGAAATTACTTATTTCGACGTGATGAAATCAAATTAAGTAAATCAAGCTAAATAACTAACTATTTCTGTGCATTAGACCGTGTCCTACACTTACTGTATGATGCCAAACGTTATTACTCTTCCGTTCAACGGGAAACCATTCGAGTCTCAAGTATAGTAGTCAAACTTGTAATTTATTTGCCTTTGTAGTGAAGAGAAGTTTATTACTACTCCTAGGAATTTCAATGATATACCTTTGTTTTTTGTTAAGTTGATTCCACCTTAGTACTTATCTACATCTCATGGCTATCACATGACTTCAATTCCCACCACAGTCTTGATTGTACTTGAGATGTAACTATCAGGCGTTTATCAAACTGAACTTCATGGTTATTCTCACTGATCAATGAGATGTAACTGGAAATTCTTAGATTTTTCTGTTTTGGGAATTCGTATCTATTTCATTATGATTGCAAGTATTACTATTTTCATTTCTGTATCTTTCCTCTTTTCTATATCCACTTCAATATGCTAGTGGTAAATTTAGCAAAAACTTGAAGTAGTTCAAAGTGTTGTTTTTTATAAATCAGTGTTTGGTTCGTTTCGGAAGCTTGATTTATATGTGACAGTATTTACTCAGTCATTGAAATGAATAAATGTTTTTAATTTCACCACTTAAAGTAGCCAAAGCTGTTATACGTTTGATTCAAGGAGTTATGAAAGTTAGGAATCCAAGATACATGTTGATGTAATGTAGCCTATCAGATGTAACGATAAATCACGATTTATCTCTCTAAATCATAAAAAAACCTATGTTGTATGTATGAAGTTTTCAGTCTTTGACCTACATGTATAAGAGCTCTCTATTTTAGACACTTAAACTTCACTTCATAATTACTGTAGTTCATAATCTTACGTATTTGAGGGATGAATGGGTCGATCACAGCAGTGCATCAGTCTAAATTATCATACTTTACAGCAACATGTTAAAAAGAATTGGATAGAAAAGTGATATTGACTTACACAAAAGTAGATACAGATTGAGAGATCAAATAGATAAAGGTTAATAAAATTAGTCAAGAGTTCGAAGATAAAGAGCGTATACATGTGTGCCATTTTGATCAATTCTAAACCACATCACTGTCTGTAACCACTGATCCCCTCGTCTCGAAGACTCCAGTCAGTCAACCTGCACTCCTAATGAGGCTCTAACCAACAATGAAACTTCATGGACTACCTTCACATCTTGATCTGGCCACTCTTAGCTTTCTTCTAGCTTAATCCTCCTGCAGCTAATATCATACATTAAGGTGAACGGTGCTTCGGCATGTTAAACACGTCAGAGCCATCTTGGTTGGTGTAAGTCGCACAACCTCATCGACTGAATTACCTCCCTTGCCTAATACCCTACGCTAACCTAAACACTGCTCACCGTAATTCCTCCACATGCAAGCAACATTGTGAAGATATATCTGGTCAGAGACCTGTGATGTACTCTCATCTTTTTATTATTTATTTGTCTCGGGTTCCTAGTGGAACATAGGGCTTCAGTAGCACGTCTCCAATGAGCTCTATTCTCTGCAAACTTCTGAACATGGCTCCACGACAACCCACAAGCTCTCACTTCTTCGTCACACGACCTCCTCCATGTCACCCTCGGAAGCCCAACTCGCCGTTTCCCATATGGGTTCCACTCAAGTGCCTGGCGCATGATGTCCCCAGTCGGTCTTCTCAGTGCATGCCCAATCCATCTCCACTTCCTTCTGCATATTTGTTGAGCGATAGCTTCTTGGTTGGTTCGTCGCCAGCCAGGGTTCCTTGTTGCTTATTCCCATTATTCTGGCCATCTGATCTTCAGTAACGAGCCAGCGTAGGCAGTTGTTGATGAATGTCTGTAGTTTGTCGGAAATGCTTTTCGTAACGCGCCAAGTTTCTGAGCCATATGAGAGCACCGACTTGACGTCGATGTTGAAAATCTGGATGTTGTTCACGCTTTATGCTGAGTGGAGTGCAGTAGATCTCCACACTGGCATCAGGTTAATGAACGCCTGTCTTGCTCTTCCGATCCTGGCTGGCTTTGACATCCTTGTCTGTGCCACCTGTTGTTGAAACAGTGCTTTCTAGATAGGTGAAAGAGGCTATATCCTTTAAGTTTCTTCCGTTGATGGTGATCGGTGTTTGTTGTTGTTTCCAACGTTTCCACCGTACTGTAGGACAGAGCTGACTGCAATAGGTAGTCTCGCTAATATCATAATTGGTGTAAGTTGACAAGTGCCAAACGGATTTTTTGTGTATCTGAAACTAAATTTTAACAGCAGCCATTTTATTTGGGTTGATGCAGCTCCCCAAATAGGTGAAGTGATCAACACGTTGAACCACTTCATTCACTATCTTAAAGCTGGGAGTTGGTGAAGAGCAGTTTTCAAGCCTTACTTCACGTCTGACAGTTGTGAAACGTATGCCAAAAATACTGTAGGCGTTCAACAGACTATATTTTGTCAACACCATCTGGCAAGACTATGTCGTCTGTGTACTCTAGAGCAGTTACGTACTTTTCTGGGAGTAGTTCGATCCCTTTAAAGTCAAAGGTACCTAGGATTATATGTGTCAGTACGTGTATGAAAAAGATAAACAAAAATAGTGAGAATGGGCATCCCTAGCGGACACCACTGATTGTCGTTACCTCAGGTGACAACTCTCTGTAAGCATTCATACAATTGTATAAGTTCAAGTAGTGACCTTTGGTTAAAACTATGCACTTTCTCAGTAATTCATTCACTGTCATGTACTGCTACAACACCTCTCGGTCGACAGAGTCGAGTCCCGTCTTCTGGTCAAGAGAAATGGTAAGTGTCAAGCATAGGTCAGTATATATTATTCCAAAACCTCTCGAACGGTAAAGATCTGATCGATGAACCCTCTTCCAGATGTGAAGCATGCCTGGTTCCCTCCAGTTCTAGCTAGGTGTCGTATAAATAGTGAACCCTATCACTTCAGACAAGATGTTAGTCAAGCTAATCGTCTTTTAGTTGTCAAAAAAAGGATTCACTCCCTTCTTCTGAACGGGGTCCAACCCAGTGTAGATGTTTTACCTTTCATTTTCATTTACTATCCAGTACCTCGTTTATTCTAGTCAAAAATTTGGAAGCTTCATCCTTAACTTCTGATGGCAAACCATTAGGTCCTTCTGTTTTGAATTATTTCATGTTTTTCAAGATAAATAGACTCTTAAATCATTAATCTTCTCAGTACTTTTGTAGATTTAATTAGTTGACAGGTGGTTTTTACTGGCTCAAATATTGACATCATAAAATTTCATTTGACTTCAAAACTCAAAGCCTTCTGTACTCTCACTTTATGTAAAGAAATCTTAGGTAATATAGCCAAATTTCATTAAACCACACTGTGGATATCGAATGTTCAATATTTTACTACTTCTAAGGTAATAATCACTCACACACACCTTCACTCTTTATTTGATTTTTATCATTTAAGTCGTGATTTCAGTAGATTCTCATTTTCTAAAATGATTGCATTGTAATCCAAACATGGATAACATGTTTTGTTTTTGACGAACTGAAATCAGTGTATAAATCACTGAATATCCTCTGCTTTTTCCTAGTTTAAGTTATCTTTGAAAAATTTTCCCACCTATGATTATTTACAGAAGAATAATGCTATTTTCATCTTTTTACAGGTTAATTCCAAAGTTAGATAAGGATCCTGAAACCACAAAACTTCTTGAAAATCAGTTGATTGATCTTATCCAAAAAACTTGTCTTTTTGAAGTGATCGATTCAGGATCGAATCAATTAACCTCTTTATTAGAACGTATACAAAATTGCCATCATATCCAACTTGGTCCATTACTATCAGATGGTAGACCACCACCAGAAACTAAATCCCGTACTCGTCGGCTACTATATTTGAGTGCACAAAAATTGATGCTTTTCCTTGGTGATTTAGCACGTTATCGAGAAACTTTAGTTGGTGAAAGAAATTTTGGCAAAGCACGAAAGTAAGCCTAATTTTGGCTAGTTTTATACGAATTAGTTAATAAGTTTTGTTAAATTTTGAGGGGGTTGTGGAGATTTGGAAATATTTCAAGTTGTTATTCATCGAAGACTGACATCAGTTGGAGGAACAAAGGAAACCTGGGAGCACTGGACAGCTGTTTCGTCCTAGTATGGGACTCCTCAGCAGTGCGCACCCACGACCCCACCAGCAGGGATCGAACCCGCGACCTTCAGGTTCCGCGACCAGCGCGTTACCATTGAGCCACTGGGTCAGAATCCAATGCTCCATATTTCCAACTTCTGTTAGCTCACGATATAGCGCAAACCGCCACCCAATGTCATCATCAAATATGTTGTTTTTTTTTCATACATAATAATAGATTTATAACAACATAATGATAACAATAATAATATTAATAATGATCAGTTTATTCCTAAATTTTTTTTGTAGAATTTGTAATTTTCAGCATGTGTTGTATTGTAACAAAAAATATATACTCCTTTACAACATTTCATATATTTCAAGTTGTTATTCATCGAAGACTGACATCAGTTGGAGGAACAAAGGAAACCTGGGAGCACTGGACAGCTGTTTCGTCCTAGTATGGGACTCCTCAAGACGAAACAGCTGTCCAGTGCTCCCAGGTTTCCTTTGTTCCTCCAACTGATGTCAGTCTTCGATGAATAACAACTTGAAATATTTCCAAATCTCCACAACCCCCTCAAAATTTAATTGAACTAGTGCTCGTTGGTGACTAGCTTCGAGAAGTATTCCCGAAGTTCCAATGACAAGTCGTGACCGGTGGAGTCAAGCCTGATGGCCGTGAGGACAAATACTCAACGATGACATTGGGTGGCGGTTTGCGCTATATCGTGAGCTAACAGAAGTTGGAAATATGGAGCATTGGATTCTGACCCAGTGGCTCAATGGTAACGCGCTGGTCGCGGAACCTGAAGGTCGCGGGTTCGATCCCTGCTGGTGGGGTCGTGGGTGCGCACTGCTGAGGAGTCCCATACTAGGACGAAACAGCTGTCCAGTGCTCCCAGGTTTCCTTTGTTCCTCCAACTGATGTCAGTCTTCGATGAATAACAACTTGAAATAAGTTTTGTGTCTCTTCAACTGACACAGTGTATATGTCTGACTAATAATAGTAATAATAATAATAATGATAAATAAATAAATAGATAAATAAATAAAGTCATATATTATATAGAGTCATATACATTCGATGAACCATAACATAATCCATTTTTGAGATGAATGTGGATTTTTAATTTAGAAGTAGTATTTATCATGGACTGACATCAGTTGGGGAACCATTGAAAATCTGGGAACACTGGACAGCTGTTTCGTCCACTGGAAACCGACCCAGTGGCTGAATGGTTAACGCGTTCGCCGTGAAACCTGAAGGTCCTGAGTTCGACCCCCAGTCGGGTCGTGGGTGTGTACTGCTGAAGAGTCCCATAATCCATTTTGTTATCACTCATACTTCAAGCGTTATCAAAAGTACATTTATGGTTATTATTATTATTATTTATTTAAGATATATTGTCTCATCTTCAAATATTCATCCTTCCAAACTGGTAATCTATTCTTTCTCACCCTTGATGTCTCACAGCCCCATTGTACTTTTCATAGACGAACTAAAAAAAAATCCCCCCACCCTATTTTTGTTCCACCGTACTCGCACAACGGAAAAACCTCTTTGACCGAGTTGCTTATTCACTCACCTGTGTTACATTGATCTTTGCTCCATGTCACTATGTAATTGGATAATTGTAAAGGTCACCACTTTCTGTACCAAAACTTGAATATTAACCTGAAATTCATACTCTTGAAAAGGATCTTCCTAGCAAGATCGAAACGTTGAGGAGTAATACAAAATATTTGTTTATTTCGTTATTTGTTCTAATATACTACGACGCCGGGATTACACAAGTAAAAATGCATTCTATACAATACTTCTACTACTACTACTAATAATAATAATTATTATTATTAGAACACAAGCGTGGTACAGTAAGGGAACCAAGAAATGCGCTACATAAAATAATATAACAACATTATGAAGACATAAAGTGAAGGGAAGTGAATAAAAATAAAACAATAAAAACAGAATGATTAGTAGGGCAGTCCAGTATGGTACAATCAAAACAAAACATTCATTACCTTTCAGCAGCAGAAGACAGGAAGAACCTACAGCAAGACCCCCACTGGTTTTGATTCTGAACCATTTCTGATAACGTCACAAGCCACTGAGTTGGGTGATCTCTCACACCCCACCCAGAGAGTCATGGTGCACCAACAGATGCTAACCCGATTCAACTATCCTTCATCCGACGACCCCATGTCATACACTGACCACCGCTCCGCTTATTCCATCCAGTCCAAGGGTTAGCAAACAGTGAACAGTATGGAAGCTGTTGGGACGACCTGGGTAACATGTCCAAGCCACCGAAACCTGTGTTTCCAGATAACTTCATTTATTGAATGATTATTGACTGGTTGTTCAATCAAACAATGGATGTGTTACTGTTAGCTTTCCTAATTTTTCCTAACATTACATACTCCCTAAAGTATATTAAAAGTAAACTTTTATTTTATAGTCATTTACATTATGCAGATCATATGTCTGCCCATTCCTGTTAGCATGAAGATCGTAGTTAATGTTCACTGACGAATGTATATATTTTTTGGGGGAGGAGGGGAAGCTGTCATCACAAATTAGTATCATCATGAGAACTATCGAAAAAGAGAAAATAATGAGTACTTGATTCATTGTAGCATGAAATTTTCGCAACAGCACGTACCTACTAGTCTATACAAAATTAAGCACAGAATTACCAGATCAAAGGCGGACACTGACAAAGGGTTATAAACCAGGACAAGGCAGTTAGACAGTGTCTTAAGTTTTTGAAGCTAATATCAGTCCGTGATGAATGACAGATAGACTGGCATTACTGTGTAGCGGTCCAGGTTGTCACACCTTATATGTCACCATATGAAACGAGAATAAAATCATAATTAGAGACAACGAAATCAGGGAGAAAGCAGTCAAAAGTGTTAGGAAGTTACCAAAAGATGACAATGATGAATGAAAGGAAGCAAAAAGGAATAAAAATTCGTGATGTGAACTACCACTAGATCACTTAGTTTTTCTCAAACTATCCAGTGAAGTGTAGTGTGTGTGTGAATGTGCGTGTGCGTGAAACGCATTAAAAAGATCATTAATTGATCCCCATAGCTGACTTAAAAACCCCGATTATGTAAAATTGAATCCCTAACGTTACTAACTCTGAATTATTATCTGATATGATGTCAGATGTTAGGTAATTGGAGATAGATGAAGTTAAGAGTGACCATTTGTACACGTAACTAATTAAACAACCTTAAGGGGGGTAAACTAGCTTGTAATAACACTTAGAAGAAATTACAACTGGTCAGTAAGTAAGCTGACACTAAGTAGGCAAACAATACACAACTTTCACCTAAACCTATAGATCCACTATATCGCTAACCATTTTTCATATAAAGATCCAGTGTACAGTTTGTATTAAAACATCTAATTAGTCTTAGACACGATTTTGATTGGAAAAGGTGTGAGCATTGATTATTGAAGTTCTAAATGTATCAGAAAGCTTTTTGGGGCATGGTATTCAACTTACGAGTTGGGTAATAGACATGTTGCAGTGAATCTAAACTCTGCATCAGTCAGTTTTACTACTTGCTGTACTACACAAAATGTAGTTTCATGAATAGTCAGATGAATGCTTCCTTCTTAACTCCCAGCAGCTAGCACCAAGGAGAAGATGTTACTCAAACTGAGTGGGTTTACTTCAACTGGAGAATATGAGTTGTCTGTAAAAAAAAAAGATCGTTTATACATGATTACAATACCTCTGAGATACGCATACTAAACGGTATATCACATGTTAAAGAAAGGTTGGTAGAATGATAACGTCGTATGAAGCGAAGAAAATAAGCGGGACATGGAAGGTGGAAATGGGTACCAAAAGGGAAGTTCCAAATTCTTCAAAGTAAATCACGCAAAATGTAAACAATTAGACCCATTTTTAGGCATAAAGTATCCAAAATTATTGAGAAAACAAGTCGAATAGAAAGTTGACTGTTTACAAAATTTGTTTTGTTGAAATAACAACAACTCAGTCATCACTATGAACATAACCTGTGATTATTCATAAGAAACTTTCTGCAAATACGTTTCGTACTGTCATATTAATTTTTTGACTATTCAACCTTTTGATTAAAAAAATCTGAGACTGTCATCTTAACCTGAGCGTTTCCAATATTAATTCTATCTGGAGGTTTGTGGAGGTTTAGTAATTGGTTTTAGGTTAAAATTCATCATGAACTGACATCAGTTGGATTCGATCCCTGGCGGGGGGTCATAGGTGCACTCTACTGAAGAGTCCCATACTGGGACGAAACAGTTGTCCAGTGCTCCCAGGTTTCCAATATTCCTCCAACTGATGTCAGTGCATGATGAATTCCAACCTAAAATTTCTTATGTTATTTCAGTATTGCATGCGCATGTCTTGTGAACATTTTTGTTTAATTAGGATTATCAGTGGAATTCTGAACTATTTGATTCGTAGTTTTTTTTTCATTTTTTGAACTTTAAGAAATAAAGTACGAAGAAGTAAAATCTTTGATAATGTTCTGATTTGAACTGTTCAGCGGAATATGTTATAATTTTCATCATTACTACTGTCATTATTATTATTATTATTATTATTATTATTATTATTATTATTATTATTATTATTATTATTATTATTATACCATATCCTCTTCTTATCATATTCTCATATTTGCATATCAAATTTCTTGATTTCTGATTCTCCCAGGTTTTTGTATTTTACCTAAATAGATATTGGTAAATGAATGTACTATGTATGAGTAATTTCGCGTGATAATAGTGTGTTCATGTCCGGTTAATTTATACACTGGGGTAGGATGCTTGAATTCAATGTTTTCTCATGAGGGAGCATGAGTGCTGATAGATTTGTGAGGGTAGTTAACATTTCCCAGCTCCGTACACCGTAGATGGCTATTTTTCTTGATGCGGTTTGAAAAAATTGATTCATAGGAATGGTGATGCGTACGTGACCTGAGAGTCTGGTGGATATCTGCTGGAAGCCAGTAAAATAGCCTTTTAAGAAGTTCGGAATTTTAGTTTATTTTTTTTAAAATATGGCTAATAGACCCTCCTATCCCTGCTACCGGTATGCTGCACGGGAGTATGCTATTTTCGGGGCCCATCTTTTCTAACTTCCCTCCGCATTGAAAAAGAAACATCACCACGGCACGGCTTGCCACCCGCGGAAAACACCTCACTACTAATCTCACTTCCATTCAGCTAACAGTACGGCTTCACCCTCAGACCCCCATCACGGCGTAGAAATTTAAACTATGATCGTAATTACTTTTTGTCTAACCCCTGTTCAACAGACCTTTTTGGTATTGTAAGGCCCCAAGGGAACAAGTGTTCCATCAGCATATATCCACCTCAATTTAGATTTTAGACAAAGAAAAACTAATACAAAGCTGGAAAAATTCTTAGATTGCTTTAAATCATTCATCTTATTATGGTGATTTTACTGTTTTTTTAATATGCCGTCATCACAGCAATTAACTCTATCTGTCTAGATTACAGTTTACACGCCCCGAAGCAATACCATCACGCCTCAAAGTTACCATAGGAATTTCTCATACTTTGTGTTCAAATTCAACTTCATGTTCAGTTCTGTAAGTAGAGGTGTGGCTTAATGGTTTAAAGAGGTGACTATCAACCATTGGTTCGCGGGTTCGAGCTCCCCTCCACCTACCAGGGTTTGGACAGACAGGTAGTATTATAAGTATTCATATAGTAGGTGTGACTCATCGCCTACTGCACAGATGTGCACAAGGTAGCTGAGTGCACGTTATTACGTTTTATTTCAATTCTGTATACATCTGCACACATATTTACATTCGTATGCATCCATGAAAGTCATAAGTTCTGTGTTTTATTAATCTGTTTCATTACTACTATTTTGATTTCATTAGCTGTATCAAAAAGCTCAGTTGTTAGTTCCGAAAAATGGTCGTTCATACAATCAGTTAGCTGTTTTAGCTTTGTATACTGTAAGTACATTTTATGCGCTTTTGTGTTTATATTTCTTATAGTTGTATAGTATCACGTCTTTGATTGGTTATTCGTTTATGATTAAAGTTCTGAGGCTTTGACTCATATATTCTAACCCTATCCTAACCTACTTCGTTAGAATGGGAAATGGAACTCAAAAACTCTGTATAGGGTGTTCACTAAGGAAGGAGATAGCTATATCATATGATATAGCTACCTGTCCGAATCCATTTTTAAGTGAAGTCATCTGTTGAAAGTTAATCGTCTAACCCCAATGAGTTAATCCTTCAATCATCACTTGAAAGTGTTTCGCTGGCGATACGATAATTTTCGATCTTAAACTTTTGATGTGGCTCATAGCCTAGTACATACATTTGTGAGTTACATTACTGTATCCTATTTCTTTAAATCACACCTCCTCTACTTGGCTTTTATCAGATAGTTATTATTAAATAGGCAGACCAATATGCGGCTAGCACCAGAATGGTACATGTTTGAGAACGGGTTTTTAACTTCTATCCTAACATTTTTTTTCATCGACTAGCTCGCAGTGACTGGTGCTATTTTCGGAATAAATAAAGTAATCAGTGCAATCGACCAGACTCGCTCACATTCTTCCGAAAATCCTTTCTTTTCTTCTTCAGCATCTTTACCTAACAGGACTATGTCTTCTGTGTATTCTAAGTTTGCTGAATGCTTTTCTGACAGCAAGTTGATTCATAAACAAAGTGTCAGCCCCATATACAACAAAGTTGCACGAAAAGTGACAGTGAATATCTCGTACGACCATATCCGCCTTTTGTATCTCCTCCAATGAACAACACTCTAGAATTTTGAAGGCTTTCTCAACATAATGCGTTTCTGGCTATCCCACTACAGCATATTTACGTTTGACAGTCTGTTATAAAGAGTGAAGATCTGTACAGTCAATAAACCTTCATTTGGGTCTGAAACTCATCTGGTTTTTTCGAGGTTTGTTTTTCCAGGGTTCCACGTAGGTTTCAAGTGTTTATGAACTGTGAAATTCCAGACAAAATGTTCACCACTTGATAAATATCGACTAACAGGAGGAAATATTATGAATATGAATCTCTTTTGGCATGCAGTGGAAGCTCTTAGTATATTTCCAGTGACTACAATGGTAAAATAAAACACTTAAGCAACAGTCAGTCAGAAGGATTAAAACAAAAGTTGCGGCATGGCCAAAATAACCAAAAGGACACGTTTGTGAACAATCTTAAACTAATATGATGAAATTAGCCAATCTTTGAGTGGTAGTACAAGTGTGCAATACAATACCCTTTCAGATAGTTTCTCTACTGTTTACTTGATACTGTTTTACTTTTACTTTTATGGAAGTAATCCCATTTCTTTATTCTCAATATTCTTTTTGTGTATGCTAGTCTAGGCATCTGGATGCAATGTTCTACTATATGCGTACTCTTGCTGCAAGTAATCCATTTGCTACGGCATCACAAAGTTTAGCTGCTTTATTCAATGAAATACGACCACGTGCTCAAAATATGATCGTACAGGTATGTTAGTTAGTGATTATAACGCTATCCAAAATACTTAAACTTTTCTTTCCAATACTCCTAAGAACTGTGGTCAAACTGTTTGAGATAGCCTGACTTGATGGGGTAAACTATATTCATACATGGAAGTTAGGCTTACAGTTATGTCGAGTCTGTTAGATATTGAACGAACTCATATCAACATCCTCTGGATTAATGATCTAATACTCTCTCTAGTTAGCTCCTAAATCCTGATTCTTATGCAGATAAATTATTTTTATCCTGGTTAAAGTTATCCTATTTGAATATAGCGATATAAAATATATATTAGTGACATCATTGGGAAGAAGAAAGCTGTCCACGTCATTGTTTGCCTAGGCTGGTATTCCACAAGGTGGCGTTCTTTCCCCCCCCCCCCGCCCCCACTCTTTTCTCTTTCTTTCTGTATGACCTACCGTCTTCAGTTGGTATCAGTTTTATCAAATATGCTGATGACCTGATATTCTCCATACCTGTCTCCTCTTTAACAGATTGTTCCCAAATGAACTATTTCCTGTCTACTATTGGACGATGGTTCTACGTGGATGGTCTTGTGCTTAATTCTTCAAAACGTTATACTATAAACCCTAGTTTCAGAGGTGAATATAGCCTATGCAAACTACTTAGGTCTCATGATTCCTGTCTTATGATGGTTGTGTATTAGAGAGTGCTAAAATTGTGATTTATCTCGGTGTGTTTTGTTTCGTCTGACCTTTTCTAGTCCCCGTATATCTTACTAATTTCCAAAAGGATTTTCCGCCTAAGTTTATTAGGAAGCTGAGAGTATTCGGTATAATTCAGCTTCTTCTCTTATCGTTTTTAAACTTCTGCATTTTGCCTTTTCTTCTCCCCTGTCGTTCCCCTTTATTCTTTCCTGGGTTGCTGAAAAAAGACTGTACGGTATTACATGGAACTTTGAAGATTGCTAGCAGAACTAGTGGTGTACCTCGAAACCTTGTCTGCTTGTCTGCTGCAGACAAACATCTTAACTCATGCAAACATCTGGCAGGAGTTATTTTATCAGATGATCAGCGTCGCCTTCACTCAAAGCTCTCTACTTATTGGTCATCAGGCAAGACCGGGAGCAAGTATATAAATCTATATGCAAGTACTACTAAATACGAAACCTCTGCAATGCTGTATTTACCTCGTCTCCTGTGCGACGAAGGAAGCATTAAAAATGAACTAACTAATCAACTCTTGTTTTTTAAAGCAACTTGTTGTTATTTATGTGTTACGAATCTAATTGCTAATGTGACCGTCTACCTAAGTTAACTCTGAATTTTCAAGAAATTATAGATGGAGTAAATATTACCTTTTATATGTAATTTATACTTATTTGATCTTGTTATGTGTACTTATACACTATTTCTATCCAACTGATGCTACATGACTTGCTGAAGGTTCTGTAAACAGTATTCCTGAAATATCTTTCAGAATAAAGCCATTATTATTCATAAAAAAGTTTACAGATTACTTAACCACAGACTAATTTAACTTTATGTTAACTTTGGTAAAGTATTACTTTGCTTCAAGGTGGTCACAGTCTTCAGTAGAACAGATATTAATGCCCTGAAGGAGAAGAATTATTAAAATTGATCTGAGTAGATGAAGAACCAAGAAGAAGAAGTATAGAAACATTTGCGTATGTATGATCTGCTTTATCGTCATGTCACCCAAGGCAATGCAATAATCTTATTTGTAATCTAGATCAACCAGCATGCTTCGAACGAACAGCAAATAAGTTTATGCTTTAGGCTTGTTTCCATAATTCAATGACTCGAAAAGACGTACGATTTAAAGGCAAACGTTAACTGGAAAACTAAGCGATATACAAGTTTAGTCAATACAGTTTCTTAACCGCATCATTTAATTTACATTATATGCGTGACAATAATATGCGCCCAACTTCATTACTACTCACTCTATGGTTTCATAACCTGAGATTAATATTACCAGCACACTTGTTTTCTCTGAAACAATTAAATGTAGTCGGATAACAGGTTTTTTGAAAAAGTAGATTAAGGTTTCTTTTTAAAACCATACTCTTAGGTTTTCTCCTATGTATCGGGACAATATACTGAGTAGATTGCAATGCTGAATCATTTTCGCACCGCTTACAGAATTTCAAGAGACATGTATTATTCATTAATGTCCCTTTCAAGGGTTTGATTTCTTCTTCCATTGTATATTACGAAGACACGTTGGGTCATTTTGAGTCAGCACTTTACTAAACACTGCCTGTAGTACATTGAACAGAAAGTATGGAAATTTAGGTACTCTTCGAGCCAAGTAGGTGTTCCGTAAACTGATCTTCTGATCGATCCATCTTCTCTAAGTCAATAATATGTCTGGAAGGTGTTGTCAATTTCGATATGCTTTATACGAGAAACTGATGGCTTCGTGTGATCTTGGGTTTCTCTAGTAGACTTGTCACATCATCATATTTGTCGCATATTACTAAGATGTCTTCTGTACAGAGAACCTTTGCTAATTAAGTCGCCAGCCAACATTTCCACATATGATGTTTAAACGTCGCCTAATAACGGTCATTTCAGTGTATGTAACACCTACTCGACTCAAAGAGTACCTGAATTTCCGTAGCTTCTGCCCAACAGGCTACAGATGGAGTTCAGTATAGGACTGATTTAGGAAGACCCAACGTGTCTTTTACGCAGTATGTCGTCCTGAGGTGAGACGTGTGTGCCACGTTACCACATATGAGGGAACGTAACTTTATGATTTTGAAGCGAAGGCTTTATTTCTTTTATTAAAAGAACTTATTATCCAGCTGTTTTTATTACTCCAAAGGTGACAAAATCTATGCTGCAACAAAGACTTCATCACTACACAAACGATTACGTCACACTAGGTTGGTTATAGCAATTTACATGTGTCTGTTGGACACACTGGGAAGGAGTAATCTAATTGTTAAGTCGAGGATGGCGGAACATGTTACACTACTTGCGACAAAACACTTGCAGCCTTTCTATTTCGTTCACTTTCACTTGGTTTTTCAACTGTAATAAAATAAGACATATTTGGCCTGTAGACCCAGACATTCGTTATTACTAGGATATTGTATCCATGCTGCAGGTTGTATAAGTTAGCTAGTTCTTGAAAAGATTTTGTTTAGATTCCTGTAACCAACAGGTTAAAAAGCGTTGTTGAAATGCTTAACCAGTTAATTCTTAATTGTGAAACTACGTATTGGTGTAGATCAGTCATGGAGCAGCATCTTATTTTGAACGTATCCGAAAGGTTTAACTATTCGTTGATGTTCAAAAAATAGTGGATTTCTTCAGTGTATTAGCTTGAAAAGATTATCCCATTGGTTAGAGAATCCTGGCGTAAATCATCATTTCGTGAAGAGTAGATAGGAAACAGAGTTACTTCAGTCAGTACATGCTTGACCAAAACTGTTTCATGTCAGAAAACTAAAATTGATATGTGGAAAAATATGGAAACTTTTTACATGAAGAACAAATAAATGATGGTGATGATAATGTTCAACTTCTTTTGATCCTTTCTCCTCAAAATCTTTTAAATTGTTAGCTTCATAAACCGAAAACTGAATCAGTTCAACCACACTGTTCTGGATTCACTTCTTGTAATTCATCACGATTTCAACGTGTTGAAATATGGATTCATCCAATTGATGGTCAGACAAGTGTAATTCAAGGTGGTCGACGTTTAACTCATTTAACGTATAAATCTATTGTCGATAGCAATAATAATAATAAAGGGAAATTTGGGCAAAAGTCAAATCCACCCACTGTTGAACCTGATGCTGATAATGAGGATGAAGATGACGATGAAGAAGCTCAAGCTGAAGCAGAGGAATATGCAAATATTTCCTTGATTGAGGTGAATACTATTTTCCATGATGTCATGTTACATACTTTTTATCAAACTACTACTTTTTACATATCTTAGGTGTTTTTGTATCATCGCTCATTCGGTAAGGCTGCCAACTGTCATTGAGTTGTGTAGGTGTAGGCACTTGACTCCCAACTATCAGATCACTCGTCAAAAACTTACTCCACTTATCAATGTTTATGCAGCTAGGTAGTATGATTAACCCTTACGTAATAGGTGTGACTCACTGCCTACTGAGTGGTTACTCAAAAGATTTCAATTTTTCGCCACTAAGTTGAATGATTGTGTTACTACTTTATGGCTGTTTTACATTTCAACTTATCAGCTCCTTCAACATTGAATGTTAGCTAAAATAGGATTTGGTTGGTAGATAGCGAAATGTAGTCATGACAAACTGTGGCAGCGATGTGTGACAATCCTGATTATTGGTCTGACTCATATTGATTAGTTTAAGCTATTTGGAGGAATTAATGACTGGTGATACCGGATGGCATGGTTTGAAATTGACCTCAGTGACATAGATACATTCACATCTTATCTTCATAATACTGTATATTCTTATTTTCTTCGTTCATCGATACACTATAATTTCTTATGACTTCGAATGAAATTACTGTAATTTCTTTATCTTACATATCAGTCTTGATGTGTTGACGTAGAGTATCACATTTTAGACTGTCATATATAAATATGAAGCCGTATGTTGATAATATATCTATAGACAAAAAGCTTGATTGGTATTGATTAATGTACACTCGCCTGGTTAACTAGTTTACTAGTTACTAGCCGGTCCTAAGCCCGGGTAAAGAGGGAAGGTTGGGCATAGGGCTAGCAACCCTACCCCGTAAAACAAATCTAACCGCTAAAGAAACTTCAAAGCACAAACAAAATATAAAAAATGAAAACAAACTTATACCCCGCTGGAATCGGAGAGGCGAAATGACGCCAGTTGGTGAAAGCCTTCGGGAAGCCAATTGGCCGATGTGTCTTCTCTCGATGAAAGCGAAAGTAAACGTGGGGACATGGAATGTCCGCACGATGTTTGAACCCAGTAAGGCAGCCCAGATTGCAAAGGAGATGAGAAGGTATAACATCGAAGTGCTTGGGATTTGCGAAAGCAGATGGAATGGGAGTGGACTCTCCAAACTGTCAACTGGAGAATCAATAATCTACTCCGGTCACCCAGACGCCAACCACGAGCACACTGAGGGAGTGGCTATCATGATGTCCTCAAGAGCATCGAAGGCTCTCATGCAGTGGGAACCAATCTCCTCCAGGATCATGACAGCAAGGTTCAACTCAAAAGGAAGAAAGGTCACAATCATACAATGTTATGCACCTACAAATAATGCAGAGCAAGAGAAAAAGGAGGATTTCTACAGACAACTTCAATCAACACTGGACAAGACGTCAGTTGGCGATATCAAAATTCTAATGGGCGACATGAATGCCAAACTGGGAGGGGACAATACGGGAAGAGAACTAACCATGGGTCGAGAGGCGCTAGGTGAAATGAATGAGAATGGAGAATTGTTTGCAGAATTCTGTGCATTCAACGATTTGGTGATTGGAGGCAGTGTGTTCAGGCACAAGGATATCCACAAAGCGACATGGATTTCACCAGATGGACACACTAAAAATCAAATCGACTTTATCTCAATCTCAAGAAAATGGAGACGCAGTCTACTTAACACAAGGTCAAGAAGAGGAGCAGATGTAGGTTCAGACCACTATCTAGTGCAAGGAACCTTCCAAATCAAGTTAAAAGCCTTCAAGGAAGCTGGTGATAGACCTCAATTCAAGTACAACACTCGGAAACTGAAGGATGAAACTACAAAGGAGATCTTCAAAGCAGCCATCAAGACAAAATGGGAGACATCGAGGGACATCCCTGAAGAAACCTGTGTGGAAGAACACTGGAAGTCTTTGAAAGCTGTGTGGAAAGAAACCTGCACAGCCGTATTAGGAAGGAAGAAGAAAGAAGACAAGGAATGGATCTCGACGGATACCTGGAAGCTGATAGAGGAGAGGAGGATGGTGAAGCAGAAGATAAACCAGTGCAAGGATGCTCAACGACAAGAGGAACTGAGCACAATGTATAAAACACTGGACAAAGAAGTGAAGAAGAGTGCACGCAAAGACAAAAGACACTTCTACGACACACTGGCAAGTGAAGCAGAACAGGCTGCAGGTAAGAGAGACCTGACGACATTGTATCAAATAACCAGGTTGCTATCAGGGAAGAGACCAACACAGATGAAACCAATAAAAGATGAAGAAGGAAATTTAATTACAAAAGAAGAGAAACAGAGGAAACGATGGGCCGACCACTTCAAGAAGCTCTTGAATCGACCACCACCTGCACTTCGTCCAGAAATACCACCTGCAGCCGCTGAATTACAAGTGAACATAAATCCCCCAACGAAAATGGAAGTCCTGAACGCCATAAAGCTACTGAAAGGTGGGAAAGCAGCAGGACCAGATGGAATACCGCCAGAAGCACTGAGAACAGATGCAGAGACAACAGCGGACATGCTCACACCACTATTGCAGAAGGTGTGGAAGGAAGAGAAGGTACCTGACGATTGGAAGAAGGGTTACCTTGTCAAACTGCCGAAGAAGGGAGACCTCAGTGCTTGCAAGAACTGGCGCGGAATCACTCTCCTGTCCACCCCAAGTAAAATATTAAGCCGCATCATCCTGGAGAGGCTTAAAGACGCACTGGATTCAAAACTGCGACCGGAACAGGCAGGCTTCAGGAAGTACAAATCATGTGCTGACCAAATTGCAACGCTTCGTATCATCATAGAACAGAGCGTAGAATGGCAATCAGCTCTATACCTCAACTTCATCGACTTTGAGAAGGCCTTTGACAGCGTCGACCGAGAAGTAATTTGGAAACTGCTTCAATACTACGGAGTACCGCAAACCTTTATCCGCCTCATTCAACAACTATATGAAGATGCCACATGCCAAGTAATCCACAATGGGAAGCTCAGTGATGCCTTTGAAGTGAAGACAGGAGTGAAACAAGGTTGCCTACTATCCCCCATGATATTCCTTATTGTGGTGGACTGGATCATGCAGCAAACAGTAGGCAGCGAGAAGAGGGGGATACACTGGACGACGGAAAAGAACCTAGAAGACTTGGATTTCGCCGATGACTTATGCCTAATGTCACATAAACTTGAAGATCTGCAGGCAAAAACTAACAAGTTGACAGAAGAGGCAGCTAAGACGGGACTTCAGGTGAATATAGAGAAGACAGAAGTGATGAAGATACCGCACCACCACCATCAACAACAACAACAAACTCCAATCACCGTCAACGGGAGAAACTTGAAGGAAGTAACCTCCTTCACTTATCTAGGAAGCACTGTTTCAACTACAGGCGGGACGGACGAGGACGTCAAAGTCAGAATCGGAAAAGCAAGACAGGCGTTCATTAGCCTGAAACCAGTGTGGAGATCTTCTGCACTCAGCATGCGGAACAAGATACGGATTTTCAACACCAACGTCAAGTCAGTGCTCTTGTATGGCTCAGAGACTTGGCGCGCCACGAAAGGTATTTCCAATAAACTACAGACATTCATCAACAACTGCTTACGCTCGTTGCTGAAGATCAGATGGCCAGAAAAAATAAGCAACAAGGAACTCTGGGAACGAAGCAACCAAGAACCTATCACGCAACAAATATGCAGGAAGAAGTGGAGATGGATTGGGCATGCACTGAGAAGGCCGACTGAGGACATCACGCGTCAGGCCCTCGAGTGGAATCCCTATGGGAAGCGACGAGTTGGACGTCCGAGGGTGACATGGAGGAGGTCATGCGAGGAGGAAATGAGAGCTTCTGGGCTGTCGTGGAACCAGGTTCAAAAGATCTCAGAGAACAGAGGTCACTGGAGGCGTGCTACTGAAGCCCTATGTTCCACTCGGAACCCAAGGGACTAATAATAATAATAATGTACACTCCCTTAGGTTTAGGCAACTAGGTAGTAGTAGTAATAGTCACCTTCCACATGAAAGATATAGTTTATCACTTGTCACATGAATATGTAAATGTAAATATATCTCAGGTTGTCATTGTTTTTTGATGAGAAAAACAGTGAAAAACAATATTATGGTATGAAAAAAGTTTGATTTTCCATTTTTCTTCCAGCTAAGTAAACAATTTGGTTTGGCATTTATACACGCTCATGGAAAATTATATACAAAAATAGGGTAAGCTTCGTCTTTTTTTCCATCTTGCTAAAATTTTAATGTTTTTTGGTGTTTATGGATTGAGTTTCATGTTTATTATCAATATCATCTCGGTGATATATTACATTGCACTATGTTGCGTAACAGATGTGTGCACAACTCATGGCAGTAGTCATCTATGTTTTACTGTATGATTGTGATACAGCTATTGAAGTTGAATGATGTCACAAATATATTGATCATGTGTAATGAAGCCACGGAAGTGAGCCCTCTCACAGTTAGGCACAGATTTAGGCAAGAAATTACTCCGGCTGGAATCAATATATTTTCGTTATTATTATTATTTGTCATTTGGGTTCTTAATGAAACATAGGGCTTCAGTAACACATCGCCATTGCACTCTCTTCCCTGCAGTCTTTTGAACCTGGCTCCACGACTGCCCAGAAGTTTTCATTACTTCCTTACACGATCTCCTCCATGTCACCCTTGGACGCACAACTCGTCTTTTCCTCCTTTGGGTCCCCTTCGAGGACCTGCCGCGTTGGAGTTCATTGATTTCTATGTTTGATTTGAGTTTACTGCTACTGGTTGGCATTCCGAGATATATCACTGATACATTGATTGGTCACTAGAGCGTAAGGAATTTCATTTTACTTAGTCCTAAGTACTCAATATTTCTACTAACCCTAATCTTCAAATTGTTTATTCTCTCACACAATTTCATCTACCTCGATATCACTCCTTTTCTGTTCACTTGTTCTTTGTATACTACTGTAAAGTGTGGTAACTTGAGCTGATACACTTGTGTGAGAGGTTCTAGGTTGATTTTGTCTGTTTGTCTCTTGTAATGCGGTCATCAAACTAGGAGACTCAGCATCATGGTTCACTTTGTATTGATATTAGCATGGCGTATCTGCAGCTTCGACGCAACTGATGTTCCATGAGAGATCCCAACCCACGTTATCCTGTGCTACAGTAAGAGACGTTATCACTGAGCTATTCAGACTGCAGTTTACTTCCTCTAGAACTGGACTAGATACCCCAGTAGAAGCGTATCTGACGACTGTAGGACTGAGTGATAGGAGTTCAAAGACTAAACGTGGCGCCAAGTCCTTAAGTTTCTAACTGCTACTCTAAATAATGTCATATTTAGTGTGGTGATGACTAAATCGAAGTAAATTCTTGTCTGTACTTTGTTTGTTCATATGACTCCACATTAATGTGCAGTACAACAAAGGTAGTATGTTATCTTCACCTGATTACAGATATCTTCTTAACTATACGTAACAATTAAGTTTCCAAAATAATTCTTATGCTCACCAACCTTGTGAATGCATTCTCAATATGGAGGTCTTCTGTACGCTGTCAAGTTGTTTGTGTGTGTTATCTAGTGATTGTTTCGAAATGATTTCAATGTAGTTTGAAGCAAAGGTTATTTCTCCTTGAACCTTTATTACAGAATCCAATTTTCGACTTGGGATTAGATATTTATGAATATGTTCATAGCTAACATGAATAAAGGCTTCTTTTTCTGTCATATTTCCCATTTGAAACAGTTGGATCACACATCAATGTATTGTATCTGGAAAGTTTGTACCATCACATGATCACTTTTTTCTCCATATTTTCTATCACGTGATTGTGACTTCATCCATTTGGTCACGGGTTCTAGTACCGTTCCACCTTTCGTGGCTCATGCGCCTAGGTAGTATTATTGCCTCACATTCGACAAATGTCGCTTAATGCCTTGTGCATCAATGTGCACGTGATTGGTGAGAAAGTTCGGTCTAGTCAGTTTTTATCACATCATTGTTTCCATTAACATTAGGTCCAATGGAGCAGTAGTAACAACGGCTGTCTTAACTTTTCTATTTCTATATTATCTCACCGTTTACTCTTTCTCCTATTGCACTCATTGTGCCACGATTCTCTTCAACTGTTACGGTTTCAAAGAAATAAATTAACTGTTATTTCTAAATACCCTTCGATTAAAAATTCTTGTAAAGAGAAAACATTAATTCGATATTATGGATGATAGTTTGTCGTCGTCGATTGGATCGAATTTATGGGCCACTATTAGAATACTGGTTCCTATGCAAATGGCTTGATATTGTTGGTAATTTCGGTCTTATAGTGATGACGACTATTGACTACCAATGAGGTCCAAAATTTGTGTTTCTTCCTGTTTGTAACTCATCCAACTGAGACTAGAGCTGGACAGCTGGTACAGCTGGCTGATAAGTCTTGAATATGATGAAATATGTGGTCTGGATTCCATTGTTAGCCACCGTAAAACAGTAATTTGCTTATGGTTAGCAAATACCCTTATAGGTAATATCATTTGAATTTCTGAGACCATTTCAAATTTCCACCGTAAAAAAGTAACTCTTTGTTGTTGTTCTTAAATCATCACAATAATCTTGTTTTCTTTGACGTATTATCAGCATGGAAACATTCCCTGAAGTTGCTTCATTAACCTTACAAGCACTGTCTGGTTTATTAGCTCAAAAGCCATGTCCATTATCAGCTGAACGCTTATGCCAACTACTAGTGGTGAACATGTTCAATGTGGATCGAGCTGCATCTATGACAAGTCAGACGAGTGGTTTAACTAATAATTCTTTAAAGAATAATATACCCAATGAATCAAAAAGGCGAAATTCACATGCTGAAATGGATAGTTTTGTCCCATATTCACGTCTCACAGAAACTGAAACACTACGTTCTGTTCATCATGATCATGCTGCACGTTTTGCTTTGGATACATTCAGTTTGATATGTAGACGAGCAGCTCAATTACTTCAAGAGGTAATGAAAATGTTCCTTTAAAAATTATTGTGACCATGAGTCGGTTTTTTCTATAGTTTACCACACTGCACAAAAATAATTCTTTCGTACATCTACTCACCCTATCAGTGAACTCTTGTTAGATAAGTTTGAAGTGCATTGATAATACCCTTTTCAAGTTATAGAGTGCCGTTAAATTCGGCGGTCCCTCCACTTACTATGTTTTACAATACGGATTTGTAAAGTGTAAATAAATTTCTCTTGTCATCTTTAATCTAACTAAAGTGGAGTCATTTAGATGTGATCAACTTCTACACCTAATCCTAACTACTAGCATAATGAATCTCAAGAAAAGTCTAGTGTGTGGATCAATAAAGGTGAAATTGTATGCCCATAAACTCTGACATCTCTATTAGAAACTACTTACCTATCAAATATACTACTGAAATGTAGAACATGAGTAGTTAGGAATCACTCAGGTTGATTTGTAGATTTCGTTAGCCGAATCAGAGTGATCTAAATACCAGACAAACGTTTTGGTTATTTGGAACCGAGCTCATCATCAGTGTAACGGGATAAATTCAGCAGAATTGCTCAGATCGATTTAATAAAAATCACGGAGATGGACGTACTAAGTACAGTTTTTTTAAATAAAAACGAGCGTAACTCAGTAGCCGAGTAAAGCAGGAATTAGTAAACATTCACTTGGATTAAACTCTTATCTTAGACCAATCAGCCACATTTTCTGCATTTTTATTCGTGTAGTCTCTTGAATACTGACTCACATTACTTGATATCCGAGTCGAGGAATTAAGAAGATGTAGCATATGAAGTAGTAGCAGGAGAAATATTGATCATCAAAGGTGAGAGACAACATAATCTTATTGTTAAACAACTGTTTATTTGTACCATCTTCATTTGTTCGAAGCATTACGCTCCTTGTTGAATAACTGACTAATCTGTCGGATCATATGTCTAAAGGCTCGTTTAGAGATGTTAAAATTGGCAAATTTCTGGTGCTTAGAACAATTTTCACTGACTTTTTTAATCAATGATGTTATGATGAGAAATACTGGCTAGTATTCAATCATCTGCCTCTTAACACTTGTTAAGTCAACTGTATATTTCCAACAATTAACTAGTTTGTTATCTGTAGAGTATACTCGGTACTCATACTACTAGACTCCAAAATGTATTTTCAACTCTTTTACAAACCATTATCTTTAAAATAACATTGTAGAATGTATGAATTCTTCTTATAGTTTTTGCGTGGAATAGACATGCATTTCTGAGACAGTAAGTCAATCAGTCAAACCAATATGGTACTTAGCAATACTGCCTAACGATTCAAGTTGATATTGAGATCCTTCTAAGCCATGTCACTTCGATCTTTAACCACCGATTTCGCTTCTCATCTGGACCTCAACCTCAAAGTCTTCATCCATTTACACGACTGAAACCAGCAGTCAGCAATTTCGTACACCGATGCCATGTTTGAGTTTGGCGGCATTTAACTCTTCACCAATCCATACCAACTTCACCTAGTTTGCCTAAAACTGGATGTCTGACTTTTGCGTTATTGACGCAATGGTTCCATGATGCAGCCTATGTTACAAGGTGACAACTCTGATCAACATGCTATTATTTTACTATCTTAACTATGAAGTCTGCTATATGCCATATGTTGGCGAATCGTTTTAAAGGTTGGGTGATAATCTTTCACAAAATATGTAAATTATACGTTTGCTGAAGTTGATTCAGCATTTGTAACCTTCTATGGTATCTTAATCCAACAATCTATTTTGTGGTAAAACTGATGTGAATTCAATTAAATATTATCTTAAAGAATAAAGTAAGGTTAAACCTACTGTTTTTACCAAAACTTTATTTAGACTCCTCCAGTGAATGCTGGTCCAGGTTGGCTTCTACCAGATGCACGTATTCTTCTATCTGCACTTTGCTTGTGGACTGAATGGATGATTTTACATCCAGAACATTGGCTACCACCACCAAATCATCGTGATCCAACACTTCGACCACATTTAGACGATTGGCAACTTGTTGCTAAATTATGCACTCAAGCAGCTGTATGGCTTTCACGTTCTTCTGCTAAACCGAAATATGAAGAAATTACGCCAACAACATCATTGGTACTTCGATTAAAAGGTGAAATCAACTCTGATGAAAGACTGGATGATGATTTAGACAAATTGAATTCATTTCAGTCTTTCCAAGATGATGATTTATTTAAAGCTACTTTTCTTGCTGAAGAAGTATTTGTTGCCGGTTTTAAACCTATGCTTGATTTAACGCCCAAGGTATATTTTGTAAATTAGTTTCACCTAATTTTTTTGTCATATATGATAGAAAAGAAAATTAAATTTTATTATGATAGGAAATAAACTAAGGAACTATCTATTTCCTTTTTTAATTTGTAACTCTTCACCAAGTGAAAGATCAATTTCAGAAACTTAAAGTTTTGGGATGAGTATATTGCTCTCCTCAATCAACCTAACGAATTAAAATTTTAGTTGAAGACCGTTTATTACGAAACTCATTCCAACTGAATTATTGTAAGTTAGACTTGAAATGTAAAGGATTGATTGTCTTTTGGTTAGATTTATACTCGATGGTCACGTGTGTATTTAATCCTATAAGAAAGAAAATATAACAAGTACAACCTGATCGATAACCCGAAAGTGACTTCTTTCAATTGCTTCTCAGCTGGAATCGTTGTCTCTTTGATTCTAAACTGATCTATCAACTAAGGCTATCCTAGATAGCCTAATCGATCACAATGATGTCATTAATATAAGAGTAAACCTTGGGCACTGTGGTAGATTGTAATTCCATTTTAGTGTGTTTATTAGAAATATCACACATTGAAACTGGATAACGTTTCGGACATAATTTATTGTCTATAGTCATATCAGGTAACTGCACAACTTTGAGACAAAGTTTATATAGTCCTAATTCTCTCTCCTTCGTTGTGATGACAAGGCTTGTAAGATTTTCGCCTAACCTCAATATTGATCACACAATGATCCCATCAAGCATGAGCAATACTACGATGACACCTGTGATCAAAAGCCTGTAACCGCTTCACGTCTTCTGCTTTCAGTGGCCATGTCTCACAGATGTACAACAGGACAGAAAGAATTACAGCGTAGTAAAGTTGTCCTTTGCTTTCCACTCAATTGATCACTTACCAGCCACATCGATTACATAGTTTCATAGATAAAGTTGGATCAAAATTGAGGATAAAAAGCACACATAAATTCTTTATCTAACCATCTGACGATAACTGCATAGTAAATCATGAATAAGGTGAACTTGAATGGCACTGTTTCTGATTTCGGAAAGAAATTGTACTCTCTCTCTCTCTCTCGAGTTTGAATTCGAAATAGTTGACATGAGATATACTAAGGCTCACTTATGTCCCGTAAGAGTTAAACATCAACTGAAAAAAATCTTTGTTTCTATGATCACTGGTTTTCATTATACCCCATATATTTCAATTACTTTACAGATGTATCATTACACTGGAGATTGGGATCCAGAAACAGTTGCTGACTTTGTTCGAATCGAGAAATTAGTGTTATTTGGTGATTATTTGTGTGGAATTGAAACACCAGTTCTGAACTACAATATTGATCAAGGTGTATATGAATCCATTGTACAACGGGAATCATCTGAACGAGTTCAGGATAAGCGTGGAGATGTTAAGAATCAATTAAATGCTTCAGATTCAACTTATCAAAATGATGATGGATCTTATATGGATACAGTGTCTACGGTTAGCTTTATTTTATCGTTTGATGAACAGTATTGTTGAGTTGTCGAAATTTCTGCATCATTCTTACGTTTTTGCTTATTCGAAGGCAAACTCTTCTGGCACTGAGAAATGTGCTTTTCGAATTCAGATAGCCTAGACTGAAGGTGTTGTCAACCGATCACATGTTTACTCAAACTAAGTATCATTTATAAGGCAGTGAAACAGCGTGAAAGGTTGCATCTCTATAACTACTGACATCCAGAGCAGGTCACTTTCGAGATCCTGAAAGTTATTTTTGCATGATCAGTTTAGAATTAGAGTTCTTTTTAACCCGCCCCCTTTCCCCGCAGGTGGGTTCAGTGTTGCCAGATCAAGACGTGGCACCAGTCGATGGAGTCCCTAACTGATTGTTTGAGCCATGTGAAAAGAAATATAGACTCCTCGGCTGTGGTCCCCGAAATGATAGGAATCAGTGGTTGAAAACTCTTGGTGATATGACTGAAAATTGTTCACAATAACTCGGATGTATTTACTGTTTGACGTCTTCTAAAGCTTGAATATTTTCACTAAGCTTTATCTACAAATCGCTTATTCTGTCACACAATTTCGTCTACTTTGATATCGGTCTTTTTCTATCCACCCGTATACTACTGCGTATTGTAGCAACTTGAGCCGATACACCTATGTGCGAGGTTCCATGTTGATTTCTCCTATCTGTCTTTCTGTGCACTGGACTTAATGCATACACAGACCGTCTTTAACTACCTGTCTTTCGCCTTTACGCTTATACGCTGAATAAAGTCAGCGACTAGGACATCTGTATCAGGAGCTGTTGATGAGTGGTCGAAGAAGAGCTTTTCCACTGAGACTTATGCCTACCTTACCAAGGTTCTTTAGGGCATTTTCCTAAAGATTTGATATTATTGATTAGAGTATAAAGTAGTGGTTTCAATAGATTGCCTGATTCAAGTAGTAGTCTTGACTTTACTGTGAGACGAATTTACTTGAAGCACACTTCTCTTGAGGTTATTTCTGTCATGTTGTAAACCTCTATTCCGACCCTTCAGAGAAGCTGGAAATTCATCTAGACCTTATTAATCAATAAACGCACCCCAAACCTCCGTGAAAATATGCGGAATAACACGTAAATATCAGAATGGTTGGGAGAGCAATCCACAAACGCTGCCCATATATATATATATATATATATATATATATATATATATATATATATATATCGTATTTCTCTACGTAGTTTAGCGCTTCTAATAACGAGAAATCGAGCGATCATCAATGGCAAAATCTGAAGATTGATAAATATATTGTCAATTAACATTTATCACTTTTCTGTGGAATAATTAATCTGTTCCCATTGGGATAATTCATATCTATTTAATGATACGTTTTGTGAATCGATTCCAGTATTGCGCAGCTGCTGGCACTATGTTCTACATAGTCTCTACATTTATACTTTCAAAGTGTGGTATTTACGAATTTTTCTATGAATCTCCTATTTTTTTTTATCGTATCATCTTACGTTTTAGTTGAATAACAATAAAAATGATAGATCAGAGGATCATACAACAGAATCCACCTCTTGTTTGGGTGATGATATCGCAGCACTACAACGACAGAGAGCCTTCCTTCAAAAACAGATAGATGAAGAAGCTCGTTTAACCACATGGCGCCGTAATGCTATTCGGCAAGCAGCCTCCGGTGGACAGAGAGCGGTAGAAATTGAAGTTAGACCAATTTATTTACTACCGGATACCAATTGTTATATTGATTGGTTAGAAGGTATTGCAACACTAGCTCAAAGATCATCAAATTATACTGTATTAGTTCCTATCGTGGGTAAGTTAATATGTTGTTTGTTTCTAACAAATCTTATCTATCATCTATTCAGTTAAAACATTGAATTTCGTTTTTCCGTTTACACTTTTGCTTTGTGTTTATACAAGTATCATGAGTTGTACAACCTTGGTTTTATTATACGTCAAGGTTGCTCATTTTTCCTATCTTTTTTTAGTTTTACACATACCTACTTATTGAGGACTCACTCTCCTCATCTAACGTTAAAAGGGGCTATGTTTTTCACTGGAGACTCCTTAGTGGAATGAGAGTTCTGGTACGTAAGAAAACTGTCAAGAAGCAGCCTTCTGGACATGTTAATTGGCAATTTGAGTGCTTGAAACGCTTTTCTCACCACCTAGATACAAATAGCTATTCCAAAACTGGTCCGCATTGGTGCCATCTCCAATAACAGGGAGTGAAGTGAATTAATACGTTGTCCACTTCACTCACTATAGAAGTTGTATTATTCCTGGTGATTAAATGACCGACGAAATCTTTGCAAGTATACAAAATGTGTGATTGGCTTCTACTAACTTACACTATAGCACGAGTAAAATAAACGCTTGCCTACTAAGAGTTTAGTGTACTGCTTATCAGTTCTTTCTGTCTTACACTGTGACTGTGTAAAATGGCCATTAAATTTAGAAGGCATAAGACTGCTTCAGATCTTCAACCACCTTTGCTTTCGTAAAATATACCATGTTTCGTAATGGCACAGCGTTAGCTATAGAGTTCCAGGTAGGGTAAGGAAGTCAGTTAATGAGGTTGTGAGCATTCACCAACTGGGATCTCTGGTTCCTAGTTCCCATCTACTCTGATGCTCGATGTCATCTGAAGTAGATGCTAACTGGCAAAAAATTCAGGGCAGTCAAATTGAAGCATGATACAAATTCTTAAAATTGCCAACTGTTGATGTGAACCATATAGACTTAGGATGCGCATAGCAACCGAATTCAGTTTTAGGTGATGCTGACTGACTGGATAGGCGACATGGCTTATCATCGATTTAATTGGGGCAGATATATCCACACCTTATCTCCATCTTAATTGTCATATCATATTTCGTAATTATTTTACGCCATTTTCCTCTCGTATCATGCTTTATGACTTTCGGTTATATTCTTACCGTCCATTTTTCACCCTTTCATCTTACTGCTTTTTATCTTGACTTATCTAAAAACTAATAACTTGCATCACTACATAGTATTGTTAGGTCCCATGTTAATCTTGACTGATCGTCCACCATCCATATTGATTAGTCATGTAAATATTTGAGAACTTGGTAATTCCTTATCAAGTGATTGATTTTAATGCCAGTATGGGCATATAATGAGCTCACCTACTTTATTAGGAAGTACGAAGGAGGTCAAGCCTTGAGAAGACAATCTGTACAGTTATTTTTATATAGTCCATATCACAATTTGTAAACTTGTCTTGCAATCGAATCACTTCTACGATTCAAGAAGGAACTGCTTTCTACTCATATCTAACTTATTTTATTATCTTGTCTAACAGTTTCACAGAAGTGTTTAAAAATGTAAGATATGGGAATTTTTCAGAACTTAATGTACAAAGTAATAAATATTTCGATAAAGTTGTGTCTTGTAAGCGATTTAAATCTTATTAGATATTTGACAGGTTTTCCTGTCTACAGATGACATTTGTTAAGGTAACAGACTAATTACGAAGAAGTAACTGTACTTGATAATGTTCCCATCTATTCTAGTCTGTGACTATGAGATGTGGTTTCTGAAAGCAGATGGAAGTGATAAACTTACAGGTGTTTCAAACGTAATTAATTTTCATAGCATTACTTGATCGATGAGGAACCATTTCACTATAGAATTATTGAAGCTCTTATGAGAGACAGGTGACCATGATATGTATCACGCCTACCAAGTCACTGTGCGCATTGTTATGTAATGTGAATTGATGTAGGAATAGATAGACAAAAGGCCAATAATGGTGAAGTGATCGAGTGAACAATAACAAGTACTCGAGCGATCAGCATGCAATGAGACACTTGGACTTTTTTCCTCGGAACCTTATACTTACTTCACTAAGCCACGAAAATCAGAGTGTAAAGACCTGCCTGTGGCTGCAAGGAAGATACTTTATTCGACGAAAATCTATCATTTATATACAGTTTGTCACTAATGTATGAAACCGTAAGGTCAAAAGTTAAATGACTTATTTTGATTGGTCAACTGTAGGATGAGTTATCCAATAGGGTTTTTTTCTGACCACACAGTGACACAAATTCAAAACTTCTATCTTAGTGGCTGATGACTTAAAATGTTGATTTCCATTTGGGCCATTTCCTCTTAGAAAGCAAAATAAAAACATGTCTGAATCATGTAGACAATTATCAGCCATATGGCTGGAATTATTGAAATGTTAGGGAGAAAGGAATAAACAATTCTAGTAATGATTAGAATGTATTTACCGTTTAGCATTTTACAATTTTGAGTAATTATTTACTTTTTCTTATGCATATTCTATCCATTTATTTGCTTATCTGTCAATTTTTTTTTCTGTTAGTAACTTTTAATATTAATTCACCTTTATATCCACTTTTCTATTGTTCTATCTGTTATTCAATCTCAAAGCTCTAAGAAACTGGGTGAACTGTTTGCAGTTTTGAAATCGCTTCTAAAGAAAGTGACGAGATATTTGTTAGGATTACGATTGACAAGCAGGCTATAGTTCTAATATTTATCCTAATTATCAGTTAAATAAAAGTGAAAGATAATAAATATTTGACAATAACATACCTTTATGAACATTTATCTAGCCTGTATATTCTTCAAAACAAGATAATTTCTTGTTACATATGTTCACTGGAGGTGTGTGGAAGATATGTTCAAAGTCTGTAGAGTTTACAAAATAGCACAGCGGTCAGTTTGTTCTGATTCATCTTCACATCGGTACTGAATCTGGCCGCAATCGCTTTTGTTAAGTTTTATTATTATTATTATTATTAGTCCCTTGGTTCCTAGTGGAACATAGGGCTTCAGTAGCACGTCTCCAGTGACCTCTGTTCTCTGAGATCTTTTGAACCTGGTCCCACGACAGCCCACAACCTCTCATTTCCTCCTCGCACGACCTCCTCCATGTCACCCTCGGACGTCCAACTCGTCGCTTCCCATGGGGATTCCACTCGAGGGCCTGACGCGTGATGTCCTCAGTCGGCCTTCTCAGTGCATGCCCAATCCATCTCCACTTCCTCCTGCATATTTGTTGGGTGATAGGTTCTTGGTTGGTTCGTTCCCAGAGCTTCTTGTTGTTTATTCTTTCTGGCCATCTGATCTTCAGTAGCGAGCGTAAGCAGTTGTTGGTGAGTGTCTGTAGTTTGTTGGAAATCTCTTTCGTAACGCGCCAAGTCTCTGAACCATACAGAAGCACTGACTTGACTGAGGTTGGTGTTGAAAATCCGTATCTTGTTCCGCATGCTGAGTGGAGTGCAGAAGATCTCCACACTGGTTTCAGGCTAATGAACGCCTGTCTTGCTTTTCTGATCCTGACTTTGACATCCTCATCTGTCTCGCCTGTAGTTGAAACAGTGCCGCCTAGATAGGTGAAGGAGGTTACTTCCTTTAAGTTTCTCCCGTTGACGGTGATTGGAGTTTGTTGTTGTTGTTGATGGTGGTGGTGCGGTATCTTCATCACTTCTGTCTTCTCTATATTCACCTGAAGTCCCGTCTTAGCTGCCTCTTCTATCAACTTGTTAGTTTTTGCCTGCAGATCTTCAAGTTTGTGTGACATTAGGCATAAGTCATCGGCGAAATCCAAGTCTTCCAGGTTCTTTTCCGTCGTCCAGTGTATCCCCCTCTTCTCACTGCCTACTGTTTGCTGCATGATCCAGTCCACCACAATAAGGAATATCATGGGGGATAGTAGGCAACCTTGTTTCACTCCTGTCTTCACTTCAAAAGCATCACTGAGCTTCCCATTGTGAATTACTTGGCATGTGGCATCTTCATATAGTTGTTGAATGAGGCGGATAAAGGTTTGCGGTACTCCGTGGTATTGAAGCAGTTTCCAAATTACTTGTCGGTCGACGCTGTCAAAGGCCTTCTCAAAGTCGATGAAGTTGAGGTATAGAGCTGATTGCCATTCTACGCTCTGTTCTATGATGATACGAAGCGTTGCAATTTGGTCAGCACATGATTTGTACTTCCTGAAGCCTGCTTGTTCCGGTCGCAGTTTTGAATCCAGTGCATCTTTAAGCCTCTCCAGGATGATGCGGCTTAATATTTTGCTTGCTCTGGGTGGACAGGAGAGTGATTCCACGCCAGTTCTTGCAAGCACTGAGGTCTCCCTTCTTTGGCAGTTTGACAAGGTAACCCTTCTTCCAATCAATGGCCAGGTACTTTCTCTTCCTTCCACACCTTCTGCAATAGTGGTGTGAGCATGTCTGCTGTTGTCTCTGCGTCTGTTCTCAGTGCTTCTGGCGGTATCCCATGTGGTCCTGCTGCCTTCCCTTATTTCAGTAGCTTTATGGCGTTCAGGACTTCCATTTTCGTTGGAGGATTTATGTTCACTTGTAGTTCTATGCCTGGGCTGCAGGTGGTATTTCTGGACGAAGTGCAGGTGGTGGTCGATTCAAGAGCTTTTTGAAGTGGTCGGCCCATCGTTTCCTCTGTTTCTCTTCTTTTGTAATTAAATTTCCTTCTTCATCTTTTATTGGTTTCATCTGTGTTGATCTCTTCCCTGCCAGATAGCAACCTGGTTATTTGATACAATGTTGTCAGGTCTCTCTTACCTGCAGCCTGTTCTGCTTCACTTGCCAGTGTTTCGTAGAAGTGTCTTTTGTCTTTCCGTGCACTCTTCTTCACTTCTTTGTTCAGTGTTTTATACATTGTGCTCAGTTCCTCTTGTCGTTGAGCATCCTTGCACTGGTTTATCTTCTGTTTCGCCATCCTCCTCTCCTCTATCAGCTTCCAGGTATCCGTCGAGATCCATTTCTTGTCTTCTTTCTTCTTCCTTCCTAATACGACTGTGCAGGTTTCTTTCCACATAGCTTTCAAAGACTTCCAGTGTTCTTTCACACAGGTTTCTTCAGGGATGTTGCTCGATGTCTCCCATTTTGTCTTGATGGCTGCCTTGAAGATCTCCTTTGTAGTTTCATCCTTCAGTTTCCTTTCTGTGTGTTGTACTTGAACTGCGGTCTATCACCAGCTTCCTTGAAGGCTTTTAACTTGATTTGGAAGGTTCCTTGCACTAGGTAGTGGTCTGAACCTACATCTGCTCCTCTTCTTGACCTTGTGTTAAGTAGACTGCGTCTCCATTTTCTTGAGATTGAGATAAAGTCGATTTGGTTTTTAGTGTGTCCATCTGGTGAAATCCATGTCGCTTTGTAGATATCCTTGTGCCTGAACACACTGCCTCCAATCACCAAATCGTTGAATGCACAGAATTCTGCAAACAATTCTCCATTCTCATTCATTTCACCTAGCGCCTCTCGACCCATGGTTAGTTCTCTTCCCGTGTTGTCCCCTCCCAGTTTGGCATTCATGTCGCCCATTAGAATTTTGATATCGCCAACTGAGGTGGCGTCTTGTCCAGTGTTGATTGAAGTTGTCTGTAGAAATCCTCCTTTTTCTCTTGCTCTGGATTATTTGTAGGTGTGTGGCGTAGCATTGTATGATTGTGACCTTCCTTCCTTTTGAGTTGAATCTTGCTGTCATGATCCTGGAGGAGATTGGTTCCCACTGCATGAGAGCCTTCGATGCTCTTGAGGACATCATGATAGCCACTCCCTCAGTGTGCTCGTGGTTGGCGTCTGGGTGACCGGAGTAGATTATTGATTCTCCAGTTGACAGTTTGGAGGGTCCACTTCCATTCCATCTGCTTTCGCAAATCCCAAGCACTTCGATGTGATTCCTTCTCATCTCCTTTGCAATCTGGGCTGCCTCACTGGGTTCAAACATCGTGCGTACATTCCATGTCCCCACGTTTACTTTCGCTTTCATCGAGAGAAGACACATCGGCCAATTGGCTTCCCGAAGGCTTTCACCAACTGGCGTCATTTCGCCTCTCCGATTCCATCGGGGAATAATTTTGTTTTCATTTTTTATATTTTGTTTGTGCTTTGAAGTTTGTTTATCGGTTAGATTTGTCTTACGGGGTAGGGTTGCTAGCCCTATGCCCAACCTTCCCTCTTTACCCGGGCTTAGGACCGGCTAGTAACTAGTGAACTATTTAACCGGGCGAGGTTCTTTTTTAAGTTACTGTTTGTTTAACGCAAATAATCTCATCTCTTATACCTACAAAAATCACTTATCGTTATTGCACAATGAGGTTGACTAGGTGTTCAGAGTTTCAATGATAAACGGTAAATACAAATGTGTCGAGTTATGGGCATAACTGTCTACCTAATAAATCTAAAGTGTATGTGTATGTGTTTGGCCGTAACCTATTAGGCTGTATGACTGAAATGTGGGTATTGCGTAAGAAAGATATGAATAGCTTTTCGATGTTCTGTAATTACTGCCTTGTAAGCTTTGCTGACATCTAGTTATGTTCGAACCAGAAGAAATCCTATACCTCCAGTAGAGAAGAACCTCATAACAGGTTTGATCTTTTATTTCCGATAAAGAAGGTACCATCATCATGGGATGCTAGTCACACTAAATGCAGCCAACTGTATGAGTTCTCCCCCCCCCCCATTCATCATACTCCAGACTGTTTACATCATGACAGTAATTTCTGTTAGTCTTGTCGCTATCCAATAGATCTTTGTGGTACGGTAGAACCTCAAGAGGAACTTTTCTCAGCCAGCATAACTCGTTGGGTCATTGTGATATGCAAGTTTGATCATCACATCAAAGTAGAAACTATCGGTTGAGAGCTCAAATTGTAAATTGAGGTGTACCAACTAGCTTTAGAATCTTTAGCTGTTGGTGTGAAATACAGGTAAACGAAAAAAACAGTTGATATATTGGTTACAGAGTGTTGTCATCTATGTGGTTTAACATCGAGATTAGATTTATTTGTTTGATTGTACACACTAAATCTTCGCTAAGCGTTTTCTTTTTATCAATTTTGTCCTGTGGGGTGATTATTGTTTGAGATAGAATTAGAAGTAACCTTCGAGTCTATCTTTCGGTTACCTTTTTATTAGATGCTCTTGTAATGAACAGTATTCAAGTTAAAAGCCTCAACAACAAAACAGAATTAAACTAATTATCCTTTCTTCTTTTCCTAAATAATTTTTTCAAGTTGTCAATGAATTAGATACTTTAAGTCGTTATGGTAGCAGCAGCTCTGGTGGTGGTGGTGTTGATCGACCCTATGATTCAGTCGGTGGTGAAGTGACACGTGCTGGACTAATTCAAGAGCGTGCAAAACTTGCTATCGCATACTTAGAACATGAATTTGAACATAGAAATTCACGTTTACGAGCATTGACTGCACGTGGTAGCCTAATGGAGACAATTGCTTACAGGAATGAAATCAATGGAGGCAGAGCACCTGGTCAAATTAATGATGACGTCATTTTAACCTGTTGTCAACATTTTTGTAAAGAAGACTCAGATCGATTTCAATCACGGAATCTTCCTCGAGGTATAGACCTATCCCTTCAAGCAGATCAAAATAGTAAGTTGAACTCAAGTCAATCATCTTCTTATTTTACTTTACAAAATATTCAAAAAGAGGTGAGTTGCATGTGCACCAAAGAGAGAGAGAGAGATTGTAACCTTTGTTAGGGGGTAAAATAGTCGATTCGAATCCAACATTGGTTTATCCAATCATATTATTGTCGAAATGTTCAAATGAAAACCGTCGATGGTCTTAATAATTGACATCACCTACATCCACCAACTGGTTCCATCATCATCAATATCAACATAGGACCAGGCATTACTGCGTAATGGTCCGAGTTGACACACCTCATATCAGTACATCAAGTAGAAAGGTAGTGAGATGAAAGATGAAGATAAGGAAATTCAGTCAAAAGAAATGCAAAGTAAGAGAAGAAAGAAGGGAAGAATGCGAAAATGGTGAGATCCGGTATAGCGTCGTTAAGATGAGGATAATGTGTGTATACATCTGCGCCACTGACATCGGTTCTGAGCCGTGCGATCACCTAGAGTCTCTAACCACTGGTTCCTCTTGTCCCACTGACCCCAACCACCTAGTCTGCATCATCCTACATGGCTCAAACCAACAGTCAGAGACTTCATACATTGGTGTCATGTTTCAGTCTGGCCACATTGGGCCATCACCAGAAACTGCTGAAATTCCCAGTTGTGCAGAAACACATCTGAACAGAACTTGTGGGAGGGGCTGTATGTTTTGACTAACGTTTTGAAAATGTGTCAGTGAACTCACTCTAGAAGAAACTTGATCAAATTTAGTTTATATACTAGTCTATGAGTCGTACATATTGCCTGTGTTAATGGCTGACGGTGATTTCAAAATGTAAAGGCTATACCTATAGGGATACTTTGAAACCCTGAATTTGGAACTTGTTGATCTAAACGGTCAATTAAGTAGTATAACAACATAATGCAAGGGAGATGTAAATTCCACCTAGAACAAAGGGTAGTCAGCAATATTCGAAATCTGAATATCCTTCCTCACAAGTGGTTACCTTTGTATGTCACTTAGATCGCTACTTATGACATTGTTATGAATGTGATCAAACATAATTTCATGTTTCAACAATAGTCAGACTTTAGGTTGGAATTCATCATGGACTAACACCAATTGGAGAAACATTGGAAACCTGCGGGCACTGGACAGCTGTTTCCTGCTAGTATGGGAGTTCTCAGCAGTGCACACGCATGACCCCGTCCCACCAGAGATCGAACCCTGGACCTTAAGGTTCCGTGACCAGCACATTACCATTGAGCCACTGGGTCGGAATCCAATCGTCCATAATTTCCTACTTCCGTCAGTTTACGATATATCGTGACCTCCATCCAGTGTCATCGTTGACTAACTGTCCTCATGTTCGACTTGGCTGGCCCCACCGGTCACGACTTCTCATTCGAACTTCGGGAATCACCTATCGAAGCTAATGATCAATGAAAGCCAGATCAATTCTATCTGAAGGTTTTGTGAAGATTTATTAATTGAATTTAGGTTGGGATTCATCATGGACTGACATCAGTTGGAGGAAACCTAAAATCAATTAATAAATCGCTACAAAACCTCCAGATAGGATAGTCAAATTTGTTATCTCATTTTTTATAATTTCATCTCACTAACTGCTCATTAAAATACTGTAGAGATACCCTTGAAAGTTATAAATTAATCCATTATGGTCATTGTACAAATTTTTTTCGATGATAGAAGGGTGCGGTAAAAGTACGAGTAAGTTGTTTCTTAGATTAGTTTTTTATTTCTCTTGGTTTTACCTTTCATGATCGATAATTGTTGATCTAGCTGAGACTAAAAATTCTTTCATTTACAGTTCTTAGATGAATTATGGGTCTGTATATAAATCCACCACAGTAGGTTAATTATTGAAAACATTCATCAAGGATCCTTGAACTTTGTTTTTGCGTGTATTAACACCTACTCATAAAAATGTTGTCAATAAATCATGACAAGTATGCTACATTGGTTACTAATAGCTCTGTGTCAACTTCGATGAAAATGTCGGTATTCCACCTTGTTTGGTGTTTCACCATCTATATAAGTGATCATATTGAATCCGTTGGTGTTTACATTCGCCGCAAAACTGATGAATTAAGAAGGTGATAGAAGTTATGTTCCTTCAATCAATTCATACGTTTGGTGGGAAGTTTCTGGTTTATTAGTCTAGGCATTTTAAACTAGTGGGTTACAAGTTCGAAACCAACTCAACCTACCAAGGTCTTGGCATCCAGCCAGGTAATATCATAAACCTTCACACACTAATTGTGACTCATTACCTACTATACGAATGAACAAGTAGTTGTTGAGTTGCATTTCGGGTTTTGGTCTCAACTCACTGTTGTTTCTACCACGTTTTAGATGTTTTTTTCCTCTCCTAAGAAATAAGTAGCAACTAGGAAGTTTTATTAGTTCCTTGTTTTTATTAGCTATTTCAAACTGAGGCAATGATAGGTCAGAAGTAAGTTGGGAGTAACCAAATCCAGACACAGTATTGATTTGTAAGGTTAATGACTGCGGATTCGGGTCGTCCGGAGAGGATGTAGGTCACCTAGTTTGAGTCCTCTAGATGTTATAAATATTGTAGTAGGCACTCTAGATGGTTTGTCTTGAAATTTTTCACATCTGTACCGTTGTATTTGTTCCTCATTTTATCTTTAGAATTTGGATAGCTTATAAATTTTCATTTGCTTACATAGGCTTTTTATTCGTTTTGAAATCAAGCTATTTTCTTTTTATTTCTCTTCTTATTTTATTGTTGAATGTGATGATACATTGAGTTAATACACATCTGTGTTAGGTTCTGTGTAGACCTTGTATTTCTCCAAACAGGTCAACTTCTGCTTATATATGCATTACACATTTCCTATCTGTTATGATGGAAAGTTATGAGGACGAACGGAAATATGTAACGATTGGTAGTCGAGAGCTGCGACGATTCAACCCTAGTGATTCGCAAAGAGAAATCAAAAGACTGGAAACCAGATGAGTTTATAGTATATTGGACTGAAAATGTTTATGAGTGAAAACGGACCGTATTTATAGAGTTTACGGTAACCTTAAAAGACAAGGGATAATTAATACATTTAACGAGGCAGGAGCCAATCAGAACAATAGTGGGTCATACGAAATGTAATCCATGCTTGGGAAAGGAGCGCGAATAAACCAGTTCAAATATATACAAAACTGTAAGTATGGGATATAAAGGATAAGGGCATCCCTAACACTATCATAATATTATTGTAGACTCCGTCATGTTGGTTTTGTGTCACTGCTTTAGTAATGTGATGTCGACCACACACGAGAGTATTTTTCACGAATCATGGTACTCATGCATACGTCTATTCTGATTCTTGTACTGGAAAACTGCTCGTGTAGAAACACCATAAAAGTTATGGGTCGGTGTTATAAGTCTTTAACTGAAAACCATTAAGCATGATGCAGCGACATAAGTCTTCACATGCAACTTGTTGCTGATGCTCTGATACGCAATCGCGTACAAAGTAGTTAAATTTTGTCCTTCTTATTTTGCTAATATTGTTACCATTTCTATTTTAATGTAATATAGCACTTTAGACTTGATTATTTTATTTGTACATTGTACAGATCAACCGGTACGACTTGTTCGTGAAGTGGTTCTGCTTACTTCTGATCGTAATTTACGCCTAAAGGCACTGAATGTCAATATACCTGCACGACCGTTAAGAACATTTGTCAACTGGTCTCGTTTACCTTTGGCTACAATAAATCCCACCAGTATGCTATCAGATACAGTGAATTCAACAGACAATAATAGAACAACACCTGCAGACTTTCCAAGACCTCAACCACGTGGACAATGGAAGCAACCATTAAAATATTAATTTGAATCCTATGAAGTTATTCAACTTCTCTGTTTTATTCTCTTCCTATTTCCTTGTGTAAAGAAAGTAAAAGCATTTCATGTATTATCTTCACTTTCATGCTAGATATAGACATCTGAACGAAAGTTAGTCTTCTATCCCTATTGGATACTTTGATGAGATAGATGCAAAGGTGAAAGAAATATACAAAATAGAATAAGCATTTCATCTGGTTTCCCCTTCAACTTGGATGTTAGAAGTTACGTGCGTGCACACAAATAGTCTTCTTCCACCCACTCCCCACCCCTTCATACACACACAACTCTTTTATTAGTATCATTTCCTCATCGTTCCTATAACTATGGGAAGACTGTAAAATCAAAATAATATTTATCTTGTAAAATTATTACTTTGTCTACTGTTGTTGTGTTATCTTTCTTCTCTTTAATACCCCAGCGTTATCCACATCTCGTTGCTCAGCTAGATTTTGTATAGTTTCTTCAGCTCAATAATAATAATAAAAATGACTTGTCCTTATGTTTAAGTTCTATTTGTAATGTAACACAACAACAACAACTACTACTATTAATACTGGTCATAACAACAATAATAGTAGTATATGATGATATAATCAAAAGAATTAATGTAGTAATCATACTGAATAAAAGTCTATTAATCTTAAGATATTTTCTTCTATTGTTTTTCAAGTGTATGTCTGTGTGAATGATCCTATTTATGAGTTTACAGATTACTCAATATTAACTTGTTACGATAAGTTCTTATAAATTTGAACCAATCATTATCCTTCTCCTTTCTAAACTATATTTTTGAGAATATGATTAATTATGTTACAAGGAAAGGTCGCTTGTTGTAGCAATGAGAATATATGTTTACGGAATTACCGATCTAATCATGAGTATTTTGTTAGCTCAAATTATACACAACTAATCAATAGTTATCCTACCTCCACTTCAATAAAATTATAGTTTGGATACAAAAGCCTCCATCGGGAAGTAGTATTATCGAGAACCTACACTTGTGTAGCTCTCATTCACTTAATATTGAATGATAACACACTGACCAAATGATAAAGTTCAAGAGCTGATGGTCCGATTCTCCACCCTTTGCTAGGTCATGAATATAAATTCCACAGCAGTCTGAAGCTAGGATAAAACAGCTGTCTAGTACACTTTCAAGCTTTCAGTGCCTTTCCAACTGAAGCTGATCCAGAATAAAAACTAATCTCTCAAAACTATCAACTAAAGATTTTAAAGGTAATGCAAAATCACTGACTAACTATTTAATTTTATCTCAAATCAACCAAATATTTAACTACTATGTCGACCATTGCCATATACTAAGAGGTAATCACTTGAACTAGAAGATTATTTAAATATATAACAATTAGTCGGTCACGAGTGAAAAAAAACGCGGGGAAAAAACCGATATGAAGAAATATGTTAAATAGACTTAGGAAGATATAAGTTTGACTATGTTTTGTACTATAGTTTTTGATTTTGAACTACGTCACTTCATCCTCCTGTTACAGTATATTGACGGTTCAACCATGTCCATTTGTATGTACATAAAATTGAAGAGTTATGCTACGGTACTTGTTTGTAAAGACTGCTAGTTTAAGGATAGATAATGCAGTTGGTGAATTATCTAATTAATTAAATCAGTGGATAAATGTTTTCGACGTTAATATACTTATTGATTAGTGATTGAATTGAGTAACAAGCTACTAAAACTTCCCTGGTATTCTTTATGTTGCTCCTATATAAGATTTGTGCATTTTTTTTTTCCTAGTCAGATTCGTGTCCATTCACGTCTATACACACAAATATTAGTGGAGATAGATTGTGACACTAAAAAGCTAGTTAATTTTCCTGGTAGATTAAGAGGGTATCTACTCCCTCTGATGTAATCTTTCTTCCAGTTTGCCCTCTACTTTACAATCTATTTGTCTTGCTTTTTCACATCTTTTAGTAAGGTAGATACATCAACACGAAACTTTGCACTGAAATGCATGACTTCAAGTTGCTACACTTTTCAGTAACAATAATTGAATAGAAAAAAAATGATTTAGAAGAAGATAAAGTGTTTTAAAAAGAAAGAGGAAAAATCAATCAAGAATAACTAAATGTTCAAAATTGTGAAGTTGATAAAAAGTATAAACAACTATGTGATTGCTCTCGATTTCGAGACATCTCTTCGAGAATTCTCAACCATTGGTTTCCATCAAGACAACCTAGATAGCTTAAAAGTGCATAATAAATAAAAGAAGTGTGCAGACCTATGAGTTAGAGGGATTTTGGATAGGCTTCATTAGTATGGCTGCAATCTTTGAGATGTTTTTCTTGTTCACTTTTTTAATGCTAACATTTCGTTTTCTAGCGTTCAGTGAAATCATTGTGTTAGCAATGTTGACGTCAGGCGAACGGTACGAGACAAAAAAGGAGAGTCGATTGATAATGAGGTTGTGAACCTTAGTCGACTGTAATGATTTGAACATGTATTGTCCATGCCAAACCACCGCCTACCTCGAAATGCCGTGCTAGGGGAAGCTGGATTAGATTGGGGGAAGAGGATTTAGGGTGACCAGACCAAGACCTAGTATCAGTTGATGAAATCCTTGGCTGTTGATCTGAGTCATATAGGAAGATGGATACTGTTTAGTTAGGGTCACCGAAAGGAAAGGAATCAATGGTTGAGGATTCTTGATGACAATCAGTCACACTGGTGCACATGTATTCACTCTTCAACGTCTTACAAAGCTTGAATATTCGCACTAACCTTTATCTTCAGATTATTTATTCTCTCACACTACTTTTCTGTTTTAATTTCATTCATATTCTATCCAGTTGTTCTTTGTATACTACTAAGGAGTGTGGCAACTTGAACTGATCTAATTGTGTTCGAGGTTCTACGTTAATTTTGTCTGGTGTTTGAAAATGATTTTGACAGATTTTTTTTGACGAAGTTAACTGTATAATTATTCTTCCAAAGGTGGATGTCGTGCTATCCATTATTGTTTTTTTGAATAATTTTTGTACACAACTTATTTCATAGGATTTTAGGTTGTTGCTATTGTTGTTAAAAATGTCTCCAAATGCGAGTTGGTTTTCTACAAATCCGAATTTCCGGATTTCTTAAGTTGTTCTCAGTGATCAGAATGTCTAGGAATGGAAGTTTACCAATTTGAAGGAGTCTAGATTGTACTACCGTCTAACAGTATATCATGCTAAGTGATGTTGTTTTCATGTGTTACTCTTAACCTTTTATCGGAACAACTGTTCCTAAGGATAGTCGAACATATTTTCTACTGTCCACTTTCTACTTACCAATTAATGTTCATTATTTAACCGTTTACACTAGCATAAGTTAGATAACACTTCATATTCTACTGGCAAATAATCATCACCTATGCATCTAAATATAATTCCTAGTCGAAAACTAGTCCAGCGGAGTCAAGCAGAGTGGGAAGTTTACACATCTATTTAATAATAACACTTGTTGTCAACTAGGTGGTATTATCAAATGAATGGAAATCAGAAATGTAGATCACTGGAATCCTATTTAATTCGACTCTGAAGCGAGACTGATATTGTGCACTTTTATTATTATTATTATTATTATTATTATTATTATTATTATTATTATTATTTGTCCTTTGGGTTTCCTAGTGGAGCATAGTAGCACGTCGCCATTTCACTCTTTTCTCTGCAATTTTTTTAACCTTGCTCTGCGATTGTTCAGAAGCCTTCATATCTTCCTCATACGATCTCCTCGGACGCCCAGCTCGTTGTTTCCCCTTTACGTTCCACTTGACGGCCTAGTGCATGATGTCTCCAAACGGCCTTTCTCAGTATATGTCCACTCCACTCCAATCCATCTCCACTTCCTTCTTCTACATATTTGTTGGGCGATAGGTTCTTGGTTGGTTCGTTGCCAGCCACAGTTCCTTGTTGCTTATTCCTTATGGCCATCTGATCTTCAGTATCGAGCAAGCGTAGGTAGCTGTTGATGTATGCCTGTAATTTATTGGAAATGCTTTTCGTAACGCGCCAAGTCTCTCAACCACCACATAGAAGCACTGACTCGCCTGAGTTAGTGTTGAAAATCCGGATCCTGTTCCGCATGCTGAGTGCAGATCTCCACACTGGTTCCAAGTTGATGAACATCTGTTTTGCTTTACCGATCCTGGCTTTGACGTCTTCATCTGTGCCACCGCCTGTAGTTGAAACAGTTCTGCCTAGATAGGTGAAGGAGGCTACTTCCTTTAAGTTTCTCCCATTGATGGCGATTGGAGCTTGTTGTTGTTAGTGGTGGCGTTGTTTGGGTATCATCATCACTTCTGTCTTCTCTACATTCACTTGAAGTCCCGTTTTCGCTGCCCTGCCTCTTCTGTCGACTTGCTAGTTTTCGCCTATAGATCTTCAGGTTTGTGCGACATTAGACACAAGTCATCGGGGAAATATAAATCTTCCAGGGTCCTTTCATCGGCCCAGCCAGCGTATCCCCCTCTTCTCTCCATGCACAGTTTGCTCCATGGTCCAATTTAGTCCAGTAGACCACAATCAGGACGATCATCGGTAATAGTAGGCGGCAATTTTGTCATACTCATTCCTGTCTTCACTTCAAAGGTATCACTGAGCTTCCCATTGTGAATTAATTGGCAAGTGGCATCGTCATATAGTTGTTGAATAAGGTTGATAAAGGTTTGTGGCACTAAAACCGTAATGTTGAAGCAGCAGCTGCCAAATCCCTCAGTCGACGCTGTCGAAGGCCTTTTCAAAATCGATGAAGTCGAGGCGAAGAGTTGACTGCCATTCTGTCATCTATTCTATGATGATGCGTAGCGTAGTGTTGCAATTTGATTCGCACATGATTTGTTTCTCATGAGTCCAGCCAGTCTGTTCCTGTCTCAGTTTTGAATGGTGATGCGGCTTAATATTTTGCTTGGGGTGGACAGGAGCATGATTCCGCACTAGTTCTTGTTCTTATAAAGACTTAGGTCTCCATCCTTTAGCAGTTTGACAAGGCTGCCCTTCTTCTAACCGACTGATAGGTACCTTTCCTTCCAAACCTTCTGCAGTGGTGGTGTGAGCATGTCCACTGATGTCTCTGCGTCTGTTTTCAGTCCTTCTGGAGGAATTCCACCTGGTCCTGCTACTTTTCCGGGTGTCAGTAACTTTATGGCGTTCAGGACTTCACTTCTGCTTATGTCGGAAGGATTGTGTTCACTGGTAGGTATGTGGCTGGGCTGCTGGTGGTATTTCTGGACGAGTTCCAGGTGGTGGTGGTCGGTTCAAGAGCCTTTTTGAAGTGGTCAGCCCATCGTTTCCTTTGTTTCTCTTCTTTGCTAACTAGGTCTACTTTACTATCTTTCATTGACTTCATCCATTTTGATCTCTTCCCATATAGTAAGTAATCTGGTTATTTGATATGTTTTCAGGTCCCTCTTACCCGCAGCCTGTTCTGCTTCAGTTGCAAGTGTGTCGTTGAAGTGTCTTTTGTCTTTGCGTGCAGTATTCTTTACTTGTTTGTTCAGTGTTTTATATGTTGTATTTAGTTCCTCTTTTCGTTGTTCATCCGTGCGTGCACTGGTTCATCTTTTGTTTCACCATCTTCCTCTCCTTCCCCTATCAGATTCCACATGTCCATGGGTATCCATTCCTTGTTTTGCTTCTTCTTTCTTCCTAACACGGTTGTGCAGATGTCTTTCCACGTCGCTTTCACAGAGTTCCAGTGTTCTTCTACGCACGTTTCCGTGGTGCATTTCTAAGGGGCCAAAAGCATGATAATCCATATTTTCTTATAGTTCCGGTGAATATCTGAATGAGTTTTTCTTACTGTGCATCATTGATTAAATGGTCTCATGGTAATAATAATATATGACACAGCACTGTCGAGTGATATGTACTCACAAGACGAAATGATTGATTGTTTGATTACACTGTATTTATGACTATTGCCAAACTGATTGGTAATCAAAAAGACTGACAATTTAGTTGTATCGTATCATTTCATCAAATAAAATTGTTGCTTATATATACACTGAAATAGCACAACTTATAAGGCACACTTAACGAAGTGTAAATTGAAAGCTAATAACTTTCTACTACAATGTATGTAAGATTTTCCTTTTGCTCCCTATGACAAAACTGTTATTGTGCTAAAGTGTTACTTCATGAATGGTTTGAAGTGGGGTTGAATGAAGTATGACGATGGAATCGCGATGTCGTTTATCCTGATGTGATGATTGTAGTTATTTTTCTCTCGCCTAATTCAAAGGGAAGTACTCTACTACCTTCGGAGTTATTGCTAACTTCCTTAGATATATGGCTTTCTACCACGGAGTCAAGAATACAAACCTTACTCCACGTCATATGGTTCAGAAAACCAACTTTTAAACTGTCGATGTATCCGCAAGTCTATTACATGAACCTTTACAACATAGTTCCTGAGTTGTATTACTTCACTAGTTAGCGTCCAATACTAAATTACCCACATGGAATGAATATATCTTTTATGAAAGGCAACAATCTGAACGAAGGATATTCTTTCCAATAAACTGTCTTGAAGTTCTATAGAGTTATAAAATGCATTTGTGCAGCGTTAAAACAAGCCATGTTTGGAGCAGGTGCATTTTCAAAATGGAGTGAGATTTAGGAAACATAAGGAAATCCATTTGTCTTTTTTGAATCAGTCAATATTGGGATGATTGATATACAGAAGAATGATATGATGGTGAACAAAAAGATAACGAATAAGATGGCGGGAGTTGCCCTTAATTAGCTGAAGGCCAAGGGAGAAGTAATACTTGGATATGTTCTTTCTGAATGCAGAGTTCAAGCTTGGTCAATCTTATTGCAACAGTCTCTGCTATGTTGAGCAGGCGTTGGCGAGCTACATATGATATCGTTTTTTCGAACACGATGAATGACATTGAAACCTTTATTAGCATCTATGTCATGCCCTGTGTCAACTAGGTGCGCTAGGACTGAACTTTTTACCACTTTTACTTCGCCTTTTCCCAACCAAGCTATTAAATGCGCTCGTATCCGGAGACGCACCTGCCTTATCATACGTCTTATGTAACTAGTTCCACAGGAACAGTTAAACTGATATATGCAAAATGAAGAGCTAAGATTAAGTAGACTATTCTTTAGTCTCGGATTGAGCATTGACCGACTACAAAGCCGACCTGCATAAAACGTTCTATTGACTACTCTGGGTAGGCGTTGTGACAGAATGTCTTTTGATTTACATATTTTTTACTTTATTTTCTCGTTTTCTGGACACTATTACTTAACTGGAAAAATCTCTTCTTCTTTTAAATTGATTATAGCCATGGCACCCAAAAAATCAACTTCACATTCTAGCAGTAGTCAACAATGCTCATCGAAAGATCCTCCACTGAATGCATCGACAATTGCACAAGAGGCATTTGAAACTGACAATAATATCGAATCAATTTTAGGTCCAGCTGATGAATACTTTAAATATGATGTAAAAGTTCATCAGTCTATTGTGAATGCTAAACCATGGGAGAAAGATCCACATTATTTTAAGTGGATTAAGATATCAGCTGTAGCATTATTGAAAATGTTAATACACGCCAAATCAGGCGGTAACCTAGAAGTAAGCGATAAAAATAATAATTGTCATTATTTTTGCTTTGTTTTTATTTTTACTACCCAAAAAATCTAAACTATAAATTGCTAGTTCAGAAACCCAACTTCCAATCAGTGGGTCATGAGTTTGAACCCTGTTGTATTTACTGGCGTTTAGGTAACGTATTCAACTACCTTGTTCACATTCGTGCAGTAGGCAATTAGTCACACGTATTGTTTAAGAGTTAGTGATACTATCTTGCTGCCCAAACCTCGGGAGATGGAAAGGGAATCGAACCCGTGACACACTGATTGGTAGTCACCTCCCTAAACTAATGAACCACAACTCCACTTAGGTAGATAAACATTGTCACTATCCGTCACAGCTATAGCCCACAGTCGGATATGCATATGGCTGCTAAGACGTACTATTTCTGTTATACTGCAGTGTATATTGATGAATCATAAAAAAACTCGTTCCAATTTGAATAGGAGCAAACTGCTGAACTACTTGAAAAAAGAATTAGACAGCTTTATGGTACTGTCAGGTTTTAAACAGCTGTAACTTGGTTATGACTTAATATGCTTGCCAACTTACTCTGTTGATGCGAAAGGAATTCTGGACCTCCTTGACTAACTACTGATCAGGGAATATTTGTCCCAGGTTTTCATAAAACCCTCTACCTTCTGAATTTCTACCTAATTATTTGAGGAACAGTGCATTACTTCATAGTTTGATTGACGCTTTTTTTACTAGGTGTAGAAGGAAACGATTAGTTCAAACTAATTTGTTTGATTTTCGAGTATGCTTTTGGGTTCAGTAGTTGGTTCATTCGGATCGCCGTCTAGTGTTATCATCGCTTACACAACAGGTTCAGGTATTAACGTGCACTTAGTTTCTGAGTGGTAATTGTTTTACTAACAACCACCTTCATACTTCTTTGTTTTAATCTACACTTGAATTTTTAGTAGATAGACAATGACACACATAGGATGTGACATTACTGCTTAACAGTCCAAGTTGCCCCACTTCATATCAGCACAAAGCGAGAATACGCCAAAATGGGAAATAAAGAACTAGGCATTCAAAGTGGTAAAACGTCATTAAAAAATAAAAAGGATATGCGAGAGAGTCCTGAAGTCACTATGATAATTTGCGACGAAGATAATATGTAGAATCATCTTCGCCACTAAGATCGACTCTTAACTGTCGCACCTAGACTACTCAATCACCTTGTCATATAGACTTAAACCAAGAAGTCTACATTTACGTACATGGCTCAGGCCAACAGTTAAAGACTTCATGAAATGATGTCATGTAGTGGTCTGACCACCTCCAACCTTTTTCCAATGTGAACCTACTTCAACTAACAGCGTACGCCAGGGTAGGATATGCTTCAGCATATGCAATATATGTCCAAACCACCTGAGTCAGTGAAGGTTCACAACCTTCGACTAAACTCGACATTACTTACGCAGTGACTCCACCTTACGCGAGCAATGCTACTGAGATACCTGTCTTCAAAAACTTTTAACGACCATGTCTCACAAGCGTAGAATAAGACAGAACGAACTGCAGCGCAGTGCACTCATCCTTTGATAGGCACTTAGATATCTTGCCAGCTGGCACCAGAGACGATGCAACTTGACAAATGTCAAGCAGGCCTTCTATATTCGAGCTGAGACTCCCTCAGTTGATGTGACTTTCCAATTAAATGAGGTGGTTAATGCATTCAGCTACTTCGCTGTCTGTCCTCAGACTAAGATTCACTGCAGACCAGTCCTGAAGCATCATCTCACGTTTGACAGATGGGAATCGCATGCCAGACATACTCATATTTCTGCTCAACGCGTTCGGAAGACTGCTTTTTTCAGCGTCCTTGCCTAACAGGACAATGTCGTTCACGTACTCTAGGTCAAGTAGACGACCTCCAGGGAATATATCAATCCCTACGAATTCAGAGCTACCTAAGGTTATATCCATTAGTACATCTATAACGAAATTAAATATTAACAGTGACATTGGGCATCTCTAACGAACACCATCGTCATTTCACATGACAGCTCTCCATAAGCCCTTACACGGCTGTGTGAGTTCAAATAGAGAGCACTGATTTGCGTTATATACTTGTTCGTTAACCCTTTCACAGTCAGATAGTGCCAGTGCACCTCATGGTTGACTGGGTCAAATGCAGCCTTCATGTCAATAAACATGGTAAGTGCCAGCCGCCGGCAAATATGTCTGTGTCCTGTAACCCGATACTATACCCACATCTGCAAGGTAGTAAGAACTAGCCATAGTATTTCCAGGAACCTGAAGAATAAATTACGTATATAAAACGAATCTACCAGATGAGGTTAATTCAGTACCACACTTGGATCCCATATGCATGTCTCGCAAACACGGCATACATCCATGACTGAAGATGTCATAGTTTTGGCTAGCAAAGCTTTTTGGCCTACTTGACGTAGGGTGCGGGCATTGAAAAGTTGATAATGCTCTAAAGGAAGTTGAGCTCTGACAGAGTGTAGTTAGGAGTATGACATGTTCCTCGAACCTCGATCATAGCGTAAAAATTTATACTTAAGGGTAACTTCTTTTTTTTCTCCCCACTATCTAACTGATATTTCTGATATGGTAGGATTTTAAGGGAACAAGCACTGCACCAGCATAGCTCGTTGGCCCAATGCGCTATGCAAGGCTAACCACCACATCAAGGTACCAGCTATCAGTCGTGTGAACTTTCAGTTAACAACTCTCAAAGTATTTTTGTACAAACTCACTAGCATTACAAAGATAATCAAGTACGTTAACCTCCTAAAAATATGGATTTTTATTACAGGTTATGGGTTTGTTAATCGGTAAAGTGGCTCATCAAACAATGATTGTTGTCGACAGTTCACCATTACCTGTTGAAGGAACAGAAACACGTGTAAATGCACAGGTAAATATTTATATTTATTTTATTTCACTTAATTGGTTATTTATATTGATAATACAATTGAAAGCCGTAGTTTAACAGGCTTCAATCTAGTTCAGTCATTTCTTCATACCTTTGCACTACTTCCTCATTTCCTTGGAAGATTTTCAACTTTCAAACTGTAGACTCCGTTTTTATTTTTATATTAACTGTAGTAAAATAATGTTTTGCCTAAATTTCCGTTGCATTTGTAGAGCTGATCTTGCACAATTCTTGTCTGATACTTTTTTTCAACTATTATACTTTAATGGATAACGGTATGCGTTTAACTGTCACCTACTTTCTTAAGCTTATTTACTTTTACTGCGTCTAACTTTATTTTTCTACTTATCATATAGTTTTTATAACGTAAATGTTTGCGATTGCATATCTGTGTTCTTGCTATCTCATATTCACTCAAAAGGTTTCTCTTCGATACGCCATGACATAGAAAACGAACCTTTGCAACACTTTTTGTCGCACTATATTATTTGTGCATATAATCTTGATAAAGTCAAAAAGCTGGTTTCTCGTGTTCATGAATAAAATATTATTATTATTTATTCTATGTATTGTATCTGTTTACTTTGCAGTCTACAAATATCTTCTCCAAATCTCATTTCAGTGTAATTGTTATACCTTTGAATGTCATATGTCTCAGCTCGGATACAGAAGGCCCATTTGCATTTGCCAACTCGCGTCATCTGTGGCACCGACTAGCAACATATTTGATTATCTATCAAACGACGAGTATACTGCACTGCGGCTCGTTCTATCTCATTATAAAGCTGTGAGACATAGTCGTTAAAAGTAGAGGACATGAAGCAGTTGCTGAGTTTCGACTACAGATTTCTTCGTAGCACTACTCACGTCTGTTGAAATCACCAAGAGATCAATGTTGAGGTCAGGCGAAGGGTACTAGGCAAGAAAAGCAAGTCGATTGGTGATGAGGTTGTGAACCTTAGTCGACTGAGATTACTTGGATATATACTGCACATGCCGGCATGCAATGCTAGGGGGGGGGGGGTTCTATTAGGTTGAAGGAAGAGGGTTCAGGGTGACTAAACCCAAGACGTGGCATCAGTTGACGAAATCCCTGACTGTTGGTCTGAGTCGTGTGGGGAGATCTAGACTGCTTGGTTGGGGTCTCCGGGACGATAGGAGTCAGTAGTTGAGATCTCTTGGTGACGTGGCTGAAAATTGATCACAAATGTATTTACTCCTTGGTTTCTTCTAAAGATTGAATATTTGCACTAACCTTTATTTTCAAATTGCTTATTCTCTCACACAACTTTGTCTTCTTTGATATCAGTTTTCTTCTATGCTACTGTGAAGTGTGGCAACTTGAGCTGCTCCACTTGTGTTCGAGGCTTTACATCGATTCTGTCTGTTTGTCTATTTGTCTCCAGCGTCAACATTTACAACTACTTCACCTTTTTAAAATAATCTCTAACGAGACTAGTCAGATAATGAATTATTTGGATTGATTTATTAGCTCTTCAACCTTCATCAGATACCTGGTCATGATCACAGGAGCTGTGGCTCAGTGGTTTGCTATCACATATAATAGGTGTGGCTTATTGCCTACTGTATTGATGTTTATAAGGTGGCTGAGTGCGTTTCTTCTACACATCCACACGTGCTGCAGACTGACAAAAACCGCGTGTTACACATATCTAGTCACTGTTTACCCTGATGTACTGTATTAACTTAAGTAGACTTAGATAAGAAGAGGACTAAGAGTGGTCAGAATAAAAAAAGAAATTAGTCCGTGAAGTCTCTGACTTTGAACCATTTCAAAAAGCTTTCAGAGAGGGGTTGGCATAAAAATTGAAACAGATGGTTGTAAACTCATTGTGATATGGTTTGAGATCTATCTCAATGATGTAAACACAACCACATACTATCCTCGTCTTAACCGTTGTTTCACATCTGATCATTGATTTCACCCGCTCTTACCTTTTTCTTGCTGGCTTTTTCCATATAGTGATGTGAGTTATGGCAACTTTAAACAATGCACAGTAATGCTGCATTCGTCACAAAAAAGAAAGTTTCACACTTTAGATATGTATCCATTTGATAAAATTCTCTTTCCTATCTTACAAAGTTTTACGTACTATACATTGAGTAATCTGCTGTCAATCTGTTTTTTTGTCATGAAACACCTTTCTGGTCTGATAGGCAGAAGCATACGAATATATGACAACTTATAAAGAAGTGGTTGCTCGAGTAGGTCGTACAGAAAATGTACTTGGGTGGTATCATTCTCATCCAGGATATGGATGTTGGCTTTCTGGTATTGATGTCAGTACTCAATTGACAAATCAAACTTATCAAGAACCTTTCGTTGCAATCGTAATTGATCCAATCAGAACAATATCTTCAGGAAAAGGTAATATTATTTTTAACTTTCTTGTAAATTAGCCTAAATCTTAAAAACTTACTAATAATTATATTCAACAGGGTTTTTTTAAAGGATGTTAACGTTTATTTTGTCGTTGAAAACTTTTACTGTTAATTATGTAGAATAATAAAAACATGAAAACTGTTACCAATAAACTTGGGTTTCATGCTTCTTACATCTTATCAATAAAATGTATATTTATACTCGAAGACTATCATATTGGATTAGTGAATTCTACAAATAGAATATAATCAGGCCGAATTGTTTAACCTCTGTTGGCAGATGGGCTCCTATCCCGATGCCTTGGTACTCCTGGACATTCATGATGTTATATTAATCTTGATGACTAGCAGAGGAATCCGAGACGCGCGTTTCGTCCTATTTGGGACTCATCAGCTGGATGTACCTGCGACTCAGTGAATGATGTTGCTCCCACTGAGACTCGAACCCATCTCTCCAAACACGGTGGCCTTATCCACTAGGCTACTTGTGCACGATATCCACCTGTCGTGCAATTGGTATCAGTAGCTGTTGTTATATTTGTAATTTTCCGTCGATATACAGGGCCGAACCGCTCGACTTGTGTTGGCAGATGAGCCCCTGTGCACATCCTGGATTCTCGTGCTAGTCACCAAGATCGTTATAATAAGGAATAAATGCAAATGTATATTTTTTCTGAAAACTGAAAGAAAAATGAATAACCATCATGTACTCACAATCCAGTATAATTAGGTCACTATAAGGTCACACATTGTGACCTCATTTATCACGATAATAGTTTCGATATTGAGAAAACGGCAAAGATTAGCTTCACTTTGTTGTCGATTTGAGACTTAATCGATAACTGGCTATGGTTTGAAATGGAAATCGATATATTTATATTGACTGACTGATATTTATAAATCCAATATGCCTATAAAGAATTAGTGATTGTCTTAACTTTCATTTTAAGTAACTATGCTGCTAGGTTTTCGTTGCACATCTGAAGTGACTTTCTACGGTTCTGTCACAGTAACCGTTCACTGGAGAAAAATAAAACATATGTATACAATAATTCTGCCGAACCGGAAACCTTACCGTCCCCAATTGTAGGTAGAATAGTGTGGTACGAATATCGTTGTAGCAGTTCCTTATTGTTCACTTACTCTAGGACTGGTTAGAAAAAGCGGAGAGATGGCCTGTTTATCACCATCGCATTGAAGATACTTATGTTTGGTGAGCATCTATCAGTGTATTGCAATTCATTAGGACGGGTTCTAATGAACGTGCAGTTAAATGTCTTCTAACTATTGCAGATATATATTTGAATGCCCACTGTCATGCTTCTTATTTAACTTCAATATATGTGTATTAATAGACGTAACCTTAGGTACGTCTGACTTTACAGGGACTGGCCTACTCCGTGGAGGTCATATGGTTGACTTGGAGTATGCAGTTGATATTGTCCTGCTAGGTGAAGACGCTGGCAAAATGCAGAGTTTTCTGAACATCTTGAGCAGAAGTCTGAGTATGTTTGGCTGACATACATTTCGCAGCTGCCAAATGTAAAATGATGCTCTAGGACTGGTCTACAAATACCCCCAGTTTAAGCATATGGAGTGGAGTGGTGGAATATGTCGGTCTCTTCATTCACTTGGGTAATTTCACTAGTCCAAGCGAACTGGTTCCTGAAGAAATCTCAGCTGGGGTACAGAAGTCCCGTTTGCATTTGCCAACTTGCGTCATCTATGTCGCTGACTGGCGAGATATCTAAGTGCCTATCAAAGGATGTGTACTAAACTGCAGTTCATTCTGTCCTATTATACAGCTGTGAACCATGGCTGTTAAAAGTAGAAAACGTGAAGCGATTACAGAGATTTGGTCTTAGATGTCTTTATGGCATTCCTTGCGTTTGTCGGAATCACCATGTAAGCAATGTTGAGGTCAGACGAAGGGTACTAGACAAGAAAGGCAAGTCGGTTGTTGAGGTTTAGAATCTTAGTCGGCTAAGATGGCTTGGTCACATACTGTACATGCCGATCCACCGCCTACCTCGACGTACCATAGTGGGAGAAGATGAATCTGGTTGGAGAAAGAGGGTTTAGGGTGACCAGACCAAGACGTTACACTGGTTCACGAAGTCACTGACTGGTGTTGTGAGTCGTATGGTGAGATGTATACTTCCTGGTTAGGGTTACCAAAACGAAAGGAATCAGTGGTTGAGGATTCTTGGTGATAGCTGAAAATCAGTCACACCGGTGCAGATGTATTCACCGTTTAACGTCTTTTATAACTTGAATATTTGAACTTACCTTTACTTTCAGATTGTTTATTCTCTCACACAACCTCATCTTTTTTGATATCACTCATATTCTATCCAGTTGTTCTTTGTATACTACTGAGGAGATTAGTAACTTGAACTGATGCATTTGTGTCCGAGGTACTACGTTGTTTTGAGTGTCTTTCTATGTCTGAAAATCGAAACCAGTGGTAATCATACCACAGTTCTCTGGTTTCATCTATTATCAAAGCTCAAACAGAAATAGTTAATGCTTCATTCAATGTATCTTTGATCTTGCTTATTGAATAGCATATTCCTACTTTCTCTTCTGTCCTATACTTTTTTCCCTGTATATCAATTTTGTTTTCCTTTGTATGACTCATTTCTTGGTGCACATACTACCTCAAGTTGTTTTTTTTTTTTAAATGAATAGTGAATGAATTCACCATCATTTTATTTTCATGTTATCTGAATGTCATATATACTTGCTTATTCGTTTTGAACTTTTGTCTTATTTTTACATACCCTGTTACAACACAACATAAATATCCTATTCAAAAGTCATAAATAATCATGTATACACATTCCATCTGCATTTGGTAATATATTCGAATTTTACATCTAAAAAGTAAACCTTTATAAACTTTTACGAGATATATCCTTTTATATCTTATATACTATCTCCCTTATTCTTATCTGAGTTTTGTTCTTATGCTAAGTTAGTCAGGCCTTTGACCTACCTAGCTCTTTATTCATTAAGTACACTTACGAAGTAGTCATATCAAGGTTTTTCTTTACTAAATTCTAAACTATATATGTTCCTATTTTACAGTTTTTTAGTTTTCTATAAGTTTTATTACATCAGAAATTTTACTTCTATTCATTCATCAGGCTAAGTAATGATGAAATAGTTATGAGAATTATTTTTCTCTTTTTTTTTCTATTCTTTCTTTTTCATAAGTTAATCTAGGGGCATTTCGTACCTATCCAGTTGGTTATCGACCTCCAGATGATGGACCTTCAGAATATCAGTCAATACCAATGGATAAAATTGAAGATTTTGGAGTACATTGTAAACATTATTATTCTTTAGAAGTTTCACACTTTAAATCTGTTTTGGATAAACGATTATTGGATTCATTATGGAATAAATATTGGGTGAATACATTAAGTTCATTGAGTATATTAGCTCAACCAGATTATTTAGCTGGTTTAACAAAGATCTTGCTGAGAAAATTGAACATGCAGCCGCTTCAGTAAGTTAAATTTTTACTATAGATATGATGTAATATAGTGAATATGATTTTTGCTTACAGTCCCTACTCCTACCATTACTAACTATTAATCTTCTAAGAAATTTATTTCCTGTTTATTTTAGATAATAATTAGACAAACAGAATGAAGTCAAACCACATATTAAAGTGTAACAGTTCAAGTAAAAAGATGGACTTATATTTCCACTGAATTCTTACTCGAATATATACACTCAAATTAGCTCAAAACCAAGTAGTAGCTCTCATTGGGGTTTGGGATGCACTTTTCTGCCTATTTGGAACTCTTTGGCTGTATGTATCTACTTTGTAGTAAGTGATGGTGTGCCCACTGGGACTCGAGCCAAGAACATATCACCTTAAACACCAGAGCGTTATCTGCTAGGTTACTGAGTCGAAACCGCCACCTTTTGTTGGAAACGTCTCATTTTTCATTTTATTAAAAAGTTTTAATATCCCAGTGATTAGAATAGTGTACCTAGTTGATCGGTGTATGTGTTCGGATGGATGCCTTGATATCTCGTCAAGTTGCATTTTGATATTGTTTACTTGGTAGTGGCTAACAGTGAGATCCAGGATGCTCTTTTCTTCCTGTTTGAAACCCATCAGATGGATCTACCTACCTATATTGCAGGTGAATGGTGGTATTTCTCATGTGTCCATTTGCTGACAAAGGCCAGTCACTCCAGTCTACTACAATATTCATCGGGAAACTGTAAACATTCATCAATAACTTGTTATTTGGACTTTGGACTTTGTTCACATAAAGTTGTAAATTCAGACAGATAGGTAACTCAATCCGGCTAGTTAACTGATTGTGTGTACTGTATGGTTTAAGAGATTTATTGAAAAGGAAGCATAGATGTTTACACCTTAATGTTTTAGTTAAATGATTTCCTGTTTATTTGTCTGTTTTCTTACATTGATCACTTCATAGTTTGCATTTCTTTGAAAATCTTTTCTTTTTCCCTGAAAATTAATCACAATAGATGTCTCGTATGAACTGGGATAATGATCGATTGGAAGATCGACTTGCAAAATGTAGTAAAGATGCAACAAAACTGGCTATGGAACAATTGCATGCTTTAACTGGTCAACTAATAAAAGATAGTTTATTCAACAAAATTTAAATTGTTATGCTTGACTCGTTCTACTTTAATTTGTTTGTAATAACTCCCTGTATCATTATCATTATCTTTAAACTGATAACAGAAATGAAATATCTTAAAACCTTCCATACAACTTTTGAATTGAGATGTGCAAACTTCCCATCAGTGAAATAATGCGCTTACTTCATAGAAGGATATTTTTACTGAGCAGATGTATAGTAAACAGAAGTATATCGTGGCTTATTTGATGGAACTGAATGTAGTGACTAGTTTATCTATCTTCCTATAAACATACCCATATGGTTCATTTCGATTTTTCAAGCAAATAATGATTTCTTGTATTTCGTAGTGTGCAGCTGAGACAAATAATAGATATTGAACCAACTTCACTACTCATTGAATACTGATCATCTGAAGTATACGTGATAGATAGGAACACTTTCAACCATGTTTAAGTTTCTTTGTTGTATCAAAAGCAATGTAAATATTAGTAACGTATATACGCCGTACAATGCTACGCACCTACAAATAATGTAGATCAAGAGAAAAAGGAGGAATTCTACAGACAACTACAATCAACACTGGACAAGATTCCAGATGGCGACATCAAAATTCTAATGGGTGACGTGAATGCCAAACTGAGAGGGGACAACACCGGAAGAGAACTAACCGTGGGTCGAGAAGCACTCAGTGAAATGAATGAGAATGGAGAACTGTTTGCAGAATTTTGCGCATCCAACGATTTGGATATCCACAAAGCAAGCGACATGGATTTCAGCAGACACCAGGACACACTAAAAATCAGATTGACTTCATCTCAATCTTAAGAAAGTGGAGACGCAGTCTACTTGACACAAGATCAAGAAGGGGAGCAGACGTAGGTTCCGAACACTATCTAGTGCAAGGAACCTTCCAAATCAAGTTGAAAACCTTCAAGAAGTTGGTGATAGAACGCAGTTCAAGTTCAACACCCAGAACACAAACTGAAGGACGAAACTACAAAGGACGTCTTCACGTCAGCCATCAGACAAAATGGGAGATATCGAGCAACATCTCTGAAGAAACCTGTGCGGATGAGCACTGGAACTCTTTGAAAGAGATGTGGAAAGAAAACTGCATAACCGTGTTAGGAAACAAAAAAAAACATGACAAGGAATGGACCTCGACGGACACATGGGAACTGATAGAGCAGGGAGAAGAAGATAGTAAAGCAGAAGGTGGACCAGTGCGGTGCAAGGATGAACAACGAAAAGAGGAACTGAACACAACCTATAAACCACTACACTGGACAAAGAAGTGAAGAAGAGTGCACGCAAAGATAAAAGACACTTCTACGACACACTGGGAAGTGAAGCAGAACAGGCTGCTGGCTGGTAGGAGAGACCTGACATCACCGTATCAAATAACCAGGTCACTATCTGGGAAGAGATCAACTAAGATGAAACTAATAAAACATGATGGAAGCGATCTAATTACCAAGGAAGAGATACAAAGGAAACAATGGGCTGACCACTTCAAAAGGCTCTTGAATCAACTACCACCTGCAACTCTTCCAGAAATACCACTAGTAACGACAGAACTACCAGAGAACACAGGTCCTCCAACAAAAACAGAAGTCCTGAGCTCCATAAAGCTACTGAAATGTGGGAAAGCAGCAGGACCAGATGGAATTTCACCAGAAGCACTGAGAACAAACTCAGGGACAACAGCGGACATGCTCACACCACTATTGCAGAAGGTCTGGAAGGAAGGGAAGGTACCTGGCGACTGGAAGAAGGGTTACCTTGTCAAACTCTCGAAGATAAAGGGGGACCTAAGTCTTTGCAAGAACTGGCGAGGAATCACTCTCCTGTCCACCCAGAGCAAGCAAAATATTAAGCCGCATAATCCTGATGAGACTAAAGGACGCGCTGGTTTCAAAACTACTACCGGAACAGGCTGGGTGGATTCAGGAAGTACAAATCGTGTGCAGACCAAATTGCAACGCTTCGCATCATCATAGAACAGAGTATAGAATGGCAGTCAACCCTCTGCCTCGACTTCATCGACTTTAAGAAGACCTTTGACAGTGTCGACCGAGAAGTAATTTGGAAACTGCTTCAACACTACGGAATACCGCAAACCTTTATCCGCCTCATTCAACAACTATATGAAGACGCCGCATGTCAAGTAATTCACATTGGGAAGCTCAGTGATGCTTTTGTAGTGAAATAAGGCTGTCTACTACCACCCATGATATTCCTGATTGTGGTTGACTGGACTGGATCATGCAACAAACTGTGAGGAGCGAGAAGAGGGGGATACGCTGGACTGCGGAAAAGGACCTAGAAGATTTGGATTTTGCCGATGACTTGTGTCTGATGTCACAAACTTGAAGATCTACAGGCGAAAACTAACAAGTTGACAGAAGAGGCAGGGCAGCGAAGACGGAACTTCAAGTGAACGTAGCAAAGACAGAGGTGATAAAGATACCCAATTAACAGCAACAACAATCTCCAATCCCCATCAACGGGAAAAACCTAAAGGAAGTAACCTCCTTCACCTATCTAGGAAGGACTGTTTCAACTACAGGTGGCACCGACGAGGACGTTAAAGCCAGGATCGGAAAACAAGACAGGTCTTCGTTCATTAACCTGAAGCCAGTGTAGAGATCTGCACTCAGCACAAGGCGTGAACAACATCTGGATTTTCAGCAAGAAGTCATTCAAGTCGATGCTTCTATATGGTTGAGAGACTTGACGCGTTACTAAAAGGATTTCCAACAAACTAAAGATATTCATCAACAACTGCCTACGCTGGCTCGATACTGAAGCTCAGATAGCCAGATTAGGAAGAATAAGCAACAAGGAACTGTGGCTGGGAACAAACCACCAACCAACCAGTGTATAAGAGGGGAGATAAGTCTTCTGGTGACAACCATAGGGTAATCAGTTTAGCAAATCGCATTCGAGTTCTTGGGGTTCATAGTTGTCTGATACCTAACTGGAGCTTGAGAGGAGAAAACGAGACAGGTTTCAGACCAGGATGAGGGTGTGTCGATCATATTTTTACCCTCAGGCAGGTTCTGGAACGCAAGCGTACTTACTGGTGACTGACACGCCAAATTTCTTGACCTGAAGGCGGCATTGGACTCTATCGAACGTGAAGTGTCTGACTGTGAAGGGAGTACCTAGCGCTTATGTAACTTCAGTCCATGCCATGTAAGAGCTTATAGAGAGTTATCACCTGAACCGACAACAACCAGTGGTGTCCGCCATGGTTGTAACATTGGACGTAGTCTTAGGTACCTCTGAATTCATAGGGATTTATTTATTCACTCGATGGCATGTGGTTTACTTGGAGTGCTCATATGATATTGTTCTCTAAGGTGGAGACACTAGGTCTTTTAAACGCGTTGAATATGTTCGACACCGGTTTAGCACCTGTCAAATGTCAGAAAGTGATACTTTAGGATTCTTCTGCTACTAATCTTTGTTTAAGAATAGGCAATGAATTTTTGGGATATGTTGACCACTACACCTACTTGGACAGTTGCATCACCTTGAACGGATTGGTTTTCAATGAAATATCAGCTCGAATACAGAAGGCCTGTTTTGCATTTGCCAGCCTGCACCATCTCTGGTGAGATATCTGACTGCCTACTAAAGAATGAGTGTACTGTGCTGCTGTTCGCTTTATCCCATTTTGCGGCTGTGATACATAGCCATTGAAAGTAGAAAACATGGAAAGATTACAGGTCTGTGACTTCACAGCACTGATCAAGTAAGATGCAGCCACTATGTAACAACGAAGTTAGGTGAAGGGTACTAGGCAAGTCGGTGAAGCTCTTAACCTTCGTTGACTTGGACATGTGTTGCGCATGCTGAGACACCGCCTATCTTGACCTTTGATGCTAGGGAAAGTTGGACTAGGATGGCCAAACCAGGACGTGGCACCAGCGCGATAGAGCCCATGACTTGGTCTGAGCCGTGTACCGAGGTGTAGGCTATCTTGCTTGGGTCCCTGAAATGACAGGAATCAAGATTCGAGAATTCTTGGTGATATGGCTAAAAATAGGTCACAGTGGTGCAGACTTATTCACTCTTTAACGTTTTCTAAAGCTTGGATATGATCGTTAACGTTCATCTCCAAACTGTTTCTCTTCTCAATCACGTTTTTCTACTTTTATATCATATTTTTCTCTCCACTTGTTATTTGTATGCAGCTATAGATTGTGGCAACTTGCACTGATGCACTTCTGTGCTAGGTTCTATGTTAATTTTGTTTGTCTGTAGGCAGAATGAGATTCGAACCCGTAACTGGCTAATTCATAGTCAACTATGTAGTTGAGTGAGTCATAACTTCCGACCGATAGCTCATACTCTGATGTAGTAGGTAATTAAGGTTTTCATCTGTCTATAGTAGTCACTGACATACTCTCCTAAATCGCTCCACCGTTCGAACCACAGTCAACGTACTTTAGCAATAAGAAACTGGCTAGAATTCGAGGTCCTTGAACATTAGGCATGCCCGATAGCTTAGAATTTAAACCTACACGTGACCAATGCAACACCATATTTTCAAAAACCTTATTTTTAACAGTCATACGGAGTACTCACCATGCAATACTGAACGCGAAAAACCAATTAAAACTTTCAAATACGGTTGCACTTTTTCTGTGTTACTCTCAGGCGCATTGGTGTAGTGCAAAACTCGTAACAATACTCAACTGTACTGCTGGCGGCTTTATCTCTGCTCACCATTGCCTTCTGAAACAGTCTCAGTGAGAACATCATCATGTAAGTAAATCCATCTGACAAGTTCCAAATAGAACAGAACGAGGGTCCTGGATTCCACTGCTAGCCGCTATTTATCCTTAAAGTACTATCTTTTAATATTTCCCAGTCGGAAGTTTATTTCTAATCTTTCTAAGTGTTTAACTCTCTAATTATGTTTAACACTGAAGAATATCATGTACGCTGAAATCACTTGTGCGTGATACTGCATTACTGTGAGCAAGATAGTGTTGAGTTATGATAGAGAAAGGAAACGAACAGTGGCCCCTAGAAACTAATAGACTTTTCCTTCTTCCTTACTCCACCACAAACTTACTTTTGAAGTTTTATTGGTTAACACCAAGTTTAATGTAGAAATTGTGTTGAAAACAGCACCACTAGGTGCGTGACCTCCTTAGTAAACCGGCTTACGACTTTACTAGGTGAATATTTTCCAGTTTTAATAAATATTTAGAATGTCTGTGAATCACTCAATCAACTGTAAACGATTTGGGTAAGATCCTGATGTTAAGTAACGCAATTGTCAATACTTACCAACCTGAAAGTCTACTTTTACCTACACGGCCCAGAAGTAAATTCTGAGGCTTCATGGACTAATGTCATTTTAGTCTGCCCAACTTTACCCTGTCAATGGCCTAAATCTACCCCAGCAAATTTTGTGCGATGAAGTAGACGGTGACTGGAAATGTGTGGCACATATTCCACCAAAGTGAGTCTGTGACGATTCAGAACCTCATCAACTCACCCATATCTTTTCCTCGAGACTGTACACCCGACTTTTGCATTGGTAACTTGGTGGTGCCACGACACGCGGTCACTGGTACGAATACGCCAGTAGTCCAGCACTCAGAGTCTTCTCATATTCTTCACCTTTAATTAGCACGTTTCACAGTTACAGAGTAAGAGGGAGCGAACTGCTACACAGTTAAGTCAACTCTTAGTAGCAGTCCGATATTTCACTTGTATCATAAGTAGTGTAGAATCGTGAAACTCAATCCATCTATTTTTGAACACACCGAGATTTCGTCGGTCACCGACCTATCACGGTTGACCTTCATATTCTGAAGTACTGTTTATCCTTTTTTATTTTATGTTCACTCTTGCTTATTGTCTTTGGCTGCGTGACCTAATAGTAAAAGGGTGATTTGTAATCATTCAGAGTTGTTCCTCTGTTCATTTACCATATCAACACCATTACTTCAAAATATTTTATAGAGATTAGTCACATTTGTCTACGTTAAGTTGTTTACACTTAAATTCAATACATTTCCAAAATGTTGATTCAAGACTAATTGACCGGCTGTGCGATATCTCAGTCATTCACAAATAAAAGACCCTCGTAATTTACAAAGCAAAAAAAATATATCCTAGAATGGCAAGTACTATATATTCTCAGTTAATTCACAAACATATGGTTTTCTTCTCTTCTTTTTTACTTTAAAATATGAATATTTGACTGACAGAATATTATTCGATGTATTTTATTTCATACCACTAGGAGTGTGTTTGAAATGCTAATTCATACGAAGGAATAAACAGCCTTCATGTCAAATGTAAGTTGGTGTTTTACAAACCAATCAATCTATCACTTATGATGCTACATTGTTCCAAAATGTTGAAACTCGAATCCAAATTGTTTTGTAGGTTATTGCAGCCACTACTACTTCTTTGACGGACCTTAGAACTAATCATCCTATAAACACCCTAGTATATAAATTTATATTAACCAGAAAAGCATTAAGCACTCGAAATGAATGTGACTTTCCAGAAAAACACGTCTCGGTGTAGGACCCAAGTTCATGACCTCCGTGCATAACAGTGACTGGATTACAGTCCAACCATTAGGTTTCAATTCAGTGGTTCATACCCTCAAAATTCAGCTGATTTAGAATGACCATCTAATTTCATCAATATCACTCATCTTCATACTCGAATTGGTGTTTTCTCCTGAATTTCGTGATCGAAAGTAATAGAATTCATGAAGATTTCCACTGAAGTCATCCATCATTGTGATATACCTACAGTTATCTGTAACCTATTACCTTAAATGCAATTCCCCACTTTTCTTTAGAAATTCCTATCATCGTCATGCATTTTAAACGGAATTTTAGGAACATTTGAGATTGTTATTCATATAAATCTATCCTGAAACGAATTTTATCAGGTTCAATCAACCGTTTCAATTACTGCCTATTAGCAACATATACAAATTCCTTCACTCGAATTATTATGGATATAGAATCGTAGAGCTGTAGAAAAAATTCATCCAATGAATGTTCTTTGTTTATTTATGTGCATCCATATAGACGGAGAGTTAAAACGTATGGCTACAGTATTGATACAGAACACCTCATGTCAATATAATTTATGAGGGTGATTTTTAAATCAAGAAAGTAAAACCAAAAGTTGTTATTCATCCTATCTACATACTCCAACACAAAGATGACAGCCGTTGAATCAGAGTTGGAATAATTTTCCTATTTCGAGGACTATTTATGAGAACTACGTATTGATTGAGACAGACAGATCATTCAACGTAGAATTTGAAGTAGATGTGCATCATTTCAAATTGCCACAATTAGTAACATCACGTAAAGAAGTGGTAAGAAGAAGAATGATACTGAGGTAGACAAAGGTGTGTGACAAGCAAGAAACTAAATCGATAACGGTGATAACATAGATGTAGGTTGATAAAATTGAATGAAATTGCTAGTAATGTTTAAGCGTTGAGTATTTAGTAGTTTATTTGAGGGCTAACAGTGGAATCTAGGATGTGCGTTTCGTCCTGGTTGGGACTTATCAGCTGGATGTACATCCACCCCAGTGAGTGATGTTGTTTTCACTTGGACTGGAACCCAGTACTCATTATGTCACTGGTTCGAACACCACTCCACCTACCAAATTTTGGACAGTCATGTAGTATAATTAGCTTTCACACAACAGACATGGTTTGTTGCTCAGTGCAGGAACGTGCACAACCCTACTGAGTGCATTTAGTATATTACTATATTTCTTTTGGTAATAATATTATGAAAAGAACTCAGAAAATACAAAACACAAAAAGAAAATGTTTATTTTAAACCGAAAATCTCCCAGAATTACTTGTTCCGTTATTTCTCATCCGCATTACTTTTGACAGGTTTGTCAATTCGATTATTGATGTCAATTACATGTTCAAACCAGAAGGGAAACTGTTTAATGTAAGTGTCTACTAAAAACAGAGGCCATAAAAGAAGTCAATTTTTTGACGCTGGAAAATAATAATCCGTCTTATTCTACATTCCAAGTATCCTTCAACTGCGAAGCATACTGAGGTAATTCATCCCCATTTCGCGATGTATTTCGTGACACTTAAAGCTAATATTCCACAGTTGTAACCATATTCACAACACATGTAAACACCGAGCTAGATTTTTCACAAAAAATATCCTATGCTTCATACAATACTTGGTCTAATAAGAAACGCACAAAACCGCCTTGAAGAGCTCGGGTTGACCACGAAATTTGGTCATTTTGATTCGATTACAACTCCGGGAGGCGTTCAGAAAATCTTCAAATCTACAAGATTGGTTAATGCCTTAAATTTGTATCATTATTCACTAACATTATTTGATCATTAGTGGTTTATATGATACACTGATGTTTTGGAAAATTGATTTCCCTGGAATAAGTGCACAAATTCCGGCCACCCACCATTTAAAAGCGTCCCATAAACTGCCTACTCTGTAGATTACATTAATTTGACAGCGTACATTTCAGCTTCAAATTAGGTCCAGGAATACTTTTAAAAACCATGATCATAACACTTTTAAACTTTCCATCAACATGTGCTTATTTGAGTGACTGCATTATCGTTTCCAAATAAACCGTCTAACACCATACATGCATCGTAATAAATTATATTGATAATCATAATATTTAGCCAAACTTTGAAGTATGAACTTCATCTATAGCAACTCAGATATCTTACATCTCTCACTGATAAAATGGTCTTAAACCTTACCTAGAATAAATTCAAGCCGTTTGCCTCCATGCCAAGAAGGAAAATGTTATTATGCAAGTGTTACTGCTTGTATTCCACGGTCGTTGGTTGAACTGAATTGATCGGTCTCTATTGGCATATGGGCTCCTATGAGGATGCCTCAATACTGCCTGTGTCCTTAACTATATAGTAATGATGGATAGTGGCTAGCAGTGGAATCCAGGATATGTAGTTCGTCCTATTTGGGGCTCGTCAGTTGGGTGTACCTGCCTCCCAGTGAGTGATGTTGTTCCCACCGGGATTCGGACTCAGGAGAGATCGCTTCAAACGATAGAGCCACAATACCCGCTTCAGGTAGGTACATCCAGCTGATGAGTCCCAAACACGAAGAAATGAGCATCCTGGATTCCACTGCTTTCCACTATCCATCGTTGTTATTATGCTGTTTCAAATCTTCGAAATAGTACACGTTTACAATACTGCATTGACATAAGAGAGGATGAAACAGTATTTCTTGAATTGATTTTCAATAGCTACTACTCTGATTAAATACTTTACAAAATATTCGCTTGCATTTGCAGTTCATACTAGTTTGTTTTTATCTGAAAACTTTCAAAGAACTTATATCATAAATGGATTAACTGTACATATAACAGTAGAAGTCAGTTACTTGAACGGACACACCTTTTATATGAAAGATTATACTGTTGTTTTTTGTCGAAATAAAGCAAACATCAGTATTAGTTCAATAATATAAGCTCATTTTATTTCATCAGGTTCTTATCAGTTGTTGATAGCTTCATAAATACTGATCGATAAGTGACCCATAAGTGAAATAAACATAGACTATAGTTGTTATGGATTTACTGGAACAAGCTGATAGCCTAGTCTAATTTTAATACAATTTCAGAGTGCTTAGAATATCAAAAAACAGTTTATTTGGATTTTTCACTGTGTAAGCCCAAAGACAAATTGTTGGTATTTGGGTGAATCCCTACGAAAATTATAAAATGAAAGAAATTTTAAAAACATAATTCACTAGTCAGGTTACACTAACATGTTGGAAATTTATAGATCTTTTTCAGCCGAATATTTTGGAAAGCTAGTTAAGAATAGAAATAAAAGCATTTTGAAACTAAAAACAACAGATTCATCAACTTCTTGACAATTTGATAACCTTTAAGACATAATGTGGCAATAAGAAATGAACATATTTGATGGAAAAACAGAATACTGTCATGAAATAAAAATCAGAGTTTAACTAAAAGATGATGTACCCAAACTTACTGACTGACAACACCAACGTAAAACGTCGCACAGTATATCGGCTCAAGTTGACATATTTCACAGAAGTATAAAAAGTTGAATGAGAGAATAAACAGTCTGAAGATAACGGTTAGCGTGAATATTTAGATGTAAAGGAGTGACTACATCTGCACCATTGTGAACAAATTTTAGGCATGTCACCAAGTGTTCTCAACTACTGATTCCTTTCTTCTCGGTAACCCTAGTCAGGCAGTCTACATTTCCCACAGCACTCAGGACAACACTTAGGGATTTCATCGACTGGTGTCACGTCTTGGTTTGGCCACTCTGAACCCTTTTCCAACCTAATCGAACTTTCCTTAGCATGGCATATCGAGATAGGCTGTAACTGGGCATGCACACTATATGTTCAAGCCAGCTCAGTCGACTAACGCTCACAACCTCATTAGTCGATTTGCCTGCCTTGTCTAGTACCCATTGTCTCTGACCTCAACACTACTTACACGATGATCCCACCAAACGTCAGCGACGTTACGAAGACACTAATGATCAAATCCTTCCACAAGCTTCATGCCGTCTACATTTAAAGGCCATGTCTTTCGGCAGTATCAAAGAAAAGAAAGGACTTAAGCGCAGTATACTCAACCTTTATTAAGTAGTTGAAAATTTTACCGACCTCACAGGTGATGTAAGTTGGCAAATACCAAAAAGGGCCTTCTGTATCCGAGCTGAGATTGCATCAGCAACTAACCCGTTTGGGCTAATGCAACTCCCCAACTAAGTGAAATGGTCGATACATACTGCCACTTGACTCCTTATCATTAATCAGGGAGTCGTTGCACACCAGTCCTAGAGCATCATCTCACATTTTAAGGGTGCCAGCGAAATACATGCTAAACACACTCATATTTCTGCTCAACACGTTTACAATACCCTGCATTTTGTTATTGTCTTCATCTAGCAGGATAATACCGTCTACATACTCCAAGTCAGCCAGATGACCTTCAGGAAGTAAGTCAATCCCTATGAAGTCAGACGTACATAATATTATGTCTATTTATACGTCCATGACGAAGTTAAATGAGAACGATGATAGTGAGCATTCCTGTCGGACACCGCTAGTTGTTGTCAACTCATTTGACAACTCTCACTAAGCCCTGACACGGGCATGCAAGTTCTAGTAGAGAGCCTTGATGAGTGATACATACTTGTTTGGTACACCTTTCACAGTCAGACACTGCTACAACATCTCACGACTGACTGAGTCAAATACCACCTGCAGGTCAACAAATACAGCAAGCGCCGGTAGGTAGGCAGGCATGCTTATGTTCCAAATCTGTCTGAGGGTGAAAATATGATCCAAGAACCCTCGTAAAGGTCCGAAGTTTCCCTGATTTTCTCGAGTTTGCTGTTCTCGAGCTCCAGTTAAGCGTCGTATAACTATGGACCTTAGGATATTAGACACAATATTATTCAGGCTAATTCCCCTTAGGTCGTCAAAAGAAGATTTCTGCCCCTTCTTATAAACTGGCATGATCGGTGCACCAGACGAGTTTGACAGCACTACCACTAATTACCATCACTTTAATCAGCAATTTTCCACATCTGTCCTTGATAACTTCGGGTCGCAAACTTTCAAGCCCTGTTGCTTTGTATCAATTCAAGTTCGATATACCTTTCTCAACTTCAAAGAGAGTTGGAGGACTAGTATCTACGTCCTATTCAGGTTCAGGCTAGATGATCGGCAACTTAATCGTTGCTGAGGTTCAATTAAACTGTGCCTCAACGTGTTCTGCTCAATGTTCTAGCCACCTTTCCAAAGTAGTTATCAGTGTTTCATGCTTTCCGGCGATGACTTCACACGCCATCATTTTTTTCATTCCGGTATCCTTAATAAGCTTTAATGGTTGCTAAGTGTTACAAAATGTTGATGCCTTCTCTATCTCTCTCACTTTAGCTACCCACCACCTCTTGTGATCGACGCGAATACTCTTGGTCATATTAAGTTTAAGTTCCCTTTTCTTTTCGTCGTGGCAAGAGCTAGTTGGAACCAGTCTTCTCCTATCAGTCAGTTTGGATGACAATGCGGAAATCCCGTGACTTTTATTAACCTTCAGGTGTAGGTTACTAATTGGCTGGACCGCTGTTTCTACCTCAGATTTAATGCCGTCCCAGGTTTCCTCAAGAAGAGCATTTCTATAATGTTCAGATTAATACTTGAGTACGTCTTTCCTAAATGCAGACTTGACGTTTTCACCTTCCAGTCGATCATGTATAGGCCTTACTATCGCTTGTTTCCTGTGACCAGTGGGACGCAAACATACACGGGCTCATACTAGCGTATGATCAAAGTCCAAACTGGTACTCGAGAAAGAGCGGCAATCCTCCATCGATCTTCTCCAACAATGGCTTACAGCAATGCGATCTGTGTTCATCGTTGGTTTGATGTCATCGAAAGCCATGTAAGACCATGTCAGATATCAATATCTCCTTATGTCTAAAGTGAGTGCTGGCCACAAACAAGTGATTGTCAAACCAAAAATTGCAACAGATGATCACCATTGTCAGTTCGTTGGTATGAGCTGCTGTGAATACCTCCGAGGTGCCTTTCCGATTGACTCAGCTTAGCTTCCCTACGTGAGCGTTAAAATCACCCACCATTATGATTACAACTGAAGGTTTTGCTTTCTGTAGCAAAATTGATAGCTTCTGACAGAATTCATCCTTTGCATCATCTGAACTGGAATTGTTGCGTGCGTGGGTGATTACGGATATATATTGGTTGGTCTCATGATCCTTCCTATTGTTTACAGATCCATTCAGCCAAACAGCGTACAAACAGTTGTCTACTAGAAACCAGTTGAGGAGCAATACAAGACTTATTGTTGTGAAGTCATACGTAAAACTGTGATGAACGTAAATCAGGTTTCAGGTGTTTAATCGTAGTACTTTCATTACATTGGAAAGAAGAATCCAATTATTTTGTTCGTAAGTTGTTTCGATAAATTTCAGTGTACAAACCGGTGAGTAACTATTTAATAACAAAAAATATTTTGTTTCTTAAGTTAGACAGTTTTGAGAATACATCTGTAAATCGAAGTCAGACTTTTTATCTCATTTTCTTTAGGTAAAAAAGTTTGGCATTTTAGGATGAACCCAAGGAGAGTCTGTCTAATCGGTTTCAGAATATTTTCTTATTAGTGACTTGCTTATACTTTTGTTTACAATTTCACTCACACTACTATTTAAGGTAGATATTGAAAAGCCGTCAGCTTAAAAATTTAAGAACCAAATATCAAGCGAAGAGGCGCTTTTTCAACAAATTTATTTTCAAGCGATACAATCGTATACACATGATATTTGAAAAATTATATCCTTTGAGGAAAACTAAACACTACATGATGATGATGACAATAATAACAGAGTGGATGATGACATAGGCATTTGTGATTATGATAACAACTGAAGTGTGATTGATAACAGAGTAGGTTACGTAATATATGTATATAACTCAGAAGGGGGTGAAGAAATTGATGAAAGTGGTAAAACAAAGTGGTTAAAAATTTGCTAGAAAAGTCTCATGGATAACTAACATTTTATTTCCTCTGACATACAATTTCCTCTCTCCTAAATTTTCGCTTTTCTAGCATGTTAGCACAACTTTATCAGGGTTTTTAGTTCATTTAAATTTTTTTTCATTCACTATACCTAAACAACTGAAAAGGACACTTCTTTAATAATCCGAACTAATTAATAATCTAATTTTTCCTCATACCTTCCCGTTGATAGCTATTGTGGACAGAATTTATCGGTCTGTGTTGGTATATGGTCTCCCACGCAGATACCTCAGTAGCTTTTGAAGATCTATTGTGGTGTCTAGTAGTGACTAGTAGTCGATTCCGAGACGTGCATTTCATCCCTTTTTACACATCAGTTGGATTTACCTGTAACCTAGTGAGTAGGAACGTTTCCCCCGAGACTCGTACCCAGGACCCACTGCTTCAAATGACGTTATAACCAATCTTAAGAAAATAATAAAGTATCCGCAAAACAGCCCATATCCCAACACAGACTGATCAGTTCGATTGAAAATAACAACCAACGGGAAAGTATAACTATCGATATCCGTTGTACAAGATATGGCTCTTGTGTCTCATTGGCTTGGTGGGTTGGTGGGTTCCTGGTTCCAGTTTCAGTGGGCACAACAGCACCTAAGCATGTGCAACTTCAACTAGCTGACGTTCCTCAAATAGGACAAAATACTGCTGTCCACCTTCAACCAAATAAAGTGGTTACACTCTGACTATGTTTTTATATTTGAATAAGAAGGAAATTATTGATGAAAATCTAATGTAACGAAATGTGACGATTCCTGTTATTTTGATTTGTGTTTAGAAAAAAGATCATCATTTTAACTCTAATTTGTTGCGTTAAAAAGAAGTACCTCTCACAAGATTTGTTTACAAATCTTCCAACAGAAACCAAACTGTAGAGAAACAAATTATTAGTTGAAAAAGGTTCGTAACATTATAATATTGATAATAAATGAACCCATATTTTTTCACTCTGAGCTCTGAACTTAATTTTCATAAAAATATGATTCCAAAACTGTCCTACTAACTAAATTTTAGTAATATGATGTATCTCCATCATTTATTAGGTAAAATTCCCCACAACTCTAATTTTGTTGGAAGATATTCATCTGTCAAAAATCGTGTACTGATCGAATTCAAAGATTCTAATTCTGCTTTCTTTTCTGCTGACAGAAAATATTTAACCTGTTGATGAAAATAACATGAGTCAATAGCTTACATTACATACTTGCTTTGATAATTCCCATTCTTGTTGAACGTATGTTCGTTTACGCATTGTTTCTAATAGGGATTTATCATTATTTGTTAACGGTAAAAGTTCTGTCTCTTTAATTTGAAGACTAAAATGGAATACTTTTTAGAATATTAAAATAACTTACGATGATAATTCACTCGGTAATAACCCACAGAGTCGCAAATTCGGTATTCTGACCGGAGTTCCTTCTGCATCCTGCATCGTTGGATTCTACATTACAGAATAGTGTATAAGTCTTTATCACAAAATTATGTAATCAGGTGTCTGTGACTCATCGGTGTAAGAGTTGACTGGTCACAACCAGCTCACTGGCTTGTTCTCTATTTCACTAACTTCTATTTGAATAACAAAAATGTACTGTCTGTTAGCTTGATGTAAGAACTTGAGTTCTGCTACTTTGCTATGTGGTTATTATTCTGTCTTTTATTTTTCATATCTTTACGAATAGAATTATTGTCATTATTATTGTTATTGTTTTTAAAAGCAAAATTTTGCTGTATCAAAAGCACGAGGAAATACCTCGTATAAAGTTATCCGATATATACTGTCAGGAAGACTGAAATATTCGAAGAAATATACTGATTGGCTTTTAAGTCCACCCAAGAAACTTTGGAAATAGCTAATTACTTTTGTTTGTCTGATAGAAATTTACCACGTCAGCCGAAATAAATAAACCTATTTGCTTATTTTAATTATTACTCTAGTGATTTTTAGAGTCACTCAGTTTGCACCATTCTCGATATTACTCTAGTGTTTGTGTAGAAAATAAATATTCCAAACTCTGTGATGCCATTCTATGGATTGATATCTTTGCCTAACTTCTCTCTTTAGCAAATAACCTGTAGTATAATTCTTCATAGAATTAGTACTAATAGTGCTGAGAAGTCTGATAATGAAGTATCACGATCAAATACAATAGCTTAGCCAACACCAAACCACTGTCATCCTTATCCTGAGCAATATGTCTCTATTATCTCAGAGCTCTGGAAGTGTTTGAAATCTTCATTTACATACAATTCAACCAGTACTTGGTCGATTCTGACAACAGGCCATAAGCTACATTCAGCTCAAAGAAGTTATGAGGTCAAGGTTAGAGACGCAGTATTTATACCAGTTGCTTTGATTCACTACAAACTTGACTTTGGTAAGATTTCTTGGTCATTTTATTGTACAACGTCGCATTTTCGAAATGGATGAGGATTTCAAGCTGAATGGCTTTTCCTAAGATATTACATTTATATATTCTCTGATTACGTAATTTTATTTGGGACTCTATGGAGTATGACACAATTATAGCTCATCATTTAAATTTACATAAACATTGTAATAATGAATAAAGCTGCTTCATTATGAGCATTACTGACTGTGATACTGGTTTCGTTTCTTATAAGATTTGATATTTGATAGCAAATGTTTTGTTGTTGCTACTCCTAAAAAAGCATTCACGATGAAATGTAAGCGATCAAACAACAACAAACGACTATTCTCTCGATCTCTAGATTAAAGTTTTGTCTGATTTCTTACGCTATTGACGGTATAGCTTGTAGTTTCTCATAGTTGATTGGACTGAATCGATTGGTTACAATTGGTATATGGGTTCCTGCACCGATGCCTCCGTATGACTAGTAATTTCGTTTAGTAGTAGTGACGGAGAGTTGTTAGCAGTGGAGTCTGTGACGCGTATTTCGTCCTGTTAAGGTCTTGTCATCTGAGTGTACCTGCATTCTAATTAGTAATGGTGTTTCCAGTGAGACTCGGACCCAGTACCCATAGCTTCAAAAGCAAGAGCTTTATCTACTGGGCCAGTGAGGTACATAATGTTTGATAGTCAGCTCAGACACCCACGTAAACCAGTGCAGGTCACAATTTGCTTTTGAAGAGCCAAATACACGATGTTAAACTTCTCATATTTCTGTTAGGACAAAAAGTTGAACTAATGATTGCCACACATATCAATTTATTAGTTGACTCACATTCTTCATGACATATTATTTGACAACAGTGCACTGCCTTCAAGGAATCATTTGTATGTATAGCTCAAGTATATGAATAAAAAGAAATTAAGTAAGCTACTCAAAACATTTAATAATGAAGTAGTATGTAGATGCCGTGGCTAAAAATCCACCACAGTATTTTCGACGAACACACTTATTATTTTTCTCCGAATTATAACAATATACTTGATGTCAGATTACTGAATCCTTATTCACCTATCTCCCTGTTTTCACTATTTTTCACCTACTCAATGTATACTGTCGGAATGGTTCAATTTTGTATGCGGTTCGGTGGTATTCTGTTTCCCTTTCGATTTCTCAATACAACTGAATTGTAAAACAAGGGGAAGATCTGGTAAACACAAAGTCAAAAGTGAAAATGAACTATAGTGTTTACGATTTCCAACTTAAAGAAAATAAGCCATGTTTGGCTCTAAGATTTTCTTTTTCATCCAGAAATGTCAGACTGACTTTTCTCTGTTTATAGATGACCTTGGCTATAGTACTATTTTTATTAGTATAGAAGCGCACAAACTTCAGAACTTTATCCTAATGATGTTATCTAGAATGACAACGAAACCTCCAAGATTAAACAATCCAGCTCAAAGAACACAACCCCATCAAATTTATTCTCCCGAGCTACAAATATTCTCCATCGTCTCAAAATCCTACAAGCACAGACTATTTCAATCATATCAAAAATTCATATGAATCATGTAAGGGATATGAAGGTGAACAATAAACTCTGCTCGAAAGGTCGTCATGTAAATTATACTGTATCACTGTGCGCTACATCAAATAAACAATCTAATATGGAATTCAGTTGAATAATTTACCATATCGTTTCAAAATAATTGTTTTCCAAGAAAACTTTGAAGTTTCTCTGTCTATTAACATACAAGTGGAGTTCGTTGAAATCACACATGAACGTAGATCACAGAGGCTTTCTGTATTTCCTCTTTAAGAAAACGTAAAAATATGCTGTAATTCAATGATCTTGTATTATGAAGTTATTTAAAGGGGTTATTACCATATAGTTTAGGCTTACAGAGACAAATTGTTGTTATGAATCGAAGTATAACTAACAAAATTTTCATATTTATTCAGAATGTCCATGTGTAAATATTTTTGTTTATTACACTACTACTCCACAGAAGAAAATGCATATTTATGGACTTTGAAATCCCGCAACGACTAGTTATTGTTTATATCTGAATATCACTTCTGAGGAGATTCGTGACAAGCCTGAGATTCTTACAAAAAAAGGTAACTATCTCAACAGATGTTATAAACTGAAAGCAAATGCTTATCAAGTCTTGACTTTCAAGCAGTTCACCACTTTGACAAATGTAATAATCGGGCAATTAAACGACCATTGATTTCAAGCTTACCATAGTTCCATATTTGTATGTACAGAACACATTTATACCTGTAAATTAGAATGGATTTCATCAAAACATTTTCAAAATCTTACCATGTGGATCAGCATCAAATAGTCCAAGCATAGGTATATTTGGATAAACATGATTTAGTTGAGCAAGAAATTTTCTACTCATTAAATCTGGATAGCCCTTAGCCTTGTAAAAATAGCCAAACCTGATGAAACCAAAATGTGAAGTTATCAACCTACCGTGACCAATAAACATGGTTTGAACTTTTCATAAAAGCTTTCATTTAAGAGTTTTTGAAAAATTGTGTCCTTTTCTACCACCAAAACAAACTGAGCTGAACAATCTATGCCTAATCAACAAATTTGATATAAGTTATAAATTTCTGATTTGATCAATCACTTGATAGACTGATATCCAATCCCGTCCTGAATATAGTTTCTGTTATAGCCTATAGGTGAAAAGTAAAATTATGAGAATAGTCTACTACGTTTTTTTAGTAAGCTTATATTATTTTCCATTATAAATGTTATTGGAGAAATTCATCAAGTAGATAATCTTGATAAAGAAGATAAACAGGATGAATGCTACAACCATTTTAAAAGATCTTTGGTAATTAGAAATAATCAATGATCAATAATAATTAATTAACAATCCATTTAAATTCCCACAAAGTAATAAAATTCTTGTGACAAAAATAAATTACAGATTACAGAGTTGACTAGTTCATTTTATAACTGTTTGAATTTTCCAGTTCCTTGACAGTTTTACAGTTTGCAACAAACAATATAATTTCAGCATGAAATAAGGAACATTTTTTATGCTAAGTAACTAAATGTAAAAGAGTTATGATTGTAAATTCATAAAACACCGTTTTACATTTCATTTATAAGAGAGACTTCAGTCCAGTTGCATCTTTGTCTCTTCATGTGCAAATAAATAACCTAAGTGATGAATTTTAGTCATACCATTAGTACCTGCAACTTTCCGGTTACATTGGAAGTTTTTTTCAATTTAATGCCTTTTCATGAGTCTACACCACTTACTAGTAGTGTATCATACACTTAGAAAGAAAATTAAAATCTAAAAAGTAACCCCTCTGATTAATTTTTTGCTTCACATTGGACATTGGTGCTTTTTATTTCATATCCTAATTTGTTAGGCTGTCGTTGTAGATAGAAAAACACAATTTCACCCTTTGATAAGAATTTTCGACAGCTTACCAACATTATTATTATTATTATTATTATAATCAGTAGTAGTAGCAGTAGTAGTGGTGTTGACCAGCTATTCACAACGTGAAATAAAGTTTACAACCTTATTTTTTCTTGTTCTGCTTCTTGGTTCTGAGTTACTATTGAATACCTTCACAAAAAAGGTTAACTAGTAGGTAAGTTTCTTGATATTAATTCATTCGCATCATGAAATATTTACACTGTGATCACAGTGAACAAAGTTTATCAGGTCTTAGGCTGATATATCATATTCAGACACCTAATCTTCACTGATACATTATCACTGCAGTAGTTTCCAATCCTACATAGAAGTTTTAGATACAGCAGAGTTCTAATACACTAACCATTTCTTTCCAATTATAACACCTCTCTCGCCAGCTCACACAAAATACCAATAAAGTTTAGCTTCTTCTTATTAACCACAGGACTCAGTTGATCTATTACATATTTGTTTGTTGTACTGACTATATCATCAAGGCTAAAGACACCAAATTTGTTCACACTTTCATACTTACTTTTTATGACTGCTTTTACAGTATTTCATTCAGGAGACGTAGAAAGCACTCTCTGCAATCTAACAGAAGTTTATACTAGTATTATTCCTTGCATCCTGGATTCCACTGCTAGCAACTGTACATCATTACTAGAAGTTTATACTTATGATCTGTGCTCATAAAATCTATGAAAACATTAATACTACTTTCCAGTAAGGTTAATAAGGCGAAAACTTGAGAAATGAGGCCTATTTAGCACTATTTCTCAATCAATCAAAGGAATTCAAAAGTCATCATTCAAAAAAACTAAGCAGTGTAAGATTAAAACTTGGTGTAATCTTGACTACTTTCCATGTTAGAGTAGTTCATCGTATATTTTGACTGAAATATACATTCCACTAGTACTTGTTTACATAAATTTTAATTTCAGTTGCAATAAACCTCTAATAATTATTTTGAGAAATAGTGATTAAAATATTCTCAAAGAAGTTTCAACCATGAATATTTTGCAAAATGTTGAATATAGACACCTTTGTAGGACGTAAATAAAACCAATAGTAACTTTGAGATATTACACAATAATTTTGGCGTAATTTCATCTTGATAAGAAAATAAAATTAAATAAATCAGCAAAATACTCACAAGACCATTTTCACTTTTTGTTTTTAAAACAATATCACCGTAGACAACCAGTTTAGAAGAAGCATTCTAAGAGGAGAAAGTCGAATTAAAGTAGATACTTACTATGTTAAGTGCGCAACGAGGAAGATCAAAATTATGACAAATCTTTGACAAGATTGGATCTATGGTCGACTGTCGTTTAAATAAATTTGGATTTGAGTAATATATAGACCTATACATATATCAAGCATTAATTGAATGCTTTTTTTTACCTTTTGTGATAATTTTTTTTCACGTATGGCTTCATGAATCATTTTCAAGATAACCATTAGGCGAGCTGAATATATGTGTACAAAAACGTGGATTTGAATACGGTAAAAAAAATAATAAATGTTCGAAAAATCATCTTCATAAATAAACATTTTTCATTTGCCACAACGGCCATTACTTATCACTCTAGGCAATATGATACCGTATGCGGTCATTTTGGTGAAATTTTGCTACATCTTAATCCTAACTGTTATACAAGATCCACTTAAATAATGGTGAAAAAAAGAATAAGACTTAACTGATTTCTATTACTGATTAGCTACGATCATTCTGTAATGAATTAAAAATCTCAGAATATGATCTCGCAACTGTCATCTTAGTAAATCCTTTCTCTACTGTTTTTGAAAGACGAATTGTGGACTAATATAACCATGTAGTATTCACCAGAAGTAATAATTCACAATGATTCCATAAGAACAAGTATTGTAATAGTGATAAGTATATCTTGGACAGCTTCAATAGTGCAACAGTTTTTAAGCAGTTTTATGAAACATTTCAAAGAGGCTCAGTTACACAATAATAATTCCTAATATTTACAGTAGTCAATTCAAATGTCATTACACACGAAAGCACTTCTTATAACGCTATAAGACATCACTCATCGATTGAAGCATATGTCAAATGTCTGTGTGAATAATCACAAGTTATCACAATTTACATTTGATTAATCGTTCTTTCTCAAGGTCATTTCACTATTCACAAGTAATTTTGTTTGATCTAATAGTTCTGCGTTTTTGAACCTTTTTTACGTATAATATTTAATTTATTGTGTTGTCTCTGCAAAGAAAAAACACCGTAGTGTTATAGAAGGGTTTATGTATTCATTAACTAATGATTTGACGGACATGATATCATGAACACAGTCATACATCCATATGTATATTTGTTCTCTCATTTGATCACTTCAGCTTCCAGCTGTGAATAGGACAGGCGAAAGCATGGCATCACTAACTGAATGCTTATTGTAGTCAAGAAAGAATGTGTATATAAACACATTAAGGTATTCGAAAATCAATGGCTAAAGATTATTGATAATGTAGTCCTAGTTTATATGAGCACCAATGGCTCACACATATTTCTCCTTTATGTTCACCTAAATCTTTTTAATTTTCATTCAGGCCTGTTCATCTACATCGAATGTTGTAACTACTTCTAGTTTTATTACCTATTCGAATTTATTGGTCCTAAATATTTGTGTTTGTAAGTTATAATGACTAAAAACTTTTTATCTCGTTTTTAACTTCACTTTGATGTTTTCTTTCACCCTATTCACTTCAGTAAATTTATTTCATTCAGATAATACAACGTTATCGATCTCTTAATTTTCACTGGCTACAACAATACACACTCCCAGAATTTCTCCTTTGTTACTTATTTTAAATATATATATATATATATATATATATATATATATATATATATATATATATATATATAATATTGATTTCTTTCTGATTTCCACTAAATGCAGTAAACTATACCTATTCTCTTCTGTTTGAAATCTAAGACTAATGCTTATGTCGATGACAAAAAAATATTCCGTGACTTAAGTGAACGAACTCCTACATTCTTTTATCCTTTTACTTAGCTCATAGCTGCAGCTCAAGGAAGAGGAGGCTGTCAAAAGTTAGCTTGCCTTTCGGTACATGTTCGGCTACCTCATCTCCTACTGGGCGGTTGGGTAATAATCGTGTGTACTTTGGAAAAACAGTGATTAGTCTGAGTTTAGTCAAGTCTTTGACCTCTTTGTGTTTACACATCGAAGCGTATTGTGCTTTTGCTCGATTTGAACTAATTTTTAGTTAAAGTAAAACACAATTCCTTTTGAATAGATCACCTATAACCTCCTGAAAGTCCCGTCTGAATTCTTTTTTCGCTCACTTCATGTCCAACTCAAAGTTCTCCAAAGTCTTTAGCTCCAGTCGTAGTAAAAACGCCTGTGTAGTGGCCTTTGATACGCAGTTAAATGAATGTTAAGGGTGATACCAAGTCAACTATATGGATCTTACGCCTACAGCCCCTCAAAGAGCACAGCAAGTTATCAAGTACCTAGCTGCATCACTGGGGCTGCTTGGACACCATTAAATTAGTCGAAGAAGCTAATTCACTTCTGAACACCATTATGAAGAAGTTAGCATTCAAACGAAAGACTATTGAATGTGAAAGTGGTGATGATACTGCTTCTAGTGACACGGGTTGCTGTGAAGGACTCTAATAATGTCCTACAGAAGACTTAAAGTTAGGTTAGGAATCTACATACAGGATATGATGTTAGTGATTTACAATACGCTACACAAAGCAAAGTAAAGCGACCGTGTTCAGGTTCTCGCATCCCAAGAACTAGCAGTCCTGGTTTTAAGAGCTACTAGTTATCAGATCATGTCAGCCTGCAATGAAAGGGATGGAGGTCGATCCCTACTAGCGCCATTTAAGTAGGCATATGATCTGTAGACCCGATCCAGTTCAACCAATTAGCTAGTGAATATGAGGACGAAAATAGGGAGGAATAAAAATCTAAGTCTATCCAGGATAAAGCTAGTGTATCAGACTTTGGTCAGCCTTTCAAATCAGACGACCTTGAGGAATGGCAATTACCTGAAAACAGGAGTCACTCTAAGAAGCTAAATGTGGTCTTAGAGCCAACTTTTATCAGTCAGCAGCGCAAAACAAACGGTAACCCAGTGAAATGTTCGTAATCTCACACAGAGTTCAAGAAGATAGCGACTTATAACCAAGAGACCATTTTCAACACGACAGTGGTTAGGCCCAAAGTTTTGTGAATAACTTACTATTAGAAAACAATGTTGGTCACCGTGATCAAGATACGGTTGAAGAGAAAGAGGCAGTTCCTGCCGAAAATAAACTCCGAATATATGAAGCCATGCGCATGTTAACAGAAGAGACTGATTTCTTTCTAAAGAATGGTCATAAAATTTGAGGAACTGAATTGTTTGTGCGTGCGGATCTGTTTCTTCTTTACAGTATCAAGAAAAGAAGCAGAAAAAAACTGAATTCTCGGTGAACACCAGACGAGAAATATCTTAAGGTAGTGAGCCTTTGGAAACAAGTGATACTAAAGTATCTATGAACACGAAGGTGCTCATTTATGCTGTTTGATAGTCCTGTGCACAGATTCTCGTTGTCTTCCGAGTAAATGAACTGAGCTAAATAGTGTAATAGTCACAGAAGACCGTGCCATAATCGCTATTTGAAGAACGTGGATCTCCTATGAGATCAGTGACGGCAACCTACAGTTTAAATGGTTCACTTTTTTGAAGTGAGAGACTGACACACAGAAGTGGCGGTTTTATCCTTGAGTTGAAGAATACCTTATCTGTAAGGACCAAAGTAATGGTCGCACACTGAAGTGGAACATATGAAATGCTACATTACCAACTGAAATGCAAGGATCTAAAGGTCATCTAACTCATATTATATTGTGGTTCTGAGTGTAGGATTAAAGACGTCTTCTTCAAAACCCTTACTCTTCAGATGGTTGGCTGGAACAGCCTAACAACAAAACTATCAAGTAATTCCTTTAATTACAGATTTGTCGACTCATCAATTTCCTTAGTTGCTACATAACACATTATAGCAACTAATCTGTTCGATTATCAACATGCTATGTTGGTTCTAGACCTAATATTTGGTCACGAAGATAACATAAATTTCAAACGGTACATTGTACCCCTTGGCAAAAGGAACTACACTGTAATCATCTCCAGACTAACAGCTCCAGTGTCCCTCCAGGACGACACTCTAGTTTGACCCAAAGTGTCGATGGTGAATATTGCAGTGAATAACTTAGCAGTCCTTTCTGAGGACTGAACAGCTAGTCCGTAACCTTAGGGTGAGATCGCTTGCTGCTCCCCTCAAAAAGTCTCACTCTAGAGTGAATTAACCGTTTGTTTCGAAGGCTGTCCCAAAGGGAGAAGATTACTGTTTTTCATAGATTGATTGTAAAATTCATAGTTTCCTATGACGGAAGAAGTTCTGGAGTCTTATCATTAAACTTGGTATTCTCGAGGTAAAGAAATGGTATGAGCCAGCCCGGAAGAAGCTTACTACCTCGATTCACCACTCTCGAATATACCTCAAACCGCATCTTCCAATATTCTCAGTAAGACAACTAAAGAAGCTGTTCCCCACAAAGATGATAGGAGTGGAATATACTATTGTATCTCCGCCTTAATTGTAAAATTAGAAACTACTCAGGTGACTGAAGACCATTTAGAGAAAGCAGGAGCTATAATAGGGTATTTTTCCGAGTCTTGTATTCAGTAACATTCAAAGGATATAATTTCAGTGATAGAAATATTGATGCTCAGCAAAATAAACTCTACTGGCGTCGACCGCGACGAAATATTTAGGACTTTAACTAATCTTGATGTGAGAAAGTCAACGAAGCCAGATAAGCTGTACCAAAAAGTACTCAGAAAGCTTGCATTTTACACAGCTTGTCCAATGACAAATATATTTACACTGTACTTCAGACAATACATACTGTTATATGATTGGAAAGACACTGTATCTACATTTACATTCACATCTACATCTACATCTACATTCACAAACCGAATTCTAGAAATCACTCATCAAATCATAAACCGATAAGCTATTATGAAATTCAGTTAAAATTTGAGGAAAACTTGCCAATAAAGATATTACGGTTCACTTGTAAAGCAAAAATCTAATTTCAAGTTCCCAATATGGCTTTTGTAGAAGTTTTTTGATCCTAACATGCCTTCTCACAGTCAGTAAACGTTGGGTTAATTCTATAGGCGATGAAATACTTGCAGATATTTTTCGTATAGAGTTTGATGAGATTTATCACCCTAGGTTGGTCGTAAAACCGGAAAGTCTACAAATGACTAACAGTCTACTTGTATGAACCAAAGAAATTCTTGTTAGCAAAATATAAAGGATGAGAATCAAGTCCTACCTTTCCTCTTTTAACTTAGTACGGAGTGGAGTGCTGAATTATACAGACTTGGGTTCGCTGCTGTTTCTCCCATACATAAAAGAACTACCGAGCATCGCTAAATCTCCGACAGTTCTAAGCACCGACAATATAAAAATCCAACTAAAGTTATGGAATGACGATGATGTACGTAGATGTTTGGTAGACGTAAACAGTTTTTAGCCTGGTCAAAAAATGGCTTATTACTTCTAACGCAGGTAATTGTGTACCCATGCTTTTATAGGCCTAAAGATGGCAATACCTACGATGTTGTTGAGACCCTTCTACGATCAGTACTGGCAATGAATTAAGAGTTCTATTATATTATGATTTGAAGTCCGTAATGTTCTGTTGATCAGCTGCAGTTCGAATTTTCAAGACATTCCGAGTAATACTCGGAACTGGGATCAGTGGTGACAAATTCACGACCTAATATATGACCTTAGTTAGAGGCAAAAGGGGAGACTGCGAAAGTGGCAATCCTTTGTTTAACTTGTGACCCACACCTAGTGGAAAGAGTTCCAGAAGACTTCTACTCGCGTAATCCCTATAATAGCTGGTGTGACCTGTGAAAACCGAATTAAGTAGCTAGATCTCTATTCTGTATTACACTAAAGACACGGAGGGGACTTAATAGCTATGTGCAAAACTATCTCAGAGGATATAATTTATTATTATCATTATTATTTGTCCCTTGGGTTCCTAATGGAACATAGGGCTTCAGTAGCACATTTCCAGTGAACTCTGTCCTCTGAAATCTTTTGAACCTGGCTCCACGACAGCTCACAAGCTCTTGTTTCCTCATCGCACGGTCTCCTCCATGTCACCCTCGGCACTGACGTTCAACTCGTCGCTTCCCATCTGGCTTCCACTTGAGCGACTGGCCTGACGCGTGATGTCCCCAGTCGGCATTCTCAGTGTATGCCCAATTCACCTCCACTTCCTTCTGCATATTTGTTGCGTGATAGGTTCCTGGTTGGTTCGTCACCAGCCAGAGCTCCTTGTTGCTTATTCTTTCTGGCCATCTGATCTTCAGTAGCGAGCGTAAACAGTTGTTGATGAATGTCTGTAGTTTGTTGGAAATCCCTTTCATAACGCGCCAAGTCTCTGAACCATACAGAAGCAGAGACTTGACGTTGGTGTTGAAAATCCGGATCTTGTTCCACATGCTGAGTGCAGAAGATCTCCACACTAGTTTCAGGCTAATGAACGAAGGCCTGTCTTGCTTTTTCGATTCTGACTTTGACATCCTCGTCTGTCCCACCTGTAGTTGAAACAGTGCTGCCTAGATAGGTGAAAGAGGCAACTTCATTTAAGTTTCTCTTGTTGATGGTGATCGGAGCTTGTTCTTGCTGTTGTTGTTGGTCGGGTATCTTCATTACCTCTGTCTTCTCTATATTCACTTGAAGTCCCATCCTTGCTGCCTCGCCTCTTCTGCCAACTTGTTAGTTTTCGCCTATAGATCTTCAACTTTAAGTGACATCAGACACAAGTCATCGGCGAAATCCAAGTCTTCTAGGTTTTTTTCCCCAGTCCCGCCAGCGTATCCCCCTCTTCTCCCTCCTCACTGTTTGTTGCATGATCCAGTCCAGTCAACCACAATCAGGAATATCATGGGGGATAGTAGACAGCCTTGTTTTACTCCTGTCTTCACTTCAAAATACTAGAGTATAAAAGTTAGAGATGAACGTCGTTACTCCAGACTACTGACTTTCATCTCTTGACACCAACTTCAAGAAGAAGTGGTGTACACGTCATCAAATAAACCACTGAAGAGTGGAATGGACAAAAACAGTCCCCTGTTAAAAGAACAGGAGGCCATTAGCATGTGCTAATCCTTGCAGTAATTATCGTTATCAATGTCCAGTTTTTTCCCTGAATGCAATCACCAAAGGCGCTACCAACAGTTGTTCCGATAACGAGTTCAAGTCACTGACCAGTATATGAGACAACCAGAACTCCGCTCCAGTATGATTATACTGTGGCTTCTAGGCCTGTTCTTGATATCCTCTAAGATGATCCATCCCAGGAGTGAAAGAGTTTGATAAATAGATACCTAAGTTATTATTCAAAATGTGAGGGGTTAACATTAGGCCATCTGTTCTTCTAGATAAGATAAAGGAAGAAGGTTAAGCTAAGCAAACCGCCTTTTGCAAGCATAGTGGTCAGTACCTGTCATTAATATAATGGCAACCGTTGGATCAGTCAGATTTCAGAAGCATGGAATACCCGCCCGAACACAATTCTCTAAATGGAACCCTACTTAGGTGGGGTTTCTGATCTTAAATATCACTTCATCAAAGCATTTGAATGATCTACAAAGCGATCAGAGCATGTCAAAAGTTTTGGCCGCAAAAGCACTACAATTAACCGTTTTCTGTAGGTTGGAATTTATGATAGCCGAGAGATCATTTTGTTTCCAGACGCAGTGTATTATTTAGCCTTTCACTAAGTAGCCATCAAAATGTTCTGTTACAAAAAGATAGCTTAAGATCATAGCCTGCCATCCTCAACCCCAAAACCTAAAATAATTAGTGGATATTTAACCATCAAGAAATGTAGATTACTGAAAATAACTCAGATTTAATGGCCACCCTGTTGCTTCTGCACTTATAGCATGAACAAGACAAATAGAGAGCAAACGTAAACTCGGAAAACACAACAGCACCTAACCGAAAATGTTCACAGAATAATAAAAGATAATAGTATGAACGAATAACATCCCTTTCAATAAATTCCCATCAGGTTATACTATTATAAAATGCACCTTCACAAGGTAAAAAATACCCAAGCTAGAGGCAAATATATTTTCAAACTCGAGCGAAAATCAAGGACCGCAAGTGAATCAATTTTCCCTTTTTCAATTTTTCGATACCAGGATGATATTTTTACAAATGAATCATCCGATGGCAGATCAATAACGAAGATGGGAGTGCTCTTTAGTTTGCTATGGGCCAAAGGAAGAAAAACGTTTGAATATGATATCTGTCGTCTCAGGTTTGTCCAGTCTTATTGCGAAAGCCTCAGTTATGTTCAGAAGGTGGTGAAGCGCTACACATGACATTTTTTTCAATACACGATGTATGAAACTGAAAGTTTAACTAGCATCCATGCAATGCCCTGTATTTACTAAGTGCGCTAGGATGGAACTTAAGTCCCGTTACCACTTTCACTTGACTTGTTTCTCCGCTGTACATGTGCAATGTATAAATGCAGGACCTGATGGGAATATATTGAAAAGAACAGTCTTCGCCCAGATTTTTTTATTAAAGCCATGGGTATATTCAGATGTCTGAAATTTCCAAATCACTTTTTCCCTAACCAGTCCATGAATCCATTTTTCTTCCTACTGTCAAAATAATCATAACAATGATCATTTTGTTATCATATTAAATTCCATATGAAAAACGTCCCCACGGCGACCACATGAAATATTTTAATGTTACATGTAGGTCAAAAGGTACCTACATCTAAAGGCGTCTCTCAAACATCACAAGCCGACATATTTCAAGAATATTCCTTGAAAAGAAACCTCAAAAGGCCTAACCACTTCCTAAATAAAGAAGCTCTTTTGGCAGACATGAGCAGACTATGCCACTTTTATTCAAAAGGTGTAAAACGTAACGTAAAGTTCTAAACAATCATCAAGACAGTTCTTAAGAAAACTTACTAAATTCAACAGGTTTCTTCAGTAATAATCTCAAAGGGTACCTTAAAGTATTAGAAAATATAACATTTACGCTTCCTGAACTCCAGCTTGGGCATCAGATTCCAAAAATTTCAATACTTGAAAGGCAACTGTTTCAATTTTTGATAACACATCCATATTTTGAAAATGTGATAAAACTGATTATTCAAACGAAAGTACTGACATTTCAAAATCTAATATCTTCTTAAAAGCTTGTGCAAATCACTTGGTATTTTGGCGCTCTCCTCCTGCTCTCGCAGAACTGTCCCAGGTCCTTGGTGAATTCCGATACGGTAGGTCTACCCACCCACCTACTGTAGCCCCTGCATCCCCAGTGGGCGGTTCGGATTCAGATTTGTTGTTTGAGAATACAAGTGTATCACCACTTACTTATCCAGAATCAATAGCCTAGGGTTCGACGAAATTCAGCACTGATGCCGATCTTCAAAGTTTTGCTGGACTTTTTAAACTGAATGCACCCGGTCAAGCATTCTCGCATTTGGCAAGCTGTGGAGTTACGTTGAACTGCTCATAATCGACCCTCAGGCCAGTTAGTTGGAACACATAGGTATCTTGGTACAACCACCCAAATATACTATTCCATCCGACCACGCTTTTGTGTTCTTCCTTGGTCTCGTTTTCGTCAGCACATAACAAGTTCGAATAGTTAGTGATTGGCTTCTGTGTCTGTTAAGTTCACACGAGTACAATTCCTTAAGAGTCTTTTATTTTACTCAGAGCCACATTTTCCGGCCTGATTGCATTTAAGATGTTTAGAAAGTATATTAAGCACCCACCTCCCCTTTATTGCTCCGACCACATCTAAAATATGTGTACATGTCGATACTAATTTCATCATCTGGTATGCGAGGGTGACACCATGATTCCATGGTTGTTATATTGGGCGGTTAGAACGAAAGCAATATTGCTCTTAGTATTAGTAGTTTGCCTACGACAAACCCGGTGTTAATAGGGGTAACAGAAAGGTATGAATGGTAGAAATGCGTGAATGCTTCAAGATCGGTGAAGAGGGCCAGAAGTATGTCAGGAGCCCATATTTGAGAATGATTTGACACCATACCACGCGGGTTACCATTAATCGCATTTTCAGTGGTTAAGGCGGAGGACGATTCTAGTAATGAAGGGGTGGAGTCAGGTGAGTCACTTAGTTCACCTTGAAAGTGGGGTAGAGGGTTGTTTTGGAGCTTCACCTGCGTCTGGGGACGGGTATGTCAGATGAGCGGTGTCTTTTTATACGTCGGCGAGTTAGTTGGGCTCAGCTTGGCTAGGCCTGTGTTTAAGGTGCCAACGAGAGATATTGCCAGGAGCCTTTGCGCCTATTATTGTAAGTAGGGTATATGAGCTGGATCAGGCTGGAAAAAACGGTTGTCGTATGATCGGTTATTCAGTGACCCATTAGTAGGCAGAAAATATAGTAATCCGGGAGCGAAAATATTGTCTGAGATGTGGCGTTCTCACAGTTTACTGTAATTTAGTGGGCCACCGCAACTAATACAGCCCCCATCGTAGTTCCTGTGTCCCATAAATTGTAATCATACAGGTTAGATATGTATGGTTGGTCGTAAGTATTCGGACCGCAGACGTTGGTATTCAGCGTGTATGGGGAATGGCGCACTTGAGAAGGGTGATTTAGTGAGTAGTATGCCATGTGCTCTTTTATGTACGGTTTTGGATGTGTGCTTGGAAAGCTACCTGCTCGGTAATTTGGATTTCCAGATATAGGCTTGGAACGTGCGTCTTCTGCGGCAGAGGTTCTCTGGAGAATTTTCCTGCCTTTCATACGCTGACATGGCCGCATTCTATTTCGCTTGCCTTCTGCATGCCTGGGATAGCCGGGGTTGTGAGCTCGCTTAAATCCACCATGTGAACGGAATTCCTTGTGTTTTGTCTTGGAGGCATTCGACATCTGAGCTTCAGAATAACTTAAACCCGATGCTCTACCTGCGCGGAGGTTTTTTGCGACATTCGGTTTTCAGTTTTAAAGATGGCTGCTGTTGCATAACAGGTGGAGAGCTAGACTTGTCAAAGTCTACAGTTTTATCACCACTACTTATGCAGCCAGCAGTAGAACCAGCAGGTGTTAGCAAAATGATTTGAGACCGGATCATTTTAGCGTTCAAGGCATTTGGCCAATCGGTAGCCGTAGAACATCTGTTTTTAGGTGGTGCGTAATGTGAGCCTACATTACTTTTGTAGATTTGCCGTTGATCAAGTCTTGTCTGGTACTCTCTTGGCGTTCTTAAGTTCAGTAGTGAGAATGACAGTGTCACAAGAACTGATAAACCGGGTAACCCTTTGTTGACTGTGAAAACGAAATAGGACTGGGCAGCAGTATTTCTGGCGTTTCTTCGAGAGCCCAAAACAACTGCATGGAACATGCAACATGCTAGCAGAGCTAAAAAGTACTTTCTTTACGGTATTTATCGACATTCTATCTGAGACATTGTGTACAATTTCCCCTGGCCAGCTGCTATGCGCTTTGACTTCGGAGGAGACTAAATAGATTGTATTCTCCGCCTTTAGCGTGGCATTAGACTCGGTCTAAACTCTGCTTCCAGTATCTGTGGGGGTCGTACTAAATTTGGTGGTCAGCAGCTTTAAAGGTGCAACGCCCTGCTTATCTCGTACTATTTCCGCTATGTTGCCTGGAATCGCATCAACCCGGAGAATCTTAGAGCGGACTTCGTTCACTTGCAGCTGCGGGTCATGGATGGTTTCTTTAAGTTCAGAAACAGTTGAGAGTTCCCTGCTGAGAATAACCAATTTAGCTTTACCCGTCAGTGCAACGTCCGGAATATCTATCACAGCCTTCATCTGTGCACTACTGCTATCTACGGTTGTTTTAAAACATAGATAGTCTTCAGTTGTTGGACCAGCCATCGGGCTGCTCGTCAAAACGCTTGCCAGTTTTAACGTCAGTGTTGTGCTTAATTTCGCATCGATGTAATCATTGTTAGAACTCAACTTAGTCTCATTCGATAACGAAAGCAGGTTAAGAGTAGTTTTCTTTCTACCATGGATTTCGCTGGGGCTTTTACGAGCACATTTATTTGAGCTTCGACCCATAGTTTAACGGTATTTCTTTCCGTTTGGGTGAGGTAAGAGAACTGCGATCGGCTGGATACGGTAAGCGGCGCGGGAAAGATTGGTGCCGGTGGCAAGTTATGAACGCCCGTACAACAGTTTGCTCGGGCTACAAGGACGATTCAAAAGCACAGATATGTGAAATTCTGTGCTATGTGAGCACTACTGGTGAACAAGGGTGTAAAACAACAGCGAAAAACAAAGAAGCAACAAAGTGAGAATAGCTACAAGAATGTAAATAAATAAATAAGCGTTTTATTCTAACACCAAAAAGTTTAACATGAGGGAAGCCAGTTTACACGCGTCATCAAGTTGATACGTCTTAAGATATCTACAAGACTACGAGACCTGAGTGGTACGAACGGAATGTCACTAAACTCAGTTAGAAACTGCCAGAGATCCTGCTAGTTATGAAATGAACAAGGAAATACTACTTTACGACGTGCCTAGATAAAAGTAAATAATACCCTCACATAAAGGGTTTAACATGAGGGATATCAGTTTACAAGCACAGTCAGATTCGTAATTTTCGAAAGTTTGCAAACTGTTAGTTAGTACTAAATAATTCCCATACCAAGTCATTAGTGTGCATAATCTTATTAAAATATGCTGAAATTCATGGCATGGGCATGGATTTTCATTTCCTATCACACGGACAAGTTCCACTACCAATAACAAAGGCGCGCAGTGTTCAAAGTTTGCGTTATGACCGACCAACGCTGTTAGTTCATCCACACAGTTTGCTAATAAGTAATATAACAGTTTATTCCCCAGAATGATCTCCAGTGTTTAGCTATGCTAACTGCAAAAGACCCATTTGTACAATATTGAGTACCAATATGGTATCCTCAGTTGTATAACCAAGGTGTATGTCCAAATCAGTGCATTCCCGGGTCACCATGTTACGTTTAAAGGTAATACAAATCAATTCCATCGAGAACATTTGTTATATTGGATTGATTTAAACGCTGAGATAATCAGTAGTCCAGATGGCAGTGTTTACACGTGGACTTCAGGTACCTCTTGTATTAGCGTAGGCAGCATCATTCAAGGGGTATGTTTGTTGCATATTAACTTCAATATGAGATCACTTGATACAGAGTACCAGAAAATATGTAGTATGGAGCCGCCGCAGGTAAGTGGCATTCCGGGCCAATAGGTAAATTGGTCGCTGGTTTAATCATCTGTTCTGCATGTCTCTTCTACTAATACTGTTGGGAAGGCTTAATCAGTTCGTCGCAGACAAAAATCGTGACCAATAGGTTGGGCAATCATGAAGGTGGTCCAGAACTCGCGCAAGAATGGCAGCAGTTCTATAGTTTTTGGCGTCAGTGAGCAGGCATTAGTTCCACGAAGTAATTATGTTCAGATTGAATTTGGGCATCAAAAGTAGACATGGAGCTGCTTCTGCAAATGGGAAAAGAAAGAGGAAGTACAAGCAGATATGGAAAAGGAAATTACCACGCTATCAAATTTGGAGAGCAGAGAGGTCCCTATTGTTTTTGACTTATTCGGACTTCATGTACACTTTCATGTATTTTCATGAAGTCAGCAACACAGTTTTTCCATCATAAAATTCTTAGAATTTTCTATAATTAGGGGGGGGACCGTTGTGGCCTTAAGAGGAAAACAGCATTTATCAAGTTCGCTGGTTACGAATGTACCACTCAGAACAGAGCATAGAGTGCCAGCCAACTCTCTGCATCACCTCCACCGACTCTGAAAAGGCCTTCGACAGCGTCGACCGAGAAGTAATCTGGCAACTGCTTCAACGCTACGGCTTTGTTGCCACAAACCTTTATCAATCTCATTCAACAGATATATGCCGGGCGACTAACAATGGAAAGCCTAGTGATGCCTTTGGAGTGAAGAGGGGAGTAAGACAAGGCTGCCTACTGTCACCCATCATCTCCCTGATTGTGGTAGACTGGGTCATACAGCAAACTGTGAGGAGCGAGATGATGGGCACAAGGTGGCTGGACCGACGAAGAGAGCCTAGAAGATTTGGAATTCACCAATGAGTGATGTCGAATGTCTCATGTCGCACAAGCTCGAACATCTACAAACGAAAAAACCATCGGAAGAAGCGGCGAAGATAGGACTGCAAGCGGATGTGCAGAAGTTGAAGGTGATGCAGATACCCAACCAACAACAATAAGCACCGATCATCATGAGCGGGAGCAGCCTAAAGGCAGCATCGTTTAAACTACAGGAGGTGGCACAGACGAAGATGTCAGAGCCAGGATCGGAAGGGTAAAACAAACCTTCCTGCATCTGAAATGATCAGTGTGGAGATATACTGCACCGCACTGCACTAAGCATAGAGCCTGAACAACATCCGAATTTTCAACGCTAATATCAGTCAAGTCAGTGCTTCTGTGTGATGGTTGAGAAACTTGGCTCGTTTCGAAAAGCATTTCCAACAAACTACAGACACACATCACATCAACAGCTACCGCCCACGCCCACTCGATACTGACGCTACAGATCAGACGGCTACAATAATGAGAAAGAGCAACAAGGAAGTCTGGCAAGCTGACGAAGAACCAACCAACAACCTGTCGCCCAACAAATACACAGAAGAAGAAAGTGGAGATGGATTGGATTGGATTGGACATACACTGAGAAGACTGTTTCGAGACATCACGTGCCAGATCCTCAAGTGGAACCTAGATGGGTGACGACGAGTTGGGCGTCCGAGGGCGACATGGAGAGGTTGGTCGTGTGAGGAAGAAATGAAGGCTTATGGGCAATCGTGGGGTCAGGTTAAAAAGACTGCATAGAAGAGAGTGAAGCGGTGACGTGCTATTGAAGCCCTATGTCCCACTAGGAGCCAAAATGACAGATAATGATGACAATTCCGGGGCATTACCATTCTGGTTTTTTCGCCTCAAGACATATTGTTACTTTTGAGAGGTTATTTTGGTGTTTCGACTATCAGCACGTCATGTTTATATGAATACCCCCCAACTAGTTTGCATCCTGTGCTTTGAATATCTTCGAAATGGATGTACCTTTATCAGATAACATTTTATATCGAAAGCAAATATTCCTTCTTGCACCTATATTCTGCAGAGGGACATATGTAGCATTTATTGCACAGTATCTTGTTGACTTATTTAGTAGCTCATAATCAAACATTCGTTTAACTGTACTGGCTTCAAAGTTTTGTCTGCTCTTTGACAAATACAATATCCTGCCGTATACTCCGTGTTACCTCCTGATACTTACACTGTCTGTCGTAGGTGGATCAGTGGTTTCGGGGGTAATGGGCAGGAGATAGTATATCGGGGAGCATATATAAGTTTGGAGTCAGATATCAGGGCACAAAAGATTATCTGTGTAAAAAAGTTGTTATAGAACGCTTAGAAGGATAAAAATGTAAAGACCGATGAGAAAGTGGTTGAAAATTGACCTGTGAGTGCTTGGCTTCCTGTCGAGTTGAGGCGGACTCATGGTGGATGATTTCAAACCAATCAAGTGTCCACAAGATCCTTGGCACAAATAACTTCTCCTACCAACTGACGTCTAAATGAGAGTCTCATTGCCGTACGAGACCAAGACATGAAGAGTCAGTCAGCTCAGCCATGGGGATAGTCACCGATCAAATCGGAGGACAATAATGGTTATGTTTGCTGCTGAGTACACAAGCGCACACCATTTTTGCAGGTATGAATAAGTTTCTGCATAAATTACATGTTTCTCTGGCATAGGTAACCCTAATCCTCATCCATTCAGTTACTAGAAGATTTTAGTGTTACATTGTGGTAAGATGAAGCATGACTGCAGACTAAATATGTGCATACTGACAGGATGGACTAGTGAGAGCATAGTTTTTCCATTAACAAAGGACCATGGTAGTCATTCAAGCATTACGTGTATTTCCGGAGGGATGAAGCTCAAAGCTTATACTTCTAATACTTAGGAGTGATGATAAAAAGTTCTTGAATGAATATATGCATGTGGAGTGAGTGGAACTATGATTTCCATGTGTTCTCGGTTTAGTTCACATCAGAGAATCATAATCCTACTGAATATTGTGGCTGTTAGCAAATATCAGCAGTTTCTAAGTCCAGTGACGAAATGTATTAGATCGGTTGAAACACCCAGTGGATGTCAAGAACACCTTATCTGCCATTTTCACCGATCGTGCCGACTTTTAGATTGGCACTTTCCTGATCATTTTAATAAGGAGAACGTTGTAGCCCGAAGAACATGATTGGTTTCTGAACTTTTTAGCCATCCATTGTGAATTTGGTAACGCCTAAACTAATAGCTGGTAGTCTCAGCACAGGTTTTTGTAGTCAAGAATTTTTTCAGTTGCAGCTAGGCCAGCATTTAAAACCAATACATCCTTTTACAAAGAGAAATAAGAGTAAAGGTGCAAGTGGAGAAAATGAGCAAGAATACCAGGTCTGTTTTTAAATGCACACTCCCCATAACTTAGCCCCCTTTGCTATGCTATTGGTTGTCCATGCTTTGTCTATTAAGCTTCAAAAACGTAACTTTCATGCTTTATATTCCTTAGGGCTTTTGTCCATGTTTACCATGATGGATAGAAAGGGACGTTTGCTGTTAGTGTAGGAGAAGTCTCCTTAGAGTTTCCGCGGAAACTTAGGGTTATGGCATATTATTTGTCACTAAATCATGCTGACAGTTACAACCGATACACATGACTATACTCTTTTAAGTGTTGAGCTCCGGTAACCACCTACTGGACAATTGAGCTAGTGCCTGGGAGTCTTCGTGCAGGAGTAATCTGCCCTATGTGTTGTGCATAACTCAACATATTCTAGTTTCATATGCAAACATTCATGACACAAGTTTTTATTGATAGTTAATTGAGAAGAAGCGCTAACGTTGGATTCTGCGGTACATCACTCTTTACTAGTTTCCTCAGTAAACTGTCGCACCTCACGGTGGTTTCTATCGGTACGAAATTTGTTAGTCCGTCCCTTCACTTTATTGTGGACTTGAAACTCCAACTTTGTTAGAAGCCCTAGTTGTTAGACTTGACCGAAAGCTTCACTGAGATTCATGAATACTACATTCACACTGACTACATTCATGATCCAGCCTTACCTTTAAATGAAAAGGTTCATCAGGCAATCGTGGTCAGTCCCGAAATCATACTCAGCTGCCGGAAATCGGTTTTCGACATCTTTCGACCCCCTCATTGGGAGGGGGTTCCCAGTCAAACACAAATGGTGAAATAATGCTGAAATGCAACATTTAAGCTGAGTTTAACGGACTACCCACATAATTTATGCACTTGCAGAATAATTTAGGCGTGCATGCGTAAACACAGCTTTATTTACTCACAACTCCAGCCTTATTTCAGCACTATCCGCATTGTTTCAGCGGTTCATGGAAACGTTTGGACACAATTCCTATTACTAATGCCTCGCTCGCAATATTAACGCTATGTATGCGATTAATTACACATTCGGTTGCAATATTTCTGCAATGTGGTTTGATTGGGTTACTTTGCACTAATGTTCCTTTCAAGTTTCTTGATTAATGCATGCCTAGCTTACGTATGGTAGTTTTCGATCATATACCTTAGTCTAGTTTTGTAGACCGGACTGGTAGTAGCGTCCTTCCACTTCCCCAGTGATTTCAACTGGTTCAAGTACACATTAAACTGCATCGACAACAGAACAACGAAAATATCAAAGCCGTGTTCAGGGAGTTGGCTAGCAGTTATCGGGACAAGAGACCATCACTCATCCAGAAGAAGCATGATGCCATCTTCAGTCTGCTGTAAAAGAACTGTTGAAGACTAACCGACTCCAAAATAATGGCTAAAAAGAGCCATTGGATATCAGCAGCTTCTTCCGAACTAATGGATGCACGTGAATGCATCCCTGCAGGCTCTGAGTGCAATGAAGAGCGAGCGCAACTTGGAAATGGATTGAGAAAAAGTCTACGCAATAACCGCGAACAGGGGTGGGCAGCGAAGGCTAAAGATATGGAAAAGGCAGCGGCGATCGGTATTAGTAGACAGTTATTTAGACTTATTAAGGAGACTGGGGGAAAAGGTCAACAACAGTTAGTGAGGCTATAACGGAGAAGGACGGATCTGCGATTCACTCGCAGGAGAGACGAATGAAAAGATGGGCAGAACACTTCGAGGAACAGTTTAACTGGCCTCCAGCCACGATTGCGTTGCCCGCTATCCAGTCGAATCCTGAATGGGACATAGAGATAGGCCCCCCAACACTAGAAGAAGTTGAGAAAGCGGTAGGTAGCCTGAGACGGGGAAGGGCAGCAGGACCAGACGGACTACCTGCTGAGGTATACAAGAATGGTGGTAGAGTGCTCTTAGTCAGGTTAACGGAAGTGTTAGCTAGTATATGGGAACCAAATACTATCCTCTCTGACTGGTCTGAATCACTGATTATTTCAGTCTTCAAGAAAGGTGAAAAGTCCTCTTGTGATAACCACAGAGGAATCAGCCTGACGAACATATTGTCTAAGATGCTAGGTTCTGTAATCCTCCGACGTCTGAGTGGAGCTCGGGAACAGCAAGCTCGAGAAAACCAAGCAGGCTTTAGACCCGGTCGCGGGTGTATTGACCAAATATTCACACTGTGCTAGGTCCTGGAACATAGACGCGCTTACGGACACCCGACAATAGCTGTATTTCTCGACCTGAAGACGGCGTTTGACTCCGTTGATCAAGAAGTCTTATGTCAATGTCTCTCACTGAAAGGCATGCCTAGTAAGTACATCACCTTATTAAAGGCTCTCTACTCGAACACTTGTGGGCATGTTAGAGCCTATGGTGAGATGTCCAGGGAGCTATACTCATCAAGTGGTGTCCGTCAAGGATGCCCACTATTTCCATTTTTATTCAATTTCATCATAGATGTTCTTATGGAGGTCAACCTCTCGTCACCTAATTACACAGACGTTGACCTAATCAGTGGAGAATTTTCGTTAGACCTAGAATATGCAAGTGACATAGTCCTGTTAGGTGAAGACACTGACAAGATGCAGAGTCTTCTGAACACTTTGAGTGGGAATTCGAGAATGTTTGGGATGCGATTTTCACCACCCAAATGCAAATTTTTGCTCCAGGATTGGTCTTCAGCGGTACCGCGGCTAACAATAGAGAGTGAAGTGGTTGAGTGTGTTGACCACTTCACTTACCTGGGAAGTAGGATCAACCCTGGTAGGTTAGTTGCCGATGAGATCTCTGAACGGATACAAAAGGCCCGATTGGCTTTCGCCAATTTGCGCCACCTATGGGGCCGCCGTGATATCCGTTTGTCTACTAAGGGTCGCGTGTACTGCACAGCAGTCTGTTCTGTTCTACTGTATGGCTGTGAAACATGGCCATTGAAAGTGGGAGGCATGAGAAGGCTTCAAGTGTTTGACCACCATTGCCTTCATAGTATAGGCCGTATTCCGTGGTGTCACCATGTGAGTAACGCAGAAGCCAGGAGTAGAGTTTTTGGGAGAAGAGGTAAATCAGTTGATGAGGTTATGAGTTTCCATCGATTGAGATGGTTGGGACACGTACTACGTATGCCTAGTCACCGATTGCCTCGTCACACAATGTTGGCTGAGGTGGGTCCAGGTTGGAAAAAGGCTCGAGGTGGCCAGACTAAAACATGGCACCAACGTATGAAGTCTCTGACTGTTGGTTTAAGCCATGTAGGACGATGCAGACTAGGTGGTTGGGGTCGGTGGGACAAGAGGAACCAGTGGTTGGAGACTCTAGGTGATCGCACGGCTCAGAACCGATGTTAGTGGCACAGATGTATACACACATTATCCTCATCTTAACACCATACTGAATCTCACCATTTTGTCATTCTTCCTTTCTTTCTTCTCCTACTTTATATTTCTTTTGACTGAATTTTCTTATCTTCATCTTTCACCTCATTACCTTTCTACTTGATGTAGTGATATGAGGTGTGACAACTCGGACCATCAAGCAGTGATGCCTGGTCCTATGTTGATATTGATGATGATGCATCGACAACGGTTCGGTGGTAGTATCAACGAGTCCTGATGAAACATCTCATTTGAGCCGCTGGACTTGCCTGAGTTGGGGCTCCGAAATAGTTCTGGCACACTCAATGTGCATTGTTCCATCCTTGGGCCACATTTGTGGGTATTCAACAGTCTTCCACGAATACTTGACTAAAGTAATGTGATAATACCTTAGCTTCAGGCAAGTCATATTCTGCCGTTTTATTAAACCATCATCAGCGTATACTGTTGGCATGAAATCGCTTTTCTGAGTTCCGTTGGTGTAAAACAAAAGTCTCTCGATATATCAGAGAATCATCAATAAGCTTTTCGTTTTATTTCCCAGAGTAGCAGTATTTGGATACAAACTGCTCGTAATCAGTAAATATGTAAAGATTCCATAACCTTTTTCTATGATGGTGAGTAAAATCATCACCACAAAGAATGGGACGCTGATAAACTCCGAGAACAGAACGTTAAATGGAACACTTTAAAGCACAGTTCAACTGGCTCGCAGAAACGCTTCAGTTACCCAACATCCATCCTGAACCTGAACGGGGCGTAGATGTTCGTTCACCAACTCCATAAAGTTGGGAAGGTTGCGATACAAAGCAGCAGGGCCTGACGTTTTGCCAACCAAAGTTCTGAAGGATGGGATTTAAAAAATGCTGATTGAAGTGATGGACTTACTGGGTAGTGTAAGGGAATCAGAGGTAGTGCCATCAGATTCTCCTGCTTCTGTAATCATTCCAGTTTATAAGAAGAGAGAGAAATCTTGTGGCAACCATCGGGGAATTAGTTTGACTAATATCGTGTCCAAGATCATAAAGTCCATAGTTATTCGACGCTTAACTGGAGCTCGAGAACGGCAAACTTGAGAAAACCAGGCAGATATCAGACACGGACGAGGGTGCACCGACCATATTTCCACCCTCCAATAGGTTTTGGGACACAGGCATACTGACCAGTGGGCGGCATTTGCCATATTTGTTGACCTGAAGGTGGCATTGGACTCTGTTGAGTACCGAGTAAACGAACTCCCTATCCGAATTCACTCAGCCTTGTAAGGGCTTACGGAAAGTTGTCATATATGTGTGCCAGGAAGGTCTATCGGATAATTGCAAGGTAAAAAGCAGTTAATGTTACAATATGAATAGTTTCGTCCCAGTGTGTGGTTCGAGGGCGAAGTACAACACTGTTTTGCTTGTACTGTGGTGATGCTGCCTTCTCTGTCTCTTTCAGGAGTACCCACTTGAACTGGGATCACATGTTAGTACGAGCATATACATGTTTGTGCTGTAATGGTCGCAGGAAGCAGACAGCACGAAACCTCGGTTGTACTAGAAGATAAAACCTCAAGTGTGTATTTAAGGACGCGGGGGTGGGGTGGGGTTGTTATATCGGAACATACTTGAACATGGCAGTAATTCTCTTCTTGATGAGACCCTACATAATATTCATTCTGCTGTAGTAACAGACAAATTGATGTCATGCTTCAATGATTAACTAGTTTATCAACAAATGAAGTCATTTCGCTTTTGAGCTGAATAGCCATCATTATTTTTTCTAGCTTCGTACACAGGCATGCGTATAGAATTCCTGGCGTAGCCTTAGTGTGGTACATGCATATTATTTTGATGACTACAATTTTTAACTCTCATTTTTAATCCCATTATCTTTATGAAATGCAGTTGGTTGTGCTTTACATGTTTTTCGGTATTTTGATACAAAAGAAAATGTCCAGTTTTCTAATCGCATTTTATTTTTACATAACACTAGATCAAACATGAATTCATAATCTGTATCCATGAATCCTTCTGTTTCTGGTCACTATCCCTTGCTTCGCCATGATCCCGTTACTGCCCGTGCAATTTCACGTCTAAGTCATGGAGTTGCTCGTTTAACTGCAAGTCTCAATCCTGAAAGTCAATATCGACATTTTCGTGCTCGACATGCAAAATCGCGTAACAGAATTGTGTCGGAATCTCTATCAACAGATAGGTTAGTTGTTTTTTTTACCGTTAAAATGTGACTACATACGATTATGTTTAACGATAATGCTACGAAAATGACGATCATTTTTAGTTTCACTGTCAAACTGTGTCAGGATTTATGCAGAAACCAAAGGTTGAAAGATTTGGTTTCTTAGTTTCACTTTTTAGATGTAGTCCAGCGATACTAACATCCTCGTTAACTGATAAAAATCATCTGTTGTTCAGATTAATGTAACTGGTTGTGCATATTTGTATCCATTAAGGTTGCCTCAAAACTAATAATTTCTTAGACCACATAATTATGAATAACTTAATATGGATGCCTTATCTTTTTCATCTCCACTTAAGATGCAACTCAGTAGGATGGTACAAGTTTATCAATTTGAATAAGCCGTACTTAGTGTGTAAGGGGTCTACGATACTACTCAATGTCTCAGACCAAATTATATGTAGGAGGGTCTTATTAAGACCGATTGCATGGAAATCGAGTGCTTGAGCTAGTGAGGTGCACGTCTCCGAATCGTTCATTGTGTTAACTCACAAGAGTGCTAAAGCTTTGATTATTATTTCTTTCCATACTGTGATATTTCTTAAGATAGCATTTTTCATGGGCAAAGACTCAAGAAAATGAAATATGCCTCCTAGTACTATTGTTGTGCAGTATGCTGCACCTTGTTGAGAAATTTGTTTCACGTAACCCACTGACAGAACTTAAGGCATACATGACACTCAGAAGGACATCTATGTTACTGTTCATGCGCGGATTCACATTTCACACGTAAATCAAAACAGAGGGGTTTTCAGACCTATCACCATACCGTCTGATGATTGGTTGTATTAATACAGTTTATAAATCAATTTAATTTAGATTGAATTTGGTCTCATCTGTTCGTGAAATTTCACCATGCACCTACTGATGCTCTATTACCTATGAAATTCATTTTGTGTTTATTGTGTTTGCTTTCGTATTTTCACTCAACTAATAGTTCTAACTAGTTAAGGCTTCTTAATGATCGTTTGAAATTGTGAAGAATTAATCACTCTAAACTATTCGCCGAATAAAATTACTTGGAGACTATTTTGTTCGCTTAAATTTTCGCACCCAATTTATTGTATGGGACTTGTGCAAACCTTTAATATCACAGTATTTTGATCAAATATATTAAGTATTTCACCTTCAGTATCTGCACTCTCTGTCTTCCTTACAGAGTTTTGATCTATTGGTTTGCATTTCCAACCCGAGGGTCATGGTTTCGAATTCTACTCCATCTAAAGAGGTTTTATTAGCATGTAGTATCACCAGTCTTCAATGTGTAGCTTGTGATACTTGTATGTATGTTAGGTTACTGTGTTGCACTCACTTTATTTTCGTAAATGGTGGAAGTACTGAGATACCTCACTACAAATCAAGAAGACACTTTGTGAGGTTCTGATGAGGTTGCCAATTATTCGTTAGTTGTACCACTGACATATATATATATATATATATATATATATATATATATATATATATATATATATATATATATATATATATATATATATATATATATATAAGAAATCCAACCAGTGCGAAAATTGTGTATAATAAGGTTGTAACTGCTTGACTTTTGGTTTCTAAGCAGTTGTTGCATATGGGGTAGCAAAGTAAGCTGATGTCAAGTTTGGAATATCATGCAGACCGTCTCTCAATGCAAATCATTCATTGTAATGTAGAAGCCTCATCCTTTCAGCTATATCTTCAGTCAAATCCCTCACCTTAACCAATATCAAGTGGTTGATTTTACCGTAGAGTTGTCGTACCATATATGTTAAGGCTGAAAGTAAAGTGACGACCTACAAACTGTCTTTTGAGAAACTGAGGTTCACTGATTTAAACTAATTGATCACAAGTTCAAACCATGTTCCATCTGATGAGGTTTTGGCATCATAAGCCCTCACACAATAAGTGAGTCCATTGCATCGTGCACAAACCACGTAACCGCCGAGTTACCTTATTATTTATCTTACTGACTTAGTGTCAGTATACTCATCACAGTACTCAAAGACAAAAAAATCACTGTAACAGTACAAGTTGTCACACTTTGCAGAAGCACAGAAAGAGATCGTTGAAGATCATGAAGAGTTCCAAATACAATACTTGTTTCTCCCTCTCTTTCTCAGCAACCATCTGCAGGTTATAGCACTGAAACAATGAATCACACCTATGGTGTGTGTGACCTATTTAGCTGCTCAAACCTCAACAAGTGGAGCTGGGTTCGAACCCATAGCCTACTTGTTAAAAGGAGAATTTCTAAATTGGGACCAAATGGTTATGCACTATTTTCTTATATTCCACGTTAGATGTCAGTACAAAGTGATAAGGCCTAATTTTTGAATACTCTGTAAATTGTTGAACTAATTGTCGATAAGTTTAAACAACTGTAGTGAAGATATGTGTATTTTATCACTGGTTTTTTCTTCGATCTATCACTTTTTGTTCGCTTTAGTCAATGTATCACCGCAGGATCAAAACGGAAATGGCAACCAGATAAAATTGAGTTGGACACTATCATGGAACTTGAGCACCCTACAATTAATTTAAAACAAACAGCATCACCATGCGTCAATTTACCTCATTCAAGTACAGAATTTCTACACCATGTATCAGTTTCTATAGATGCTCTTAATCTGCAAACTAAACTGCTTACACCATTTTCCTGTTCAAATCCTGTCCTGCATAAGTCAATGAGTTCAGATAACATTGAAACAGTTGGACGTTATTCTTCAGGATCATCTATGCTTTCAGTAACTGCTTCATCAGATAATAATTGTGAAAGTGATGCTTCTTCACATGATGCAGATGTTGAAGATGAAGATCATAATGATTTAACTTATCTAAAAGGTGGTAGATCCTCATTATCAAGAATTTCAAAACGAAAAACATTATTTGATAAACAATTCTATGAAATATGGAAGCCATTTGATGATAATGTCTGTAACGGTGGTGGTGATTCATCAGATGGCTTGTCGATTAATATTAAAATTCCGAGATTAAGTTCTATGCACTTACACGGTACTTCAACAGGAATATCTGATTACTCATCTACATTATCACCCATATCAAGTCATCATTCCACCAAAAGATGTGTTCATAATATGTTAGCCTCTTCATCGTCTGATACAAATCGTCCTCGAAAAGATAAATGTAAATGTAAACTACGAAACATTAAAAACGATTCTGTTCATAATAATCATAAAAATGGAGAGTAAGTTTATATTTTACTGAGATATTAAGGTTTTTTTTGAGTGTATAGTTATTATTTGCTACTTATTTAAAGGACGATTGTTCCAGGTTCATATATTCTTACCGAAACGGTGTTCTGAGTTCGATGTTGAAAGTAAATTTGAATTCGAAGAAGTATTTAAGATAGATTCCGGTGATCTTACTAATCTTGAAGTCAGTTTTATAATGAACTTAATATATCCAAGATGAACTAGATACTTCTTTCGTATTGTTGTGATATTACTTGTAAACAATACTAATACGCGTCATTTGATTCTGGATTATATATTAAAAAAAGCAAATGTGTTCCTTACAGACTTTCGAAGCGAAATGAAGCAACCGTCCAGTGGTTCAGATTTCTGACGTGTTTAAACTCGTAACTCAGATGAATACATTTAGAACTTTCGTTTTTTCTGCTTTGGATTACGTAGTACGTTTTTCGCATCGCTATAGCTCTGTGTTTTCGACGTGGTTTTTGTTTTGTACAACAGTAATAGCTGTACAAATCCCTGAACCTGTCTGAACGTTTCAGCAGTGTTTTTAAATGCTTTTGAGTCCCTGAAATCTTCGTTTCCTAAAGTTTGATGCTATCATTACCTTGAGATCTACTTAGTTGTAAATAGTTACGAATTTCATTCTCCATACTCCGTTCCTCAACAATATTCTTGTCACGTTTAACTTCAGAAATATTCACAAATTCTCATAAATAGTTTAGTACACACTTTTGCTATTCGATTTGCTAACACTTTTTGTCGATTCTGTTGAGTGATTTTTTCTCAACTCATAGCTAATATCTTGATGTAGTGTTTGCGTCTGCTAATATAATGACCTGATGAGCTATGCTGGTGAGAACATTTTTTCGTTGAGGTCCCGCCATACCACCGAAGCCTTTTAGTTAGCGGTAAGTTAAACAGCAGTTACCGTTATAATACGTATAACTACGCTATGATGGAAGTCCAAGGGCAAAGTCAATGCTGACTATACAAGGTATAGCAACAGAAAGGCATTTACCGCGGATGACCACCAAGTGACTCATAGCTGCTGTCTTCCCTATGGGAAGAGGGTTCAGAAAAGGTTGGTCACAAAAATAGCATGTTCCCCCTTGCCCTGTGGTTTTCTAGTGCTGGCGGTATCAGTTCTTTAGCTGAGTTTAAGATAATCTCCAGTAAATCTGAAGACCGTGTGTAACCAGCCTTAAGCAGATGTTTCTTGACCTCTGCGGTCATACACCACCATTACTAATGCAAGTTCTCTTCAGGTACCTCAAGAAGTAGACTTCCACGGTATGGTATGGTATGGGGCATGTGTTGGATCGAGCACGTCCATGTTCGTACCTAAATGGACATAGAAGAAATACAACTACAAGACCTCTAAAGTGCAGCTCTATAGTGAAAATACTAAAGTCGTTTTCAACGAGGATCTGATTAGATAGTTATCGAAACAAGATAACATTACGCGTTTTAAAGATTTGTAATGCAAAAGCGTGTTGCGAAAACAGCGGTAAAGACTGTAACTGACCCAAGCACAATGAGGGATGGAGTTAACTCAAATGTAGACTGAAAACTGAGTATACGCAATGACTGTGAGCAGTGGTGGTTAGTGAAAACTGGAGGTGAATAAGTCAGCGAAGATAAATGACGATATACAGTTATTTGCACTGATCAAGAAAACTGGAATAGAAAGGTCAATCGGTAATGAGACCATAGCTGATGAAGATGGGTCCACGATTCACTTACAGGAAAGACGACTATAATAATCCGCGGAACACGGAGTTAAAGACTGCGTTCTACTCCGTCAATCTGAAACAACCATTAAACGTGGAGGGCAGCATTCGGAGGCTCTGGTGTCCGACCACCGTTACATTCGTAGCACGGAGCGTGTCATGGAGCCAACACGTTATTAAGAAAAAAAGTCATGCGTAGAGTTTTAGACAGAAGTGACATGGGTTGATGAGGTTGTAAGTATTCATCGACTCAGATGAATGAGATATGTGTTACGCAAGCCTAATCACCGTCTGTTCCAATGCACAATGTTAACTGAAGTAGATTTAAGTTGCCAAATGGTTAGAGACCCAGACTTAAACACTCCATCACTCCATAAAGTCTCTAACCGTTGGTCTGACCCGTCTATGAAAACATGGGCTTCCTGGTTGGGGTCGGCATAACATTTGAAATCGGTGGCATTACACTAGGCTATATGGCTCAGAATTTATATCAATTGTCCAAATGTGTCCACAAATTATCTTCATTTCAATCATCATATTGAATTTCATAATTGTTTTACCCCATAAAGTTCCCTTTTTATGACTTTCTACTACTTTTGATTACATTCTTCCTTATTTCTGTGGCCTTCACCTTTTTGTCAACTTAATGTACTCGTTTGAGGTGTTGCAACTTAGACCGTTATGTGGTAATGCCAGGTCCCACGTTGATGCTACAACTGACTTGAATTATTTTCCGTTGGATACATAAAGAATCGGTTTCTTGGAATTCGTTTGTCCCTGTAAGCTCCGCTGGTTTTCATCTGCGAAATTTGTCCTCTGCGTACAATTTTTCTGCGTGATGGACACTGCCCAAAATCCCATAGTTGAACGAAATCGCAACTTCAAATATAACACGTGTCATATATATATATATATATATATATATATATATATATATATATATCACTAAGTGAGGCCCGATTTTCTAATGAAACACGGATTTCATCGAGATTGACGAAATATCTTACTGACAAGTGTCAACAGTTACGAAATCCTAATCAAGAACAGCTTATCAGCCATTGCCAACCATTACCATTTGTAGCTTCAGTTTGCGAAAAACCATCCACATGACGTAAGGTATAATTTTTTCCCCGTAATCTTACTAGATATGCACGCAATTAAAAGCATACTGGATGTACTGCAGGTAGGAGTTAAGTGGGTCGCTAACAGTTCCCATCAGTACAGTTATAATCCCACTTTAACTGTGTGTTTTAATTTATATGTCATCATTTATTTTTCCCTAGCCATAATTGTCATAAAGGTTGTGTCAAAAGTGGTTCACGCTCTTCGTCTAGTTCATCTACTATATCAACTGAAGAATCCTCGGATCAGACTTACTCAAAAGGTAAATTTTGATAAAACTAGTTTCAGTTCCTTTTTGCAAACAATTTAAAAGATCTTTATTCCAACGTCATTGAAAGAATTTTTCTTCCTCGCTCAAAAATTCTTCTCTTTATGTTCATACATTTTGAAAAAGTTTATGTATTAAAATTAAATCAAAGAAAAGAATGAAAAAAGTAAAAGATATTCGGAGATAGTAAAGGAATCCCGAAATGTTTCGATCTCAACAAAATAGGATAGGTTCATCTGCACTGTTACAGTTTATTCATCATCTTGAACGGCTACAGTTTTTTACCACCTATGTTGAGTCATATGAGTTGATTTGAAGGTATGTTAATCAAGACATTCAAAACTTGTAGTTTACTCTCTATGATTAGATAACTCCAGCGAGTAGATGGTTACACCTTCTGCGTTTAAAGAAGAGCTGGTGATATTATATATTAACTCCTTGTATAGATCTAAAGATTTTGGTTTGCTTAACCTTGCATTTCAAAGTGACAACTTACTATGCAGCTAGGGTTCGATTAATAGAAACCACCAGGTCCGTATATTCTCCCAAACCCCTACAGCATGTGAACGACACTGTCACATCCTATTGCATCTACCAATTCAGATGTACGTGTGGTGATACATAAGGAGAACTCATAGATCCATCCAAGTAAGGACCTCGGAAGATAGTCCAAAGTCACTTCAGATGGAAATTAAATCACCTGAATCCATAAACGTTAGTAGCAGACGTCCAAGTTCTTCGATCTCGAAGGATATCGTTGAGACAGGTCACAGGACTAACGTGGGTAATTCTTTTAGACCTATTTACAAAACGTATTGGGAACGAATCCTTAAATTTGTGAAGGCCCTAGCTACTAGAAAGTTGAAACCACCTTTGCATGTTCAAAAACAATTTGTTATCACATTTAACCTCCCTTGGTGAATTCAGGTATGAAAACCAAGTTCGATGTACTATTATTTTTGCTCTATTGATTTTCATTGTTATTCTACCTTTAATTCAGCCTTCTTACTTAACCTCTTTTCATATTCTCATCCCTTATCTTCATGAATTTTCATATAAATACCTGTGACAAGTACATGTGGGATCAAGCAGTTGGAAATGTTTTGCGCATATACGTTACACACTCCGGAAAATTTACGTCTTATTATTTTGTCAAAGTGATAGGTGTTTTAGGGGGAGAGGTTAGAATGCTGATAGAAAACTATTCGGTCAATGTAAAACACTGATGAGTTTGGTTCTGACCTAGATACGTTGAACATTATCAACGCGAGTAACTCCTTGATTAGTTTCGATTATATATTGTAGAACTGAAGGTGAAATAAGCAGCCTTCTACCACCACAAGATCCTCCATCATGTTTAGTGTGGATGTTCACTGAAGTATAGAGCAAAAAATTTTACTTTCTTCCTAATAACCTTATTCCAAACAATATGTTTGATAGAGTATGGAATTCTTAGCATATAATACATTAATAAATTCACTCCCAAAACAATATTTCCAAACAAACTGATTATTGATGTTTATAATAAACAGCATCAAAGGTAATAGTGTGAAGTAGCCAGCTGGTACTGGATTAGCGCCCAGCGGTTAGTAGTAGTGGTGGTGGTGGTTCATTCAACCAGTAGAATAATGTGGTATTAGAGATAGGTAACCGAAGAATAGAAATATGATGTATTTTTGTGTATTCAGAAGTCCATTCCCGTCTGATATAACCTTCTACTCCCGTTTTGTCATTACTTCGAAAAATGACTAGTTCAGAACATTTTAAAAACCCGCAGGAGTACGTGATACGTTTGAAGGACATATTTAGTAGATTAAAACAAGCAGAAAGGGAGGAATTTGATGTTGTATGTCTTGTGGAAAATTTCATTGATAACCCAAAGTTCAAACAAATTGATTGTGGATAGTGTTATCTGCTTGTATTGCACCATCGTTGATTGGACCAAATTGATCAGTCTCTGTTGTTTTACATTTCTAATTAAACTGTTTGTTATAAATTGCACTCTTTCATTTCTATATCCAAAATAAATTGAAGATGAGGAAAGTGAACAAATTTAGCTCTAATCAAACACAACATACAGATCAATATGAAATCTTGCACAGAAGTTTATAGATTCAAGTTGTCATGCGTAGAGGATTTGAATAGACATAGAATTCTATTAAAGCGAACGATAAGTAATGTGTAAAGAGAGAAAATAAATTAATGCAATTCGGCAAGATATTCGAAATTTTAATAATGATAAACAGAGATTACATCTGTATCACCGTAATCATTTTCAAGCTATTTCATCGATAGTTTTCAGCTATTGATTCTTTACATCTCGAAATTCTTAGTTAGGAGTATGGGATTGTTGCTCATTGGCCTAGGCGATAGATTCGAACTCCTTTCTACCTGTTAGAGTTTTGCTAGTCAGATTGCATCATTATTTCTCACAAAATGGGCACAGTTCACTGCTCCGTGTGTACAAACCCGTGTGTGTGTGTGTGTGTGTGTGGTGAGGGGGGGGGGGCTGAGTTTCATTTTAAAAACACTTTTTGATGCTTCTGTTTACCTGTTCGAGGAGCTAAGCTATCTAAGCTCTCACACAATAAATATTGCTTGTTGCCTAATCTCCATGGTCATGTTTGGTTTTTTTAGTGAGACTTTTAATTCTACCTCTTCAGATTCCTACGATATTGCAAATTATCTTCACGATAACAGTAGCTGCTTTCTGTACTATCACTATCTAACAGATTTACCTGCGTAATTAAACCTCAAGAAATAATCACTTCATTCATCATAACTTGGTTCATTATGATATGAAAAGAGAATCAGCCTATCTAGTTAGCAGCTACCGACTGAGTTGTCGTATAATGTCCAGGTTTATTAAACTTGTGAACCAAATATTTCCAGGGAATTAAGATTTTAAAATATAACAATTGACATTCGAACACTTAAGTTGATCCTGTAAATGAGGAGTGTTTTTGTTTTTCTTAAAATATATGCGTCTATCTGAGTAATATTTGCATTTTAAGTATTTATCTAGATCTATCTATCTACTCTGTTCACCCAATAAGTTCTCTGAAAAACTTTTTATGTTGGAAAATTTAATATAACATTTCTTATTAAATGCTTTTTCATCACAAATATATATAATCTGTGATAACACAACCACTTGCATTGAATGTCAAACAATATTTTGCGCTACTTCGTTAGTTTACTTGATAGTTCACCTAACTCTTAGCGATATTGATGAGTAGATGTTAGCTTTATGTGCAAAAGAGTATTGCAACCCGTTTACTGAGATATACAATTTTCTGTTATAAATGGATTATGTGTTATTTCCCTATTATATCTATATCGATTTTGCTAGATAGATTGTATCAGTTGCCTTCAAATAACAGTTGTAGTTCACAGTATGCAGAGAAGAAGTTTATACATCGTTGCTGAGGTTACATTTCATCTACTCAGATAAACTGTCTTTATCTCTTGCTTATTGAGTGAGTAGGTAGTTAATCACTGAAAATTATTTTAGTCTTTTATTACTGCACATGGTGTATGGCTGTAATTTACTGGTCTAAGAATTCACTTACCAGCCATTCGATTACAGTTTCAAACACCATTTTACTTCGGCTTGAATAACAAATGGTTTGATTTATAGTCTAGTAAACACGAATTTGTCACGGGTTGTTACTGTTTATTAATAAGGACGACGTCGTTGCTAAACTCCGGCTAAGATGGTCTAGTAAACATTTAAGATTCGTACAGTAGCCAGGTTGATCGTTTGTATGCTAACTATGGATTATTCAAACAAACGTGATGGAAGCTACTTATAAGAATGTATATAAGTAGTATACACGGCGACACTGGTAAACGCAAGTAGTGATAACGGGTAACTGATGGAGATTGTGGAGAAGAAAATACTTAAGGTTGGGTATAAATATAATGGGTTAGAATACGAATATACAGGGAGGATAGTAAAATACGTTAAACTGCAGAAGAATGTCGTTTGTAATTTGTGACTTTATTGTATGGTTCAGTATCGTGTACTACTTGTGGTTATAAATTTCCAATAAATAATATCTTTTCGTCCAGTATCCTTCTCTTCTCACTTACCTTTGAAATTCACTTTTTCAACTCATTAAAACTGAGTCTATGAAAAGATGTACAATATTGAGTTTTACTTTAAATACCGCTTGTAATCTTCCACGATGACTTGTGTGTATGTGGGATTGATGGATCTGTTCGTTAAATGAATCATATTAACACTGAACTTGTAGTTTTAATTAGCGAATTTATCTGTATTGTATGCATTCCAAAACTGTTTAGCTTCATTCCTAAGGTTGTGTAATGATAGCAGTAACCATAGTGATAGATGTGATAGTGGTCTCAACAAAATGTGACATTAATCTGTGGTTTCATCATGCGAAGAATATCAGACCTATTAAATGGGATGAACTGCAGTTTAGCGAAATTTATTGAAAAGAGAAGTTAGATAACGAGGTTCAAAAGTGACTGCAACACTTTACTTCCATTGTCAGGGTTTGGGTGGCAGGCATCCTACTATTACAATACCCATATATATTTCCGTGTTTTTCGTTCTGCTGATTTCCTTTTTTTTCTAACAGTGATCGGCATAGCTAGTTAGAAACCATTCACTCTAACCTGCAGAGGTCAAGTCTAAATACTCTGTGGCCTATTTAACTTTTTCGGCACTGGGCTGTTCAATGGAAAGTTAGGTAAATATAGTTCATATTAGATTGAGAGACCTATGGTCTGAATGGGTTGGTCTCTAACTAAAACTCTACTAATACTGCAGTTACATGGTCGGTAAACTACTGAGATGTAAAGAATGTTAATCTACAGCCCACAGTTTGTCAAAACTCTTGAAACTGCATCCACTTCGTTTCTTTTGTGTATTCGGGAATAAGTCATAAACTCAAACAGGTTAGCTGCTCCTCCTGAATTTCTTCCCCTTTTCTGTTATCCAGTCAGTTAAAATTTCTACGTAGGCAGGTAAAAAATGAGTAAAATAGGGTTTAAGTATAACTGAAAATGAACGTACAATGCTGTATCTCACATCAACAAATCAAAGGAGGGACAAAGATACGTTATGATGCGCAAAGTTGTAAATGCTTTAAAGGAAACTGAAGTTGAGTAGTGGTTCGGTATCCTCTAAACATTTCATCACCACTTCATAAAGATTTCTTCATGAAGTTAGTGTTGAAGATGTCACAAAACCCGATGATGAAACGTTAACGATAAAGTATCAAAGCTCAGAGAACATCAAATCACTATTATCCTCATCCTGAGCTACAAATCTTTTCCATTATTTTGAAATAGAAGCTTGTAATGATCAGTTTATAATAACTTGAATAAAGAGTAGGTATGGTTTCGTTTTTACTGTTGTGGTTCATTCTATTATCATATTGCCTTGAGTCTTTAACCGTCACCTTCGGTTGTCGTTCAAATTGAATCAGCGGACCTTAGGTTTCTATATACATTTGAGTTCAATCATTTTGGGGCAGAGAAGACTCTCAATCTCATGAGCTACTTCCGTTCCTTTATTTTATTTGGTATTCCTAGTTAAGTCTTCCAAATGCTCCAACATAAGCAATACTGACAACCAGTATGATGCTCCCTCTCCCTAATTCAGGTTTGGATTGGGTGTAAAGTCCTGACTAGGCAACCAGCGTGAATGCGATCAGGCGGTAGTAACGCATCACGGATTCACATAGTAGTTGGGCAATACCCCTTGGTGATTGAAGTGAAATAAAAATGTCAGCAGTCGGATCTCGTATCTCAGTTGGTAGAGCATTAGGTCGGAAATCCGGTGGCTGCTGGCTCGAATCCGACCGCAGCCCAAATTTTCACTTCTCCTATGAAAGTGAATACTGGCAACCTTCATCCATCATCCAATTTTGATGATCATATTTCACAGTCAAATAATAAGATGGTGCACGTTGTTTATATTTCTAATTATTTTAGTTGTCCAACATTATAATTATCAGCATATATTTTAGTAAATCGTTTCAATCATAATTTTCTATTCAAGGTTTCAATATGCATAAACATCGTTACACTTCCATACCTGAATGTCATAAGAACTATGATGGCGATAAAAAAGTGACTGCCTGTGATAATACGAAATTTCCCAAGAAATGTTCCAAGTCTTCTGTCAATACAGCTAATGATAATAACAGTAGTAAACAATCAGTTCTTCCTCAAGCGAAATTGCAATACCGACCAGTTGATCCATATAATTCTACCTTGGATGAACCAGTTGATCCTGAATTGGATAATCTCTTACACGTAAGATGACAAAGTATTTATTCTTTACACATTGTGATGTTTATGTTGGAAGTCCTCAGATTTGCATAAATCATTGCTTATTAAACACTTTTTTACGGCATGACCAGTAGTTCATTCCCCCTCCGCCCCGCCCCCCTATTTTCAAGGCAATTCGCTGATTGTTTAGTGCTTGCTTTTACTGTGTTAATGTTTCAAGTTCTTGACAAGGCCATATATCGTGTTTATACATACATGTGGTTTTCAGGATTAATTGACTATTCTTCTCGGGGAAATAGACTCTCATGCAGTTCAGTCTTTTATTCCTCACTTCTTCATTTCGATGACATTATCTATTTGTGGAGTCATCAAAATGTGAAGAATCACTGGTGTTACATGTTCCTGATGACACTGTAGATTAGATGTGATCACTCTTAATCATCTTGAAAATTCCGGATGTCTTTTATTATTATTATCATTTGTCCCTTGGGTTCTTAGTAGAACACTGGGCTTCAGTAGCACGTCACCACTTCACTCTCTTCTCTGCAGTCTTTTTAACCTGACCCCACGATTGCCCATAAGCCTTCATTTCTTCCTCACACGACCAACCTCTCCATGTCGCCCTCGGACGCCCAACTCGTCGTCACCCATCTAGGTTCCACTTGAGGACCTGGTGCGTGATGTCTCGAAACAGTCTTCTCAGTGTATGTCCAATCCAATCCAATCCATCTCCACTTTCTTCTTCTGTGTATTTGTTGGGCGTTGGTTTCTCGGTTGGTTCGTTGCTAGGCAAGAGTTCATTGTTGCTTAGTATTATTCTGGCCATCTGATCTGTAGCGTCAGTATCGAGTGGGCATAGGCAGTAGCTGTTGATGTGATGTGTGTCTGTAGTTTGTTGGAAATGCTTTTCGTAAGGCGCCAAGTCTCTCAACCATCACACAGAAGCACTGACTTGACTGATATTAGCGTTTAAAATTCGGATGTTGTTCAGGCTTTATGCTTAGTGCAGTGCTGTGCAGTATATCTTCACACTGATCATTTCAGATGCAGGAAGGTTTGTTTTACCTTTCCGATCCTGACTTTGACGTCTTCATCTGTGCCACCGCCTGTAGTCTAAACGTTGCTGCCCAGGTAGGTAGGTGAAAGAGACAACTTCCCTTAGATTTCTCCCGTTGATGGTGATTGGCGTTTGTTATTGTTGCTTGGGTATCTTCATCACCTCTAGCTTCTCTACGTTCACTTCAATGAAGTCCCGTCTTCCTTCGCTGCCCTGCCTCTTCTGCCAACTTGTTGATTTTCACCTATAGACCTTCCAGTTTGTGCGACATTAGACATCAATCATCGGCGAAATCCAAATCTTCTAGGCTCTTTTTGTCGGTGCAGCTAATGTATGCCTATCTTCTCGCTGCTCACAATTTGTTACATGATCCAGTCCAGTCGACCACAATCAGGAAGATCATCGGCACAGAAGTCTGCAAAGAGTTCTCCATTCTCATTCATCATTTCACCAATTGCCTCTCGACCCATGATCACTTCTCTTCCTGTGTTGTCCGCTCCCACTTTGGCATTCATCTCACTCCACCCATTAAAACTTGGATGTCGTCAACTGGGATGAGGTCTTGTCCATTGCTGATTGCAGTCGCCTATAGAATTCCTCCTTCTTTTCTTCATCTGCATTATTTGTAGGTGCATAGCCTAGCATTGTATGATTGTGACTTTCCTCCCTTTTGAGTTGAATCCATCTTGCTGTCATGATCCTACAGGAGGAGATTGGCTCCCACTACATGAGACCCTTCGATGCTGTTGGGGACATGATGATAGCCACTTCAAAACTCAATGTGCTCGTGGTTGTCATCTGGGTGACAATATCGGAGTAGATTATTGACTCTCCAGTTGACAATTTGAAGAGTCCACTTCCATTCCATCTGCTTTCGCATATTGCTAGCACTTCTATGCTATATCTCCTCATTTCTTTGGCAATGTTGGCAGCCTTCCTGGCTAGTTTCATACATGGTGCGGACATTCCATGTCTCCATGTTTACTTTTGCTTCCATCGAGAGAGAGGAAGAGAAGACACATCGGCCAATTGGTTTCTCGAAGGCTTTCACCAACTGGCGTCATTTCGCCTCTTCGATTCCAGCGAGGAATAAGTTTATTTTTATTTTTCATAGCTTTTAGGGCTTTCTAGTGTCTTTATCGATTGTATTGGTTTTCCGGGGTGAGGTTGCTAGGCCTATGCCCAACCTTTCCTCTTTTTCCGGACTTAGGACCGGCTAATAAACTAGTGAGCCAGTAAACTAGTTGATGTATCTGAATATCTTGTTTGTATTTAATTACTCTTTCATGTTCTTTTGGTCTATTTTAGCATCACTATATCTCGCTTCACTTCCTCTTTGCTGATACAAATTTTAGCAACTAGAAGCAAATGCATTTGTTAGCGAGTTTCTATATCTGTTGCATACCTGAGATGTTGTTAACTCAAAAGTAATAACATGAGATTGCTATTTTCTCAGAGTATAGATCTTAGTTCTCAGATCATATCATCATCCACATACGAATCAGCTGGTATCACTTAAAATCAGAATTGTTAAGAAATAAGAAATTTGTGTCAGAAAGGACTTTTCTGTCCCGACCGATAGCTGCTATCATGACGTGATGGTCAGGCTTGCATATCACAATGACCCAACGAGTTACGCCGGTAGAACACTTGTCCCCTCAAGATGCCACTGTGCCAGAAAGGTCTATTGGATAGGGGTTAGACAAAAAGCAGTTACCATTACGGTGTAAATTGCTACGCTATAATGGGAGTCTGAGGGCAAAGTCGTACTGGTGACTGGACAGGGGTGTGACAGCAGTGTGTTTCACTTGGATGATCAGTAGTGCCACACTGATGCCATCTTGCAGCATCTCGATCCTTGCAACAGAGATTTGTAGTCGGATTCGAAGGCAAGAGGCTAAAATCGCAAACTTGCCAGAAGGCCGCGTGTGACCTGTCCCATGGGCTCCGCGGTCACACAAATATTTTTATGTTTCATGTACCTGAAGAACTAGCCTTCCATGGTGTGGGCAGCCGAAAAGGGTCAACTGCCTGCATACTTCATGATTTTTCACACTTATCCACTTTGGTCAACTGGAAAAAACTAGGACTTCACTCAACAACGAAGTGCACTGGTGATGAGCCATACAAATTAAGGGATTGTGATAGTATCTGCCTGTTTAGACCTCAGTAGTCGGAATAGCGTTTGAACTCGTGACACTGTTTAGAAGTCGAATACCTATACACTTGAGCCGCAGTCCCACCTGGTGTTCATCGACTATTTTACAAGTATTTAGTGACTCCAAGTATAGTCAAACCCTTAAAACTATTTATTTGTCTTCTCATAGGTGGTTATTTGTTGTCCAGTAGCTATTTGATGAATGACACTACCAAGTCGACTGGTGATAGGATCTCTAGTCCATTGTCACGCCTCAGGATTAGTCCTCGTTTCCAGTAATAAGCTTTTTGCAAGCGCTGTTAAAATCGTATTACCGCAAATTGAGCCCCATTATCGCTAATGCAGGAGATTGTTGATGATGAGTTCATCATCTTTTCAAAGGGGAAAGTTTTAGAAATATCTAGTGTCTAGGTATCACCGCAATCTCTCAAGACTTTTGTGCATCGCTTCACAACATCTGAATTCATGTTTTTTGCATAACGTCTGTACAGTGATATATCTTTTCTTTCATCGTGACTTTGTTCACCGGTTCGTTTTATCTGCGCTTTTAATATACTTTTTGTATACTACCTCCTTCAATGAGTGTATTAATTAAACCTGAATAACTGTACTATGCACATAGGGTTGTCATCAGTGCTATCTCAAATTAGTAAAACGTGCTAACTTAAACGTGTAATTTCGTTGGTTCATATTCAGATCGTTCAAGTCTCCATGATATTGCTTGAAATGGATGCTCGAACTCCTTACTTTCAAGTGTTGTAATGTACTAAGAATATATGGTAAAACGAATACTTTAGATTAATTATGTTGAGTAATAATTTATCTTTCTACTTTCAGGGAACATGGCCGTTGTTAAGCGGTCGAGCGAAACTAGGTTATGCAAAGGCTATGAATGCATCGAATTCCAAACGATACCCTAATTCACAAAAAAAAAATCCACCCAATCTTAAGAATAAGGAAGATTCAAAGGTGACTAATAACCGGTCAATACAATTTGTACCCTCAAAACTAGAACATGTTTATACACAAGATGAAGGAAAGAAGGATTCATATGGAAAAGTAATTTTATCATTTATTTATTTCTAGCATGTTTCTCAATAAAAAGATAATAAGTGGTAGTGGTGGAATATCCAGCTATTGTGATATGAAAAGCAATACTTATTACTTCAAGTACGTACGGAAACAGAACGGAACGCATTCAGTCACGTTGTGCACATCCGTGTAGTAGGCAATGAACCACTCTTATTATGTAAGGGTTAATCATACTGCGTAGCTGCCTGAATCTCGGTAGGCGGAGCAGGATGTGAACCTGCGACCCACTGGCTAATAGTTACTTCCTTAAACCACTACACCACAGCTCTAGTAAAATACATAGAGATAAAAGCAACTGTACACTGTATTGCATATGAGTGAAAATGTGATATCTACTTTTTCGAGCTAGTTATATTAGCAGTTTGATGCCATTTTCACTGTAAATGCATTCATATGTTAAACTGGTCGATTCCTATATTATAACTAATGCTTGAAAGCAGTTAGAAGTGATGAATGAAAATAGTCATTGTAACATACTAGATTGGATTTTAAAATAACACGTATCTTAATTTGCATTGCTTACTAATTAAGTACTGCATACACAGTCATTGGTGTTAAATAGAATAGTTAGAGATAAGAAGAAGAAGCCTCATTTTGACCCACATTTCTTCCTTTCTGAGGTGATTTTTAAAACTTTCAAAACTTTCCGCATAGCTCACTAGTGAGTGGTTCATACTTGAGTAGACATAGCTTCTTGTCAATTACCTTCAACTCAATAGCGTCACAATCGAGCGTGTTGTATCACTTAGCTTAGTGGTAATGTATCCAATTTAATTGATGGAATCTGATCCAGCACTAAGAATCGGTTTTTATGATGTTGGTTATGGTCCAGTCGATAAGTTCATCTCTAAAAGTTTAATACTGACTGACAAAGTCTATGTAGAACCTCGCGTACGAGTGCTTCAGCTCAAGTAGCCACACTTCACAGTAGTTTACAAAGAACAGATGGGTAGAAAAGGCCTGATGTCAAAGTAGACAAAGACAAAGTTGTGTAAAAGAATAAACAATCTAAAGATAAAGACTAGTGCGACTATTCAAACTTCAGAAGATATCAAGCAGTGAATACATCCATCCTACTGTGACCGATTTTTGGTCATGTCACCAAGAGTCCTCAATCACTGATGATTCTTTTCGTCTGGAGGGCCCCAATCAGACAGTCTATATCTCTTCACACAACTCAAACCAACAGTCAGGGACTTGGTTGACTAGTGTCATGTCTTGGCCTGACCATCCTGAACTCTTTTCCAACCTAATCCAACTTCCCCTAGCATGAGACTTTGAGATTGACGGTAGCTCCGCATGCACAGTACATGTTCAAGCCGTCTCAGTTAACTACGGTTCGCAACCTCATTAATGTAATACATTGGATATTTTCACTTAAGAATAATTTTAGTCTGTTCTTTGCCTATGGTGCAACAAAACCGCACATTTAGTTCCCTCTGCTTATTAGTTTTTGACTTTTCGTATGTTTACTGAAATATATGCTTACAAACAGAGACTATAACTACAGTGTAAGATCTCTTGCAATAGCTTATTGGTCAAGTTTGGCAGGAGAGAAAAGAGCAGTTATCCATATCTCTCTTTATATAAGTGAGTACCTATGGAAAGTTCTATCTAGCCTTTCCATAGTAACTTGAGTCCATGTATCCTACAGTTGTGGTTTCGAAATTTCTAGTTCATACTAATATCTTTTTCAATAATAGAGATATCTGCATCCATGCGTTTTCTATCCTAATTCTGTTATATTCGAGGTTCATCCTATTTTTTAACTTACTTATATTTCCAGTCTGATAAGCCGTATCATCAAATGCCCACTCCGCCCTGGATGAATAGTGATAATGAGTCATTGAGGGACTCTGATGAATTTGATTCTGATCTGAATAGAAAAGTGACCAAATCAACCGTGAATAATAATAATAACAATAATAATAATAGTAATCAACGTCCATGTATTGATAATTGGAAACCTGAACTGTCAAATGCTGCACCGTTAACTGAGGTGAGTTTTAACTAATTTGATTTTACTTGGTTGTGGTTAAGCAGAATAAAGCAAGATGCGCGTTTCGTCCTAGTTGGGATTCGTAACATGGATTACCATAATTAACATTCAGGCAATAGCTCATGTGCCAATAGAAGGCGAATAATTCGATCTAATAAAACAACGGAGAATTACAAACGTATCCATTAAATACTTGTGTTCTACACAAAAATTCACTTTAAAACCCGACCGGAAATAATAACATCCTCAAACATGTAGCAACTAGGTGGTATCCATCAATGGTGTCCACTATTATATTCAACTTTGTTATGGGTTTTGTTGATGAGTATAAACCTACTTACCTCCAATTTTTCAGAGATTGACTTACTCCAAGAAGGAAAATTTACTGACTCAAAGTACGTAGATGACCATATTCTTGTTAAACGAAAACTCTGGTAAAGTATATTCTCAGAATGGCTTGAACATAAATCTGAGTTTGTTTGTCTCGTGTTTTTTGCACTTGTCAATGTAAGATGATGGTTCAAGAATGGTTTTCACTGACTCCTAACTTAAGGATCAACAGTGAAGTAGTGGGATGCGTCGACTACTTTGCGTAATTGGAAAGGTGAGGGATTGCATAGTTGTCGTCTGATCACCTAGGAAGTGGGATCAGCTTAAATGGGTCAGTTTCTAATGAAATCTCAATTCACCTACAAAATCCCCATTTCTCACTTACCAAATTAATATATCTCTGACGTGGACGAAGTGTCCGTCTACTTCTGTTTCATTGTACGGTTGTGTAGCACAACTACTAAACGAAAAGCATGCGAAAAGTATATGGTTTTAATCATATATATCTTCGTAGCCTCGCCTGCATGTTTCAGAATCATCGTGTGAGCAATTTTGAAGTAAGGCGTATAGAACTAGGCAAAAATGCAAGTTAATCGATGAAGTTGTAAATTTTCACCAAACTAGATGGCTTTGGCATGACTTGTGTATGCCAAGCCACTGCGTAACTTTACGTGCGATGTTAACCGAATCAGGATTGGGTTTGAAAAAGCATTAAGAGTAATCATTACAAGTTTAAAGCTTGGGCACTGTGGTGGGATGTAATTCCATATTAGATTTATTTATCTGATATAACACAGTGATCCGTTATCACGTATGCTGGAAATATCATCAAGTAATTAATACTGTATCACTATGTGCTATATCAAATAATCATATCTAGTAAGGGTAGTCAAACCAACATGTGGCACCAGTCCATGAAATCTCTGACCGTTTATCTGACCTGTGTAATGACATTCATACTATGTGGCTGAGGTCTTCAAGCTGTAAGAAATCGGTGATGATACATATGTGCAACTGACATAAATTCTGAGCCATATCGCCTAGAATCTTCAGCCACTGGTTTCACTTGTCCCGCGAACCACAACCATGAAGTCTGCATTTCCTCAGATGGATCAGACCAACAGTCATAGAATTCATGGATTGGTGAGATGTTTTCGTTTGCTTACCTCTAACTTTTTACTAGCCTTAACCTACTTCAAGAAATATTGCGCGATAGGACAGATAGTGATTAAGCATGCATAACACATGTTGCAGTCATCCGAGTCGATGAACGCTTACAACCTTGAAGTGACCTAGTGAATACATTATGAGACACTTAAACTGGATACGAATAGCATTTGTTCTCCTCCGGTACTTTATACTTCACTAAGTTATGAAAATATGAGAAGACAAGGAGTGTAAGGAAGACAATTTATTCGACGGAAATGCTGTTTTCATGAACATATAAAACTACTACGTCAGAAGTTAAATGACTTCTGACTGGTCAACTGTAGGACAGAATCCTGCAATAAGGTTTTGGTGATCACACAGTGACGTGAAATGCAAAAGCTCGTACCTTAGCAGCTGATGATTTCAAATATTGATTTTTATTTAAGCCGCTGTTTATCAAACCTCTTTTGCGGAAAACTGTACACCTGACTTCTGTGCTACTGACATGGTGGTACCGTGATACACAGTGTACGGAAATGGAAAGAGTTATGTAACAATAGATGTATTGCAACCTTAGCCATGTACAAAGCCCCTATCTCTTTGTATATCTACAAGTGACCTTGTCCTTATCAATTTTAATCGAATCGTCCAATCATACACTTACAAGTATGATAGTATGATTTTCTCGACACTAACGACTAAATCTGATTGGTTCTAAATATTTCTAGCGATTTATTTCATCTTCAGGGCTACAACGAATTTATTGTGTGCTTCTCATCACCCCGTAGATAAAATAAAAGGTCGAAGTGGGGTCTCAGAGTAGGGAAGTTTAATTTCTACTTTCCAAAGTGTTTTGCACCTGAAATGACATTATGTTATAGTCGGTAGACAAGAAGAGAAGACAGACCGTTGGAAGAGAGCTTTTTACTGTCTCGACGACAGTCCGACCAATCCTCCATGCGTCGTCTCTGTTTGCAAAGTCTTCTTTGAACAAGTTTTCATATCTACGAAACCATGTATCGAACTTTACATTTGAATCTGGGTCACAGACGAATTCAGAGATACTGCTACCGACGTTGTCATTGGCTGGAGATGAATCGACTGGGGAAGATATCCGTAAGTCAGGAAGTAACTCCATCATTTTAAGCTGCTGCTCCATCGGTTTCTCCAAGCCTGATAGGTCCATTTCGAAATATACCCGTTGCCAATTTGCTATAACCGGTAGTACGACCTAACAGTCTACTAACGATACGAACCTAACACCCAAACGAATCGACTCTAACACATCAGGACGTCAGCCACCGTCATAACACTTTAACTATGTTGTCTATTTTGAAATTGAAGTATGTGTACTCATGAAGCATTAATACTACAAGAAATTTGCTTATTTTGAGTTATACTCTTTAATCTTTCCCTGCCTATTACATCATGTCTTTCTTCCTATTTTGTACAGACTAACAGAGGCCATCGTTTACTACAAAGACTTGGGTGGAAACCTGGTGATGGACTAGGCAAAAATAACAAGGGTTTAATAACTCCAGTCAACTGCAATGATATCGTTCCTTCTAAATGTATATGAGATACTTTCCTGCAAGAAAATTTATTACTTCATTGACATTTTGTAAATAGAATTTATGTATTCAAAACCACTACTTATTTTTTATTAAGTGGTGTGTTACAAACTGGATGAAAGCTATGCGTAGAGTATAACTAACTTCATTACCATTTTTATCAGCTATGATGAGGTGTAAATTGGTAGGCAGTTTGGGTTTTTATCTGTAAAACACCCAATTTGTTTTAGCCTTTGTTAAAGAAGTCTTGTTACAATACTTTAAACTGCTTCCTGTGATTGGTCACTTTTGACTTCCACTGTAATACTTTTTCTCTTTCATTGTTCTGTCCTACGTTTTACATACCAATTACCTGAAATTCGTGTATGATAAATACATACTTATTTACGAACATTACGTGCGAGTGTTTTGTTTCTGTTTTCACCGTTCTTATTTGTCTCATATTGAGAGAACCGCTTGGAATAGAATTTGTTCACGTTTAAAAAATTACACCGTCAAAACGTATATATAATCTAAAGCCTGATGGGCCATTACGAGGACTGACTAACCGTGTGCTTCCAGCGCGAATGCACTGCAGATGTGCAGGTGTTTATGGGGCCATCTATGAATGCTGATGACTATTTTCTCTAATAACTTTGAAGGCCACCCTAGCGACTACTGTAATGAACCTTCATCGACTGAGATGGTTGGGACACGTACTACGTATACCTAGTCACCGATTGCCTCGTCATACAATGTTGGCTGAGGTGGGTCCAGGCTGGAAAAAGGCTCGAGGTGGCCAGACTAAAACATGGCACCAATGTATGAAGTCTCTGACTGTTGGTTTAAGCCATGTAGGACGATGCAGACTAGGTGGTTGGGGTCGGTGGGACAAGAGGAACCAGTGGTTGGAGACTCTAGGTGATCGCACGGCTCAGAACCGATGTTAGTGGCACAGATGTATACACACATTATCCTCATCTTAACAACGCTATACCGAATCTCACTATTTTGTCACTCCTCTTTCCTTTCTTCTGGTACTTTATATTTCTTTTGACTGCATTCACTTATCTTCATCCTTCACCTCACTACCTTTCTACTTGATGAACTGACTTGAGGTGTGGCAACTCGGACCGTTACTCAGTAATGCCTGGTCCTATGTTGATAATGATTGATTGACTACTATAATGACCAATCAAGCTTAGACGTATGAACTCGAATCGAAATAATACTAACAACCTGTATGCAATTATAAAAGTGAAACTTTCACCAGTGTAGTGCTACATATTCACCAAATACTAAACAAGCTAGTGTTGAAGTTTTGTCAGCTTCTTGCTGTCCTTTTACCTCATCTCGAAGTGCACATGATCAGTGTTACGACAGAAATATTTTCTAGTCGACTAAAAGTGGTAGGTGATATTACTCACAATCACTAAATATACGGAGAATCTCTCACCTTACAAAACAAGTTATTTAATGACTAAAATATAGGCTTTGTGCGTAGTTGGATAAAACGTTTATGCTTAGGTATAGTTACTTAGTGTTTCAACAAAATATTAAAGTATGACTTAATTCAAGCATCGACATTGATTAACTGTTACCTCACACTGTGGTGTCGGAAGTTAATCGGTAAAAGGCTACGGTCTCATGGTCATCGTTATGCCGTGTCTACAACCATGATAAGGCGGGTGTTATTTCAGCGATCTAAACCTTCATCGAGTGCTGACGCCAGAGATTTAACCACTAAGGTATGCAGCAAATGACTGTAGAATAGGATTATGTCCACAGATCAGTCACCAGTGGGTAACTGATGTACCTGTCTATTCCTAAGATGATGACGCCAAGTACATATTTAGAGAGGAGTTTGCTAAGCATTCACCTACACGTTACTGAAGTACTTGTCGTGAGGAAACCTGGCCTGATATTTAGTCTGGTGTAGGTTAGCAAACGTCACTGGATTTCTGCAACATCATCCCGACTGATTGATGAGAGAAGACTGACTCCAGCAGGCTCTCATTACGATGAAGAGCGAAAGCAACGAATAGACATAAACTTAGTTACGTCTGGCTTCACTGGAATTGACCTACTCCATGTGGGTCATATGGTTGACTTCCAGTATGAAGATGATACTGTCCTGTTAAGTGAAGACACTGAATTAGTGCAGCGTCTTGTGAACACGTTGAACAGAAACCTGAGTATGTTTGGCATGCGTTTCATCGGCACCTGTCTTGAAATGTAAGATGAAGCCTCACGAATGGTCTGCTGCAAGCACTCCCAGTTTAAGGATGGGTAGTGAAGTGGTGGGATGTGTTAACCACTTCACTTACTTGAGGAGTTGCATCTGCCCGAAAGGCCTGGTTGCCGATGCGATCTCAGCTCGGATACAGAGTGGCCATTCAGCATTTGCGAATTTGTGTCATTTTTGTTGTTGTCCAGAGATATGTCCGACTATTTATCAAAAGACGAGTATATTGTCCGTTCTGTCCTGTTGTACGGCTGTGAGATATGGCCGTTAGAACTACAAGCCATGAAGCAATTACTGGGTTTTGATGATAGGTGTCTTCGCAGCATTCCTCGCGTTTGTTGGAATCACCGTGTGAACAATGTTGATGTCAGGCGAAGGGTGCTGAGTAAGACGGGCTAGTCGACTGATGAGGTTGTGAATCTTCATCTGCTGAGATGTCATGGACATGCACTGTACAAGCCGCGCCACCGTCCGCCTTGACTTGCAATGCCAGGGAAGGTTGGATCATGTTGGAAGAAGATTTAAGTTGACCAGACCAAGACCTGACACCAGTCGACGAAGTCTGTTGCTGTTGGCCTGAGCCATATCAGGAGATGAAAATTGCCTGGTTTGGTGTTTACCATGGCTGAAAACTGGTCACAATAGCGCAGATGTATTCACTCTCTGACGTCTTCTACAGCTTGAATACATTTACACTAATCATTATCTTCAAACTGTTTGTTCTCTCACTCTTTTTCTATCCACTTTTTCTTTATGTACTTCTGTGAACTGTAGCAACTTGAGCCGATGCACCTGTGTGCGATATTCTACGTTGACTTTGTCAGTGTCAGTCAGTCCCTGAAATAACCAATCAGGTTTATCTGTTTTATACAAAGTAACTACCTTCCCAACCAACCAAAGAAACCTATTTTTAGCTATTTCGTAAGTTGTTTTTATAGCCTTAAGTGACACTCTTTATAGAGGACAGATGAAGTTATCAAAATTTACATTTAAGTAACAAATCGAGTTAAAAAGACACACTTATGTTACACTCACTAAAGTACTGATAGCAAATTTAGTTAGACAGGCAGATATATTGAGTGATATTACAGGCTGTTACTAGTGACTGAAATAACCAATTAAGTTTCTTTATTTTGGCTATAACGATAGTTTTTTTCGGGGAAACAATAAACCTAACAGATTTATACTATATCACTGTATGCTACTTCAAATAGCCTAATCTAATATGGAACTATTTCAGAAGTTGTGAGTATGGTTTTTGAAGTCACTAAACATATCTCCTTGATTCATGCATTGATATGTATGTAGGAAGTAGAAACTATTATCGTTGTTAAGTTTAAAGAATGATCACTTCATTTCATTGCACTATCTTAGTTGGTTAGAGGCAATTGACAGAAAGCCATGCACCTAGGTTTCGTACTTGTTGGCACCCGTCAGCAGGGTGTATCTTCTACCTTGACAGAAGTGATGTTCCACTTGGGATTCGAACTCATGTCACACAATGTTGTAGTCAGCGACGTTACTAGTGAGCTGTCCGAGCTTCGGGTGATCTCCTATAGGACTGGTTTACATACGTTGATTGGTCATGGGGGAGCAATCAGTTTCATGTCGTCCAGTTCTGAGTGCAGCCCGAATCCTTTCGATCATAGCTTGGTGGGCACAATGCAAATATGATCGATCGATAGCATTTGGTGTTCATCCAGGACTACACATCATGAAATTGGTCGCTTTCCGGTGAACAATCAGTGGGGCGGTGACACTAAAAATTATTAAATATTAATATAAGGATGATGCAAAAGTAGGAAGAGTAATTTCATGAAGAACGAAAGTGGAAAAAACGAAACAAATCAATGCTAAGTCCGTAACAATTACAAAGACTGTACACACTTCTTTTGGATACAAGAATCAAGTTTCAGTTCATGAATAACCAATGCCTCTTCTTATGCCATTAGTTGAAAACCAAAAAATGGAATATTTGAACGAATTAGATAAACAATCTTAGTCATTATTAGGATCAAATGAATGATTGGAATTCATCGTGGGTTCAAGAACAAAACTTCTGATTCACTCAATTTCCCCTTATGAAAACCACCTGAAGCGTGGTCTTGTATTTGTCTTGACAGCAATCTTTGTCTGTAACCAATATATATATATATATATATATATATATATATATATATATATATATATATATATATATATATATATATATATATATTAGTTAGCTGTCCACTCCACATGGACGTTTTGTAGATGGGTCCTCTCAGTGACAAAACTGCTGCGTCTTGTACGAAACATATCTAGAAAACAAATCATTTATTTCGATTCTTTCTTCAGAATAAACTCTAAGGTCGAATGATAATTACTGAGGAAGTCGTCGAGATTGAAATCTTCATCATATAAATCTTTTATAGCTGCCACTTGGTTTATTTCGACTATTCACCTGATCCAACCAACAGAGGCATGAACCGAAAACTGATCTTGTACGCCAAAGAAGTATGAACAGTCTTTGTATCTGTTACTACCTTAACATTGTTACTTTTTTTCAACTTCAAGTTTTCTCAGGTTAATTTTAGTACTCATTTTATGATCATTGTCACCCTTAATTCTACATATTGTCTGTAAAGTCATCAGAAGATAACGGACATCAATATGTAATACGTTATTTCTCTTAATTTGGGGCTCCCAAATTAATCGAAGATTGAATCAAGAACTTACAGAAATCATTGTTTTGTAGGAGTTCTTCGGAATTTGAAGGCATTTTAAACTTTACTCATCCACTTTCGATTTTCAGATAGCTTTATTTCAGAAGTTGGCACATACTTTACTCTTCTTCTTTGCCCTTTCACATACGTATGCTAACCGAGTAGACAATCACCACTTAACTATGCATTATTTTGCAACGAAATACCTACAAGCTAAATGAAAACCTAACAACGCATCTGGTCGTTACAGATCGGAAGTTTGTAGATCGACGGTTCCAGCCTGGTCATATTTTGAATTTTAATTCATTATCAAGCTTCTGAGGAAATAATAAAACTGTCAGGCATCGTATGATTCATAATTCTTATCGGAAACAACACAACTATGTAATACTATTGATAGGGTCAAGAATTTCAGTCCACCTTTTCACATTGTATTAAGTTGACCGCTACTAGGCAAACTGATAACT